GTCCATAAGCTTTCAACACATATGCCCCTTTCACATACTGGCCGGATGCTGCTAGTGTGAATAGGCAGATTTGAATATAAAGAGAAAACTGAAAAAGACATGTCATCTTCCTTCTTTCCTAGTCTTGTAGCTTCACCAGAGTCAAACTACACCGTATCATTCCTAGACAGCCTTCTCAACCTTCACTTCACCCATATGATGAGTTGTTGGCACCTTAACGTCTTCATTCTCCAACACCTTTACGTTGGCTAGCCCTGCCCGCTCCCTCCCAATCTCCTCCAAGGTCTTACCTTCTCTCCTCAGCCTTTCTAATTCCCTAGCAGCCGCCTCTTCCTCGTCCCTCTCTTCCTGTGACATCTCCGGTCCTAGAAATAACAAAACCAACAAAAACACCCATACAGCTCCCATAAATATGGCCATGACTTTTCCGTAATCAAACCTCTTCTTTCCGTGCGGCCCATCAGGTAACGGGAATCTCTCGCCAATAATAGCTTGGATAGTGGCAGATGCGGATGAAGCGAGGTTACCCAGTTGATATGTCAGTCCAACCAATAAGCCACGTAAAGACTGAGGGGATAGCTCCGAAAGATAGATAGGAATAGGGCCCCAAACTCCACCAATGAACCATTGCTGCCAGAAGGACGATGCGATCAAGGCATTAGATCTGGGCAGTATATAAGCTGGTATGAGCGCGGCACCGAATACACAGCTTATCATCATCGTGAGCCGTCTCCCAAGAAATGTGCTGACCCATCCTATCAGTGTGCCACCGATAACGCCGCCTATGGTGCCAGCCACAACGATGACTGTTGTTTGTGTTGCCGTTTTGCCTACTTGGTCCTTGAGGAAAGTTGGGTAGAAATCTTGGCTCCCGTGAGAGCAAGAGTTGAAACCCGTCATGATCACAACGAGGTAGACCATCAGGAACCAGTTTTCTTTGAGTCCTGGGGCAGACTCTTTCCAGAAAGCACGGAGTCCACTCATACGAGATTTTGGGGTAGTGTCACAAGTGCCAGAAGGTTGCAATGCAGCCTCCTCAGCTAAGACTCGGCTTTCTCGTTCAGCTTTCATGACTTGGAAATGGCGGGTCTCTGGGAGGAACCATCTCCAGATGATGATAAGGATTGGGGGTACAGAGCCAAACCAGAAGAGACTTCGCCATCCATATTTGGTGGTTGGTACAAACGCCCGATAGAATATGGCTGCAAGCATATAACCCGTACCGTAACCCTGTTGAAATAGACCAGAGGCAATACCACGAGCATCATAGGGCAGGTCTTCCATTGCAGTCGCAGCAGCAGGTCCAAAGAGGCCTGAAAATTACGAAATCAGCACATCTTGTTCAATTACATATGTAACCCAGATAAAGCCTACCTCCCATAGCAATTCCATATAGAGATCTGACAGCTAGGAATTGGGTCAAGTTGTGGCAGAATCCAGAGCCTAGCTCTAGGAAGACGAATAGGGCCAAGTTTATAATCATCGGCCACTTTCTTCCGTATCTATCCGCAAATAGGCCAAAGATGATGGCGCCGACGGAGCGCAGCATAAGTGTCACGGTCAACCCCTAAACATATATGTTAGACAGATTTTCTATCATAGTAAGCGCATGAAGGTCAACTTGCCCATGATACTTCCGAATTTGTAACCCCAAATTCAGTAGCTATCTCTGTTATAGTAAGAGAGACAGTGAAGAAATCAAATGCATCCCATACCCAGGCGATGAAACCAACACCAAACATAAGCCATTGATGGCTATCCAGCTCGCATAGAATGCGATAAGGGTTTTTCAGTTCAGTCTTTATCAAAGCTAGCATCAGCCAGACGTTTTTTTTTTTTTTTTTTTCAAGTAGGTATCACTTTAAGGGTTAGAACTCGGGGGTCACCTTTGGAGGTTTGAGACTGGACACTCGTGTCATGAAATAGCGTTGGATCTGCTCTGGTGAGTAGAACCATCCTGCTGCCATTCGATTTTTCATGTTGGCTTTGGTCGGTAATACAGCCCTCTGTCTGGTGATTGATACTATTGGAAGGAATATATCACAATTTCATGATAAGAACAAGAGAAAGGTGTGATTTTGGGTCCATATCACCAGGATAGAACCCAGATGCTGTTTAGTATATAGCTCACCCAAACTTCGATACTGCAGCTGGGTAACCCACCTGCACTAACTACTCTAAAGATGATTTTCGTCCTCAAAGTTACGTCTCACAAAACCAGGATCCCGTTGAATCTGGAGCCGAGCTCAGGAGGGGTGGCATAGCGTTTGCCGAAAGACTTTATGAGATGGGCCTTGTCCCCGCAAAACACTACGGCAGATAGCGTCGGGACATAACGTTACCTTCATTTCAAGAGTATCCACGACCAGGTCGGAGAACAGGGTGGCCTATAGCACGTCCATGCCATGAGCTCATCAGATGCTCCCTAACTGGATGGAATCTCGGAATAGGTAAACAGTTAACGGTAGGAGGACAAATATCTTCCACAGATGGCCGACTAGCTGGTTATTTAGCCAGGTGTCGCGGCCGGGAGCGAGGGATTCTTCCAATCAGCTGTGTATTTTGTATTCGCCCCCGAGACTATTGTCAATGAAAAGGCGTGGATAGACTTGTTACAGCATCCAAATACGGGCATCCAGGGAATCGAAAAGTCGCGGCGTAGTAGTTAACTGGTTAACCCGTCGGTTTGCTAGTTAACTAAACGTACGCGGGCTACATTAGCCATGATACCCGATACCGGACGCAATGGTGTATCCAACTGAATAAAAACAGGTTGTCAATGTGTCTCACAGGATTCCGAACCCGCAAGGAACAGACGTCGTCGTCGTCTATCGGAGGTGTCGTTGTTGCTGGGCGCTGCGTCGTCTAAGGTCGGCTGTCTAACTAAGCGCAGAATAGAGTTTCCGGAGGTGGGATGGAATGCGACGTAGATTCTCGGATTCAACTTCAGCCTCGACAAGCGATCAAGATTCTAGCTGGGTGGGCAGCCGGTGTCAATTGGCTTCTGATAGATAGAGGAAATGGCTTCTCTTCAGTATCTGACCGGCGACAAGCCTGGCATCCAGCAGTTTGTCGACAGGTTTGACGTATGTATCCAATTTCCAAGGCCGTAGTTACACATGGACTTATCTCTGTATATCATAGACCTTTTTATTTGACTGCGACGGTTCGTTACACTGGCGAGCTCCATGATATTATTCCCGGAAATTGGCGGACATGCTCTAAATTATGAACAGGAGTACTATGGTCTGGCGATACTCCATTCAAAGGAGCCGTTGAAACGCTGGACATGCTTCGGAATAAAGGTAGATTACCCTCAAAATTCACATTCAGGGATTCTAACTTACTGTTGTGACCTCCTAGGAAAGAGAATAGTCTTTGTCACGAACAACAGCACCAAGTCGAGAGCAGACTATAGGAAAAAACTTGATGGCCTGGGAATCAAGGCTGGAATAGTATGCCCTGCCCCTCTGTATATGGATAAAAGACAAATGCTGACTTGACCATTGTATAGGAAGAAATCTTCTCCTCTTCATATAGCGCTTCCGTATACATCTCTCGTATCCTAGATTTGCCGGAAGATAAGCGCAAAGTTTTTATCCTCGGAGAATCTGGTATAGAACAAGAACTCGCCGCCGAAAATGTGAGCTACATTGGAGGGACGGACCCGGCATATCGACGAGAAATTACACAGGAAGACTATCAGAAAATTGCCTCTGGTGACCCTTCATTCATGGATCCGGAAGTCGGGGTGGTGCTGGTCGGCCTAGATTTTCATATCAACTATCTCAAGCTCGCGGCCGCTTTACACTATATCCGACGAGGCGCTGTCTTCCTTGCAACCAACATCGACAGTACTCTTCCAAACTCTGGCTCTTTGTTTCCAGGAGGAGGCTCTATATGCGCACCTCTTGTTACTATGCTTGGAGGTGTAGGAATGCCCGGTGCAGAGCCTCTCTCGTTGGGTAAGCCTAGCCAGGCAATGATGGATGCTATCGAAGGCAAATTCAAACTTGACAGGAATAAGACATGTATGATCGGTGACCGGATAAACACCGATATCAAATTCGGTATCGATGGCGGCCTCGGAGGGACGCTAGCTGTTCTTACCGGCGTTACCTCGAAGGACGAACTTATGGCATCGTCAATAGTCCCCACCGCATATGTTGATGCGCTCAGCGATTTGTTGGAAGGTGCATAGAATATTTTAGACGATATATCTCCTAGACTTAGTCTTTGTATAGACCAAATAGACCTGCTTTCAATTACTCCAAAAAACTCCTATATGCCAATGGTATATTTATTGTACATGGCAACCACTCACCCACGAGGATATAGTTGCACTAACGGTTGTATCAGTTCATTCAATCAACGGGGAAAAGATGATTCTTTCTCGTTGCGTTCCATAAGGAACGACTTTAGACGCCAGAGGTCTAAGGCAAATAAAGCAGACTTCCTCGATGCAGGTATAAAATATAGAGCATCTCCCTGAAATACTTCCCCAAGTTGACGAATTTCTTGGAGTTCACCTTCAGATAACATTTTCGTAAGATCGAAAACCGGAACCTGTGACTCGTGCACCGGGAGTTCAGCCAGGTCAAAGGAAGGGTTTTCGGGAGCCGTTGAGGAGGCATTGCAATCGGGATTACTGTTTATTTCCGTGGAATGATGGTTGCCACGAAGAATTAAAACCATTCCGCTCCGTATATCTCTCAATTCCGGCAGTTGTTTCAGGGAACTCTCCAATGTACTCTGAGTGATGGGATGTCCAGCAATATTCAGAGGCGTCCATGTATCTCGCCTTCGCTGTTTCTCTATTTTCGGTGTAACACGTAGTATTTTCTTGAGACATCTCAATATATCCTTTCGCATTGCCTTGAGCGCATAATCAGACATATCTCCTCTCCAGACTAGTGTTTGCATAGAGCTTTTCGTGAGTGGCCCCTGCGGCAATTTCCATGAAGGAGGAATCAGGCCTTTACTAATATTCGAGAACTTTGGGTTTGACAACATGTCGAGGATTGTTCCGCTATTTGTAACTCTGACAGATGGGAATGCTGTTCTTCGTTTGCGCATTTTCGCAGTGCTGTCGTCCATGAGAATCTCACTGACCGCGGAAGCGTCATTGTCACCAGCAGTGACTTTGGCGTTAGGATCAATCTCCATTTCATTCAGCTCAGTTTCTAGGAGTGACGTAGGAAGTAGCCATAAAGCTGATGTCTCGGGGTGCTGAGCCGAAATCTATCATAAGCTCCGTGGGAAGTCGGGACATGGTTGCATGGCACAGCCGGGGAGGACTTGCTAGAGCTATGGCCCAAGGGTTGCGTATCAAAGAGGAGTCTGTATCCCACTCTTTGCTGCGCTCAACGACCTTACTTGAAGTTGAGGATGCCTGCTTCTGAGCCCTTCTTAATACTACTGGTGATTCTACCAGGCCATCTGGCGTGGTCACATCCGGGCGCTTGACTTCGGATGTACTAATAAATCGCCTTTCCAGTTGCCTCCTGGAAAGTGAACAAGTTGTATGACGAGCTCTTGGGTATAAGTGTGAGTGTGTATAGAGGCATAATTGGAGCTGGTGCCTTTGATGCTCTAGACCCGAGCACCTGGTTGAAAACGCTGCATGACCGGAAACAGATAGTTCGTGCACCAATAATCGAGATGAGAGAAACTTGTGCCCCATCTTGCAGTCTCCCAATCTCAATTCATATCTTCATTTGAGATGGGTTGCAATATATAAATCAAAATGAATTACCGAATGTTATATCAAATTGTTTCTCACAGCTTCCCCTAACTACAAAATTTGCGCAAACTGCTGACTAAGCAAAGCAATGCGCGAGACCGCAAAAAAACAAAATGAAACCGACGTTTTGCGCTTGAAGCTGGCAAAAACCAACGCAGCTTTCTGTGATGGTATAGTATGTATTGTGCAACGACATCCCGGAGAGCTCGAGGGGTGTTATATACTCCAGTATCTCGGTTTTGTTTTGGTCGCCTATGCTCTAGCCTCCTCTGTTTCCCTCCCTGACCCGAAACATCTCTATGACAACCCAGGCTCCTATTACGGATGCCGAGTATATCACAGACGTCCTCAATATACCTAGCATCCCAGGTTCAGAAGATGCTGAATCAAACGCTTCCGGTAGTGGCCAGCCTGACCTCGGTAGTAGAAGAGTTACTTTCGCAAAGTCCAAGTCCCTATTTCTCGATCGCCTGACTCGTGATTTCGACTTGCTTATCTACTGCGAACTATCGGCTCTCTATTATATGGAGTGAGTTACCTGTACCATATGCGGACAAATATTAAGCAATGAACATTTAATTGATCTTTTTCTTCCCGGCTAGTTGTTCTATTATACATTTCGCTGTACGGGCCATAGTTCAGTTTCTATTCCTTACCCCAAAAGCGGCCAACTTTCCCGAGCCACCGAAGAATCAGCCATTTATTGGAGCAATTATTATAAGTAACCTAGTCTGTATCTTCCTACATATTGCTTCAGCCAATCCATCCGCAGGAGAAGCATCCAGAGGATACCTTCATGGCGGGCTGTTCATTGATTTTGTCGGCCAAAAAGGACCTACTTCAAAGCTTCAGCTGCTCGCCGTGGATCTATTAGTTATATGCCTTCAAATACTCATGGTTGGAGCCATCCTGGAGAAAGAGAAAGTCTCCGCGCTGATTTCATCGAGGCGAACCGCCGAATCCATCCCATCTTCAACGGTGCCAGAGCAGGACCATGATTCCGAAGAGCAGGGTCTGCTGAGATCATCTCAAAATTTGTCCAGCCAAGAGGATGATATGGGGAACCGGCAAGTAAGTGGCCTTGAACTCTCGAATCTTGGTGGTGAGAGGGGTGTAAATGCTGTCATTGGGATGCATCCGCGCGATTATTTTCACTCGGGGGAAGCCCTCATTATGAACTTGAACATCGGCCGTACCCTTCGACAGCAGTGGCAGAGCCGAACAGCAGCGATTGCGCCGCCTCATGCCTCGTTAGGTGGTACCAGAGTCCCTGCAAGCACATTTATTAGACGTCAGCTGGGTATTCAAACGGAACCCCGCTCCTAATTAGTTAAGTTCCCATATATCTTTTGCGAGGGAATTCGAGCCCTTCCTGGCATGCATCTAAGCATAAGTATACGGCTCTGTATATATTTAGCATTTATCATATATGATAGAATAAGTTTACTTAATTGTATAATTCTTAGCATGTAGGACTGAGAGGAATAAGTCTAATAGCCCTATACACAACCCACCATTAAATATCTTCAAGACATTTTCTGGGTTACCTATCGTACACTATTTTTACTGAACCAAGCTTCATGATGACGTTGACTCTTCCTTTGAAGGCATTCGTCTATCGAGTATGGAATCCACGATGCCCATCTCCAGAGCTTCCTTTGCGCCCATAAAATAGTCTCTCTCCATTAACTTCTCTATCTCTTCAAGAGTCATTTCCTTCCCTGTCAAATGGCGTTTGTATATCTGATTTAATTGGTGTCGTACTCGAAGGATCTCTTTTGCGTGGATTGCGATATCCGTCGCCTGGCCAAAGTACCCTCCCGAAGGCTGATGGATCATAACCGAGGAGTGCGGAAGACAGTATCTTTTCCCAGCTTCACCGCCGCATAGTAGAAGGGAGCCCATAGATGCCGCTTGGCCGACGCATATTGTACTAACTGGGGATTGGATATATGTCATGGTATCGTAAATTGCTAGGCCTGGAACAAAACTTATTAGCTATAATTGTGCTTATGGGTAAGAAACAAGGAGTAGGAGCAAAAACAATATACCTGCTGTCACTGATCCGCCTGGAGAATTGATATAAAGCTGGATGGGTTTCTCTGGGTTATCAGCTTCGAGGAACAATAGTTGCGCAACTATTGCGGCTGATAGTGTTTCGTCCACCTCGCCATTGAGGCATACAATACGTTCCTAGAGTATGTGTCAGAGTCATTTTACGCAGGAAATAACGAAAAGACTCCAACGCCTACCTTTAAAAGGCGAGAAAATATATCATCTTCAGGTGGTTAGGTTATTAGTGGTCTCGAACAACGTATAACGGGGAAAGGTCGCATACAGGTGTGCCAGCCACCTCCCTTTAAATCACAAAAATGTATTAGCTTCTTATTCCAATATCGAATAACCATGAGTAACATACTACTGTCTCTGTCACAAATGGAGTTGGAGTCCAGTTTCGCGGTGGAGTTGGGGCAGCTTGAGAATAGCTCCTTGAGAGCGGTCGAGAGCTAGAGAGAGCTAAGCGGTTGAGTATCCGTAATCGGTTCATAGCTAAATGCTGATACCAAAAGCTTGAACTCCACGTAAGCAAATTGTAATTGCTGATTATACGTCTTCGTGATGTCGTTCGTTCGCGTGCTCCCGGAGTTGTGAAGTCAAGACAGCTTCAATTGATCGATTAAGTAATCACAAGTTTTGAGCCGCAACACTCTCCGGATATAGTTGCATAACACGAACGAGTGAAAGTGGAGTGCAAAAAGTTATGATATAACCAGTCAACTATGTATTGGTTACTTCTAAGTAGATTGTATTATGCCCGATATTTGTAACATGAAATCCAGAGTTGAAAGGTGCTCATCTGCGCCATCTACTAATCTTTTATCGAATTCGGAGCAGACCTTCAAAATTTGGTTCTTTTGTGCGTCTGAAATAGATTCATCTTGAAGTACTGCTTGGTATGTCTTGAATGAGGTCAGTGGAATATTCTTCAAAGGTTGTGGGAGTAAGGGACATACCTGTGACAGGACTTGAGAGGCACTCCATCCGTCGGCCACGAGGTCAGCTACGAGGCTTGAGATTTCTTCGTATTTCGAAGTACGTTTGCTTGGGCGAAGAGCTGCAACAACTCGTTCCATAACAGTTTCTGGAACTAGGCCAGATACCTCTTCAATACTCCTGACAGTAATCCTGGGTTTGACATCATCGAGCTCCATCTCTTTATCAGACGAATCCTTCTTTTTCCCAGAGCCATAGCGGGCTAACCTTGCGGAGCTCTGCATAAATGTTATAGCCTTTCGCAGATCACCATCGCTACATCGAAGTAGGGTCTCGACAACATTATCCTCCAGGTCGAGTTTCTCCATTCTTGCAATCTCTACAAGTCGGCTTTGGGCAGCGGAGCCGTCTAGTACCTTGAACCTAAACTTGCTGCACCTACTCGCCACGGGGTCAATTATACGAGTGACATAATTGCAGACGAGACAGAAACGCGTAATCCGGCTGTATTTCTCCATAGTTCTGCGGAGAGCGGACTGAGCGTCATGGGTCATGCTATCTGCTTCATCAAGAATGATGATTTTGAACGGTGGACACGGATATTGTGAGCGATAGACTGGATCGGCAGGGGGTTGGGATAGGTGCATTCGAGCAAAATCTTTAATCTTTTCGCGAACAATGTTTATACCTCGCTCGTCAGAAGCGTTGAGCTCAAGGACTCGGGAGCGGACAAGAGCAGGTCCAAAAAGAGATTTGGACATCGCAAGGATCGTTGACGTCTTTCCAGTGCCTGGAGATCCATAGAAAAGCATATGCGGTAGCTGAATTGCGATGCATTGTGTCAGAAGTATTGCGAAATCAATAGAGGAGTCTGAACAAGCAGTATTGGAGATTTACGTTTGAAGCATTTAGGTTTCTCTGGAGAATAGAAATCGTGTGATCTTGAGCCGTCACGTCATCGAGTGTCTTTGGTCGACTAAACACCTCACACCGATCAGTCTCTGTGCAAGATTGAGCTGTGGATTTGACCTACTATTTCTCAACCCATGGTTGGGCCTGCTGGTCGGACTCTTGGTTGTTGGTTACGCTGCTTTTAGCTGCAGAAGCAGCCGCAGCACGGGCTTTATTGTTAAAGAAGTTTGCAGCCATGGCAAGTTCGTGACAATGGCACACAAGGGAATGCCCGAGATCTGTATGTGGGATGAGACGTATTGAAAGGCGTCGAAATTAAAGTTGCAACTCGCGTCGAGAAGGTGAAGCGCACTAAGGCGCGATTGACTAATTAGTTTATTAGCCGCGTAGTAACGCCAAACTGCGCTAAAGAGGGTTGGCGGCTTAAAGTGGATCCGCGGAGTGAAGTCACGGGACTTCTCGACTTGGCATTACATGAAGGATTAAATCGTGTTAAGATGCAAGGCTGGACACTTGCTGGCCCCCAATTCTCGCTATCACCGTATATTTTCCACAAGAGCCCTTTTTGGCTACTATGCATGGAGCAGGAATTATCATACTTTCTCTTCCAAACTCTCAGTGAGCACTGTGCAAAATGGTACCTTCAATTTGTCTCCTGATTTATGTATTTGTCCCTCGACTGGAAAAAGGGTGCATATAAGCGTGCAAAACTTATATGTATTAAGCACTCCCGCTTTCAAACCCAGGCTCCTTATTCGACAATAAGCCTGAACAGTCAATTGTCTGGCCCCAGAGTTTAAAAGTCCAAGACAAGGCTATCGATCCCGTAGCAGGGGTTGATAGTTAACCCACTCCAGTGTTAATAATAATACATAATGAAGTGTTATTCTCACATCCCAGACACTCTTGTGTTCAGGCAATGGGAAAAGTCACCTCAGACAGCCTCACCATGGACCAAGGTGAACTTCCTGCCAAAGCTGGCCATACAATCCAGTTTGGGGGTATTTTTGTTGCTCTATGCATTCTTTCTTTCATTTCAGCCCTCGATGTCGCCATCATCACCACAGCCCTTCCTACCATTACAGCCGAGATTGGGGGCACTAATATATATGTTTGGATTGCGAATTCCTTCGTGCTGGCTTCATCGGTCTTGCAACCCCTTTGTGGCCAACTTGCAAACATATACGGGCGTCGCATCCCCTTTATAGGCTCCGTTGTGCTTTTTACACTGGGTAGTGGTATTGCGGGTGGTGCGATAAGTGCAGAAATGCTAATCGCAGGCCGCACAATACAAGGTATCGGGGCAGGGGGTATCTATGTGCTGATTGATATCGTTTGCTGCGACTTGGTCCCCCTTCGAGAACGTGGGAAGTATCTCAGCTTGATGTTCTCATGGTCTGGATTGGCGGCTGCGTTAGGGCCAGTTGTTGGTGGAGCGCTTGCTGAAGCAAACTGGCGTTGGATCTTCTACCTTAATATCCCAATCTGCACTTTAACGTTGGTGATACTGCTTCTCTTTATGAGAGTAAAGACCACAAAACTTGCAGACTCTGGCCTCGGACAAATCGATTTTCTCGGAAATTTCATCTTTATCCCAAGTATGATATCTCTCCTCCTTGGACTGGTGACGGGAGGTATCGAGCACCCATGGTCTAGCTGGCGTATCGTACTTCCATTGGTGTTAGGTATCGCAGGCTGGATCTGTTTCCATATCCAGCAAAGCTTCTCCAGCCATCCAAGTGTGCCCCCACACTTGTTTAGCAACCGTACATCAGCGGCTGCATACCTATTAACATTCCTGTCTTCCGTCCTTGTTCAGGCAATCTCATACTTCCTCCCAGTTTACTTCCAGGCCGTGCACGGTACAACAACCTTGCGATCAGGTATTGACTTCCTTCCGTTTGCGATTAGTACCTTGGGCTCTGCCGTTATATCTGGTATATTGTTGAGTAAATTTGGCGCTTATCGACCAATCCACACGGTATCTTTCGCCCTTTCGGCTATTGGGTTCGGGCTTTTGACTCTTTTGAACAGCCGCACGAAAACCGTAGCCTGGGTGTTCTTCCAGTTGATTGCAGGTGCAGGCTCAGGGACAATACTGTCCGCCCTACTACCCGCCATCATGGCGGCTCTTGCAGAAGCTGATGTTGCATCGTCATCCGCAACCTTCAGCTTTGTTCGAACCTTCGGGTACATCTGGGGAGTAACGATTGCCTCCATAATATTCAACGGGCAGTTTAACAAGCATCTTCCATCGATATCCTCCCAAACTCTGAGGGACCAGCTGAGACATAGCGCTGCATACTCATTTGCAAGTCAAGCCCATAGGCTTCGAACCTCTATTCCTGAATCCGTGTGGAACGAGGTGGTGGAGGTGTATGTTAAAAGCCTAAGAGCCATTTGGTGGGTCGGGCTAGGATTTAGCATTGTCAGTTTGTTTGTGGTCGCTCTAGAAAAAGATTTGAAACTGAGAGAGGATCTAAAAACTGAGTACGGTATTAAGGATGAGAAAAATGGTGGTACACTTGTGGATGAGGAAAGTGGCTTTTAAACTAACTAATCCTTGACGACTGTATACAAACTCCATAGCTTTGACGGTAAATTACACGTAGTTATCTGTAGCCTCAAATTCCCCATGCTTCGCTGGACAACCGCTTAAAGCCACTAAGTTAGTTCCACCACCCATTGGGAATCCGACTTTGTGACTTTTGTCAAATCTCCTGAAGTTTGTGTCGGCTTCCGACTCATTCGGATCCAGCAGCATCTTGGGAATTGAAGGCACAGTGCATGCGTTTGGATGCCATCGCGTGGTCCCCTGTTGGTCCTGTTTTCTCTCTTCGCACCACTCACACTGCGGCAAAGCTGTATTTCCATCAACAATCTGGATTTCCCAGTAAGTTATTTGAAACATCACGCAAAGTCTAGAGCATTTGACCGAAGGGGCTTACTCCGTTGACAGCCGCTACTCCAGAATATAGGGAGGGGTATTGCTGCAAGGTAGTGGAGCAAAGTAACCATCGGTGTTTCCAATATGAGTGAGGGCATACGCTTGAATAAGCCATAGCTAATACCGAGCAATATGGGCCCCTTTGGTGACGTTCATAAGAACTAATGCTGCATCAGTTAGTTACGGACTTCGCACCTTATATACGGAGGATTCGCCTAACATACCTTTGAGAATCATATTATCGTCAGCTTTTCCAGCTGGAGCAGTAGTTGAATCCAGACCTGGAGTCGATTTGGTTGAATCGCAGTAGTATATGGTTGGGCGAAGTCGGTTTCCACACCTCCCTGGGTGCATATTTCTGACACGTAACTCTGCCGGACTAGACAGCGTAACCGATGCAGATCATTCAATCTGTAGTTACCTTCGGAGGCGTTTAGTTTTGTGAATTCTCGTTGGCACGCTTTCAACAGCAGGACCGGTGTACAAAAAAACTCGTAATTCACGTCATCACAGGTAAAGGATTCAAATTAAAAAGGCGATAAAGGAGTAGGCGTCTGAACATAATTAGCTACGTTTCAACGTACAGTAGGATACTCAAAAAAAAAAAAAAAAAAATACCATGCAGAGCCAGCCTTCCAATTCCCCTTTTGTTACCAAACCCAATACCAGTCACTACCGGTTCCTCTCTTTTCAGATTCTAATACACCGACGCCTAGTGTTCACTAGAAAACAAAAAAATCTCATGCTCTGAGTTGAGATTAACCCAGTCAAGAATTAAACAAGGTTGAAGCCATCTGGAATATTAGGACAGCTAGGGGTGAGCTGTGGTCCTCCTCCGCATATGGAAAATTATACTTCACCCCGAATCACGAAGATATGCCTTTAAGAAAACGAAAACATCTTCCTTCGTATTTGATAGAATAATCGCAGATGGTTTTATATCACTCTCAAGTGTTGACGGGTTCGAGCTATTCAACTTTTTCGTATTTCTTCTGATGGCCGTTTGAAACTAAATTCCCGCCTTGTATCTCGTCCTTGAGAGCATTAATAATTTGAGATGCTGTCATATCCCAGGACTCGATCGGATAGTTGGCTAATAGATTCGGAAGTTCGCTTCCCAGTATAGATAGTGTATATTCGGCCTCGTCTATAGATAACAACAAGGCCTGTATCGAGTTGATGTTTGAATAATAGGTACCGGGGTGCATCTTCATCCGTAACATTAACATATCGGGGGTGGGGGAGGGTGAAGTTTGTATCGACCAAGCACAAAGATTGCCGGGATTCCTCCAAGTGTTATAAGCATTTACTGTATGCTGGATGTTTGGCGAGGATATTCGTGGAAAGGTACCAACCACCCTTGCACTCGTCATATTAGTACAAGTCCATGAGATGATATAGGTCACAGGACTATGGGAGTTGAGTTGGGACCCTTTCTCGTCCTATTCCATGCACAGCATTAATCCCCAGCACCGCCCCCTAAATACTTGACTTGCAATGCAGCTTCATCCAGCAAGATATAATAATATTGATAATATGCAATGCTGGGGCGGAGGGGGGCGGTAAGGGGAGGGATATAACCTTGTTAATTAAATAAATGATGCAGCTGGAATGTACTTCTTGCCTCTTCTGTGCTGAAATCCGATTTCGCAATTGTTCGGTACGGAGGAAAGGAGAGCAATGGTATGGAAGAATGGAGCTAACTCAATTGTCTCGGAGGTAAGGTCGTTATTTCGTTCGTTCACCTGACTAACGACATTAGGGGCAAATGATCGCCCGCCACAGCGAGCTTTAAAGGTAGATCGTTAGAGTTCATCCCCATGCCCATGAGGACCCTCCCACATCCTCTTCTTAGGGTTAGGATATACCTTTGGGCCGCCTGGTATCGTTGTAGGCTCCCGTCTCTCCTTCTCCGCCTGATCTGCAGCGGTCCAGCTTTCGACGTCCTCAGCCACGTCAGGTATACCAGCAACATCAGCTTTCTTAGTAGAATCGGGATTCCAAAGAGAATTAGTCGCGGTCGGGCCCATGTTAGCTGTTACCAGAGGCTTGTTTGGTACAACGGACTTGGGACCGGCCATTGAGACACCGCTAGTTACTCCAAATATAGCAAATGTGATTCTGGCGACAATTTTGAGAGGGAGCCAGATTATCCACCAGAGTGGGCCATATAGCAGCCGTCGAAAGATAAGCCACGATATAGTTCCGATTAGGATATAGAATGCGGTCTCAAGATACCATGTATCTGACTTTTGGGAGCGAAGAAGTGAGCTCACGAGAGACTTGGATGATGCAAGTAGGGTATCTAGATTGGTGTATGATTCCGAGAGCGAGCTCAGGGCCTTATTTGATTGTTCTTGAATTTGTATTAGTCACACTGTATGTAGATAATTATACCCTTGGGTGAAAAGACTGCTCACCTAAAGCTTCCTGGGCAAATTGGCTCCTGGAAAGCTCAGCCTGCATGAGGTTATGTGTCTGCCTTAATGCAGCGGTAACGTCCTTGGATGAACTTGCAACAAGATCACCATGAGTGAATCTCGGTGTCCTCCTATTAGGCAGGTCCTCTCCCTCAGCTGACGGTTGAAAGAGGAGCTGTCTTTGTCTATTCTTCGCCCTCTCCGAGCTCCGCTTGGCTTCTATCTGAGCTCGTCTGAACTTCGACCGAGTCCTATAATCTCAAGATTAGCCAGGATACCATTAACTGCCGCCAAAAGAATAATTTATACATTTTTAAATCTTCTTCTATTTTCGCCATGAGAGCCACGTTCTTGACTGCGTCCGCGTCAAATGGCACGCTCTCACGGCGTTGATGTCGTCTTCGATCGAGAGGATGAGTCTCCACGCGCAGAACTTCTATTCCTTCTTCTATCTCCCCGAGATCCTGATGGATTTCGGTACTCAGATTGATTCGTTCATCATCGTCGTAGATATCCGCGCTACCAAAGGAATGCAGACGGCGTATGAGGGCTGAAACCCTCTCGATGGATGCTTCGACAGAAGCAAGACGAGAATGTAGAGAAGCAACCATTATGGGTATCACAGCTGTCCACTTTCTGTTATTAAGAGAAAAAAAAAAAAAAATGAATATCATGAATCTTAAATCTCAAGAAGTTGTGTTGAGGATGTTGGAATGTTGACAGACATACAGTTGGTCTTTCCATGCATCACGTGATACATCAAATTCGCTCTTTTGCTGTTGCTGAAGGAAGAACGTTGACGGATCTTCAGTCTCACGCAGAACAAGCCATACAACTAACACCAACTGCCAATTACATAAATACAGCAGTATCTTTTCCATATCATGTACGTGTACTTTCGTTCGGAGTCCAATGCCAGATTCTAACCCTTACCAGAGCATTTATACCACAACCACGAAATATTATATAGCTGGAAACGAGGAACTCAAAGAACAAAAAATAAAAAAAACCAAAAGACGAAGGAGAACGAAAATGTCCCTGCCACTACGATCAATAACCTCATTCCGAACGTCCTTCTCGCCTCTTTCCCCACTTTCTCGGCCATGCAAATTGGTTCTCGCCCTTCTACAAACACCAACGACAGCCTCCCCGTCTTCAGCAGCACATATAAAAATCGACGTAAAGCATTTACCGAAGCACTCGAAGCAGCTCCCTGAGATGACGGTTGGCTTCCGGAATGGCAAAGAGGTGAAGCTAGAAGTCGGCAAGCTACGACTTTCGGTAGGGGATGTTCTGGAGGAAGTTGGGAGAATAGGGAGACTTATTGAGAGAGAGGAGAGCTTGAAGGGATAAGCATAGCTGAACGAGTGTAGTTATGGTGTTTGGAATGTATATTAGGTTTTTTTTGTGCAATTGATTGTATGCTTGCATGGAAGGGAGATTCGAAAGCCTTGAGAAATGGTATTAATGTTGGAATTTTTTTTCATTTATCGAATGGCTAGATACAGTGAGTGGACATGATCAAGTAAATAGCTGGGGTGCCCGTAGGCCCTGTCCCATTTTTATCTATGAACATCTACGGCATGAAACAGAGACCGCCTCCTGCAGGACTTGGAAGTGAGTCATTGGACTGGTACGGAGCATTTAGACAGCGGCACCGGAGATGAAAAACCACTTGTCAATGCTGCCGTCGATAGCGGCAGGTGGCAGATTGGAGGCACTTGGGATGGACTCGACCTTGGCGGGATCAGCACGGTGGTTCTCGAGCGTAGAGTTGCAGCTGCATCTGTTAGTAGGTGATATATATGTTTTAGAACGAGTAAGGACACAACTTACAGAGAGATGCCGCCAGCGGGGGACTGGCCAGACATAAGCTTCTCCCAGGCCTCAGCACACTCGTGGATAACATCCATGGCGTACCTACACCGGTTAGTATACTGATATACTGATACTGATACTACGGGAGACAAAAAGAAGACATACTTAGAGTTCTTGCATTCGCCGGAGAAGGCGAACTGGTTCTCTGGCTTGCCGTCCGGGATCTTGTAGATACGGAACCACTCGTTGGTGGCTCTGAGGAGGCCAGGGAGGTGGCGTTCGACATCCTCGATGTCATTGAGCTTGGGAGCAAGAGGGTCGTTGACGTCGATGACGATGACCTTCCAGTCGGTCTCCTCCTCGTCGAGCAGGGCCATGACGCCGAGGACCTTGACCTGCTTGACCTGGCCGGGGTAGCCGACGAGCTCGCCGATCTCGCAGACGTCAAGAGGGTCGTTGTCTCCCTTGGCCTTGGTCTCGGGGTGGACAACATTGGGGTCTTCCCAGGTCTGTTCAAGTTGTGTTAGCTTATCTGTCCCCAAACCAAGTCCCCCCCCCCCCCCCCCCTTCCCTCCCCTCTCTCCCCCTGATGGATGGCTGGAGGCCGCACTCACTCGTGGGAAGGCACCGTAGTTCCAGAGGTAGCCCTTGTGGGGGAAGCAGTTGCGGACGAAACGCAGTTTGCCCTTCTTGGTGTCCTGCTTGATGGGGTTCAGGAATTCTTCTTTGGAGATCTGCCCTCAGTCAGTGAGTGATGAGTATACGGCTGGCTGCCCCTCCATGGAGAGAAGCGGGACAAACCTCCTGCTTAGCGTTGGTCCAGCGAGGAATCTCGACGATCATGTTGAGGACGGTCTGCTGCTCATTGGCGTAGAGAGGAATGTCGTGGAAGGGGGAGATTGGGACGCCGTCCTTCTCGATGTAGGCCCGCCACTCGAGGGAGTTGAGGGCGCCGACGTTGCGGACGGTGTAAGCCATGTTGCTGCTGGTCGACGACGCAGACGAAGAAGTAGACAGGTGCCGTGAGACGAGGGCTGTTCGACTGATGCTTGCTGGCGCCAGTCTGGATGGTGAGAGAGCTGAAGACCTGAAGAAGAGAGAAGAAGAAGAAGAAGAAGAAGCAGGAGAGGCAGAAGAAAAGGAGGAGGAGGAGGTGAAGCGGGACAAGCAAGCGACGCAGGAGTTGCGGCCAGTCGAGTAAGCAGCGAGGGCAGAATCGGAGATTGTGGGGGCGATTCTGCCGGCCATCCTCAGACGCCCAGGAGTCACCGCTTTCACTCTCTTTGGGCTTCCACAACGACAACGACAACAACAGCGACAACAACAACGATGTCAACTGCGGCGACGGCGACGAAATTCCCGAGTTCGATGCTTATAGCGACCCGCGAGGGCCTGAATATATGGCCCAAGTCTAGTTGACTCTCAATTAGAACTGCTATCGACGGCCTCAATGCCGAGTGCGATGTCGTGATTCTGCAGGCAAGGATCGCTGCTGGGATGAGTCTCGCGACGGTTTCAAAGCCAAAACACGCTTCCCTAGGCCCAATTGATGCTCTTGCGTCTCCTGATACCCTTTATCTCTCTGCAAAATCCCCCTTCTGCGCTGTTCTTTAGCTGCTGCTCGCTGCTGGTTCCGGGTGTTCCTGGCGCTTCTCGCTCGCGCGCTGTCTCCGCCGTTAAGATTTTCCCGGTCTAGATGCCGTGATTAGGTAAGCCGATGATAAATCTTAACGCCCTCCAAGCAAAAAACTCCGCTCACCAGCAGAATAAGGGATCAGACAGTCAAGTCACTGATAGCCAGCCAGATAATCAGCCAGACGACAGCCAGAAAACGACAGACAATGATATGAACAGGCTGGCCCGCTCTGTCATGGCCCTGGGATCGTCGTCGATCGCGTCTCAGGCCAGAGTGCCCATCCCGAAAAATGGAGTCGACTACCGTGGGAAAATCGTCCTCGCCCCCATGGTGCGCTCCGGCGAGCTGCCTTCACGTCTCGTCTCGCTGAAGTACGGTGCAGACCTCGTCTGGGGCCCCGAAACCATCGACCGCTCCCTCATCGGCGCCGTCAGACGCATCAACCCTCGCAACAACACCGTCGAGTTCACTCGCGTGCCCTCCCACCCGGGCCCAGATGCGAAAGATAAGGTTTCCGTCATCTATCGAATCGATCCCGCCAGGGAAAAGGGCAAACTCGTTTTCCAGCTGGGCACCGCCTCGCCAGAACTCGCCGTCGAGGCTGCCAAAGTAATCGCCGACGATGTCTCTGGCATCGACGTCAATGCCGGATGCCCCAAGCCCTTCAGCACCCTTGGAGGCATGGGTGCCGCCCTCCTGCAGACCCCAGACAAGCTCATTTCCATCCTTGAAGCACTTGTGCGCGAGGTAGGCCGGCCCTGGCAGATTGGTATCTCCGTCAAAATACGCCTTCTCAAGGACCCCAAGGACACCGAACGCCTAGTCACTGCTCTCTGCGCAACGGGTATCACGGGACTTACCGTCCACTGCCGCACCACACCCATGCGGCCCCGCGAGGCCGCTATCCGAGACCAGCTGCCAATGATAGCCTCCATCTGTCGCTCAGCGGGTGTTGCATGCCTTATGAATGGAGACGTCAAGTCCAGAGACCATGCCCTCGAGCTCATGAGCCAGTACGACGTTGACGGGGCCATGATAGCTACCTCAGCAGAGTCAAACTTCTCCTGCTTCCGCAGTGCTGCGGATGGCGGATGTGTCTCCTGGCGTGAGCTGGCGCATGAGTACGTCGCTATTGCCATGGAGTGCGAGAATAAATGGGGCAATACAAAGTATCTTCTAAATATATTCTTGCCCGGCAAGGACAAGGTCGCTCAAGCTGTCAAGTCTGCACGGACATATACACACTGCTGCACCCTCCTGGGGTTCAACGACCTGCTCCCTGCTGCAAACAAGATTGATGCCATACTCGGCATTTCGGACAGGACCGAGGCTGGCCTAAAGCGCAGTGCAGAGCTCCTTGGCCCAGCCCTCCTTGCTTCAGCTACTTCTACTGCTACCACTACTACTCCAGAGGTTGACATTCCGCTGGATTCGAATGTATTAAGAGGTGATACCCTCAGCAACCAAATCACCGCATAAACATTCCATCGGCGGGCGCTTTTCTCTTTTCTGCATCTTCACTCTACACAGCCGGCGTTTAGGGACGGAGCATCAACCACGGTAAACTTACTTTTCCAACATTTAGAACTACAACAATGATAATGTACTTTTTGAAATTCCCATACTTCTACAACGTTCAGAACATAATTAAAAAATGGTATATACATTTCTAAGCTATCATCATCATTAGCTGGTAACATTAACATGAAAACATCTCTTTACATGAAGACAGTGTGGTGTCCGCAGCCACCACCAGGCATCTTAGAATACTGGGGGTTGACGTCACGCTTGCCGGTCTTTGGGCGGGTTGGGAATCCCTTGAGGGATCGGGCATACTCGGCGATAGCGTAGGCGATGGCTCGAGTGTTAAGGAAGATAGCTCCCTTGTTGATGTTGGCAACGGTGTCGCCCTTGCGATGGTAGTTCTTGTCATAGGCAACGCCAGCCTCACCACCGAACAACTTGACTTGCTCGGGGGTCTTGACAACCTCGGCTCCAGTGAAGAGGCCGCCAGCGGGCACGTTGCGCTTGATGAAAGCAGAGTAGTCGGATCGGCCAGTGAAGGCAGTGGGCTGGTGTGGGATACCCTGGTCGTCAAAGAACTTCTCGAACAGGTACTCGATTTCAGCAGAGCCAGCGGGGCCGGTCATGTTGTAGGCCGAACCGTCACCGTCGTAGATCTGGTTGGCGAAGTTGGGAGAGCCGATCATGTCGAAGTTGAGGTACAACTTGACCTTGTGCAGCTCACGGTCATCGAGGCTGTTGACGTAGAAGGTGCTTCCAAGGAGACCGAATTCCTCAGCGGTCCACCAGGCAAAGCGGACGGCGTTGTTGAGCTTGAAGTTGGTGAGGGCTTTGGCAACGGTCATGATACCAATGGAGCCCGAGCCGTTGTCGTTAATACCAGGGCCGGCATCGACGGAGTCGGAGTGAGCACCGAGCATGATAACGTTGTTGTGGTCTCCTCCCTTGGTCTCAGCAATGACGTTCCAGCTATGAGGTATCGATTTAGTATATACTCGAGACAATTGATGCTGGATCAGCCGTTGAGCTACTTACGTGGTTCGGTTCTCAAACAGACTGATAACGTTCATGGTGACATCAATCTTACCAGAAGCAACGAGGGTAGCAAGGTTCTTTCCATCCTCCTGGGAAAGACCAGCGGTTGGGACATGGCGCTTGTCAAGGCCACCAAGAGTGCCAGCAAGGGATCCGGGGACGTTGTTGTAGACAATGGCACCAGCAGCCTTTGCATCACCAGCCTGAGCAGACTTCTCGCCGAAGCTGCAGACACCACGCTCAACGAGGACGATCTTGCCCTGAGTGTTCGCTGGGTAATCAGTCTGTATACATAAAGTTAGTTCTCCCGTGCTCTTCATTCTAGAGAGAATGTGACGTATAGAAAGTGTATGGCACATACAGCATTGCAGCCATTGTTCTTGGCAACAACAAGCTCAGCCATGATCTTGCTGGCAGGAGGGCTGTAGGACATGGCGCTGGCCTTGAGGTCCTTGCCATTGGCATTGAGAGCAGCCTCGGCATGAGACCACAGGTGTACTTGCTCCTGCTTCTTCACATCGTAGTAGCCAGTGGCCTTGATCTCATTGTAGATCCACTCTACAGTGTCCTTGTGGCCATTACCACCAAACACTCGGTTCTTTTCAGGATGAGCATCAGAAAAGCTTTGCAGCTTCTCGACGCCTGCCATGATATCCTTGAGCTTTATCTTGTTTTGCAGGTCATCCTATACATTTACATTAGCCCATAAGAATTCCCCAGGAACATTGTGTCTGTTTCTTTGGCTCTGCTGGAGTTTGATGTGACAGGGACAAAGGTAGATCGATCGATCGATCTGTTGAGAGCAACTCACCTGAGTGACCATAGGCTTGAAAGGCCATCCGAAGGGCTCTTGACCAACAACGCCCTGGGAGATGGTTGTGACGGCCACAGCCAGGCTCAACAGTTGCGACTTCATGGTGAATATGCTGTGCTCTGCTAAACGAAGGAAGAAGGGCAACCTAGGGAGAAGGAGGATTGATATGGGAATTCCTCGCTATCGAAGATCCTGCCGATCGATCTCCTAGAAAAGTTGGGTCTGACACTGGTTAATATATACCAGCCGACCCAATTCTGAGGCCAAAAGGTATCTTATTCCCATCAACCCGTACCTCTTCCTCTTGTCCTATCATGCAATCTCGCTCGGCTTCTTGCGGGACCAATTTCCCATGATCATGGCCGCAACCTGCCGGTTGTTCGTGATTTCGCTACCTGAGCACATGGATGTGCATCCCAAGAACCCAGAGCAGAGCCCAAACTTTGCTTTCTTCGGGTTGAATATCTCACAGGAATTTGGCACTACGTCCTGCGTGGAAAGCTGAGGCTTGTCTGCTTATCCCCGCCCCTTCCCCCGCAAGTCAATTGCTGAGCTGGACTCAGGCGAGCGTATAACTTGCATTGCAGGCCAGGCATCTTCCCAGCTCAAGTCCCCATGCAAAGTTGATTTTCTCCCGCTGTCGATCCCTGCAGGCAGGGATCTTCCCTATCATGTCCTCCCAACTCGCTTCAGCTGTCTAGCTTCCTTGGCAGGAAGGGGTCTCACAGAGCGAGATAACGGTGCAATGGATTTGCTCATCTTTATCTTCAACAGGAGAGCTTGCATCCTCCATCATTTCGTGTAGGTAAGAGTCACGACTGGTGCCGCCAGGGGGTAACCTAGTATCTCCATCTGTGTTTTCCCTTGGAATCTTTCTCTGCCTCTCGACAACTGTTGTCTTCTGCAAGTCGTCTTGAAGTATTTAACTAGATATCTGGGCATTTTGTCTCGATCTCGTATTAAGTTTTTTGACCTCGGGATGAAATTCGCTGCTCCCCACAGCCGCCAAGGCCAGGAGGTTCCATTTACCCCAAAGAAACAAGAAATATCCCCGGAGCCCGAAATACTAGCAACGGAAACAAGACGAAGTAAGAAGCGGCATGACTTGGTCTTCCAAGTGTATGGAGACGCCGGCGGAGAGGAAAAAGACAGCAATTTCCTTTGCTCTCTTCATCGTCCTTGGTCCAGACTTTTGTTTTATTGCAGGCCTGTGACCATCACGAGAAGCATGCAGGGATATGGCGAGTGCTGGAATCTCTTGTCAAAAAGTGACATTGATTATTGGAGGGGATGTCATTGATATTTTTAACTTAACTCTTCCTGGAGAACATGCCGAGAGGATCGAGATCTTGTCACCCTCAATCCTTGAACAGGTATAATGAGCTCTTCCCGTATTGCCTTTCGCCTTGTATCACCCATCTGTGAGCTGCTGTCATGGCGGAGAAGGTCTTGCTTGCTTGACTTATCCCATGCCCATGGTCGAGGAGGATTCTTGGACCTGCCAGATCCACTCGAAAAGGCTACAGTCGGATGATCTTTTCCCATAACAACTATCCTATACGGATGCCATGGGCTGAGGCCCTTGCTTGGGTCGAAGCGAAGTGGGCGAGAGAGATAACGCTGTTCCCGCCACAGGCATGGCTCTGGGGTAGAACAACAGCGGAGGCAACAACTATTCCTGAAAGCGGAGTTCATAAGCATATCGGCCAGTGGATTCTCATATGACCGGGGATAGATTAACTGTGGCATGCATATGGCCTTCCCTGTCACTGTCGTTGGCGTTGTCTGCCGTCGCTCAAGATAATATTATTGTTGGTGTGGAAGTTGAGAGAGGACGTCAAAGATGTCCCAAAACGGCTTTCCCGAGGATCTCCGTTAAAACATCCCGCCCTTACATTTAGACAAGATGTATTCTCCGTATAAAAGGTGCGATATAAGAAATCTGCAGCCAGGGGTAATAAACGAGCTAAGAAGCTAAGAAGGAAGCCCATACTTACTCACAAACTAATATTCCGGTCTGATATCGTTGACACGGCTGAAATGTCTTACCGGCCATCTAAGAGGCTTCTCTGTGGCCTCTACATCTATTCTTGGTGCATTGAACCGACGCCATTGAGGCGAGACATTGCTTGGCTGCATCGTGAGAATGTCTTCTGGAAGATTCTGATATCAGCCTGACAACACGCTTGGTCAGTGTCCAACTATGGGAAATTGACTGTCGAACGTATACAGTTATCTACTTTCATAGAATTTTAGGCCCTGATTATCTTCAGCTAGAAGGTTCAGGAAGGTCAGGAACACATCTAAGTGGCATTTTTGGATTCGAGTTAACTCTAACGGAGGGAGGTAGCCGGATACCAGTGATAGTTAGGCTGCTGATTGGATGACCACGCAGCGAACCAGGTGGAAGCTTGCCCGAGACAACAATGATAATGGAGATGATGAGAAGAACCGATATTAACCAGGGGTATCGCTAGCCGTCTCACATGAGCATTGTTCAATCCGGAGGAAAAGAAAGCGAGGAACGTAGTCTCTATTCTAGACGGAGCCAATATGGAGTATTCTATGTGCTACTTCCTGTGGAGAAGCGGGGGGAGTAAGTAAGAAAAGACATGGCCGGCTGTGCAAGATGGTGCAAGATTAAAAAAGATAAAATGCATGGGATGATATTAAGAGATTTCTTCTGGCGCTTGCTCTAATTCAAGGGTCGACATGACCAGTTCCTCCACGGCCTTGAGGCTTTCATCGTCCCGTTTTCCGCCGAACTGTGCGCCTCCATCTTCCCCTGCTACTCTCTGGTCCAGGGCTAGCTTCGTTTGTCCGAGGGCATGGATCTGTTCCTCAATGGTCCCTCTTGTCACAAGGCGTACAACCTCGACTTCACGGGTCTGGCCGACGCGGTGCGCACGGTTTTCTGCCTGAATGTCTTCCTGTGGATTAAAGCTCGAGTCGAATATTATCACTTTGTTAGCGCAGGCCAAGTTGATCCCTGCACCACCGGCCTTTGTTGACAGCATGAACACCGGGACCTCCACTTGCTCATGAAAGGCATCAAGAATGGATTGGCGGTCTTCAACGCTGGTTTTCCCGTCGAGTCGGAAGAACTTGATCTTCTGAGTCTCGAGAACCTGTTCAAGGATGTCCATGACCATCGTAAACTGGGAGAAAACTAGAATCCGGTCGCCATTTGCGATATAATTATCCAGGAGCTCGCAAAGTTTATCAACTTTTCCAGAATTCATCCATTCCTTATTCTTAAGGGCAAATTTGCCAAGTGCGGCGGGGCTACCTGTACAGAGAGTATGGCATTCAAAGTCATTGTATTCGCGTAATTCAACGTAAATTTGATCAGGATCGGAATGCGTCCACTTCTCGTCTTTCAAGCACGCCTTTGATATTCGACTTAGCGTCTTGTCGTCATATAGCCGACGGGAGAAGAGTGGGTGAATTGCTGCCTGTCGTAGTTTCATGAGTATATTAGACGACTTGTTCCTTGTCAATTTCTTCCCTGCCGCTCGGTCGGCTATATGTTGCTTCACCGACTCAATCTCGCTATGATAAATCTCCTTTTGAGATTCATTCATTTCGCAGTACTCAACACGGGAAGTTTTAGCGGGCAGGTCAATCACTTGATGCTTCTTTCGTCGCAATACAAATGGCATCAGCATGGATTTTGCCCGAGCAATCCGTTGCGCAGATAGCAAGGCCGAATGTGTATCGTCTACTGTTCTAGCCTTGGCCCTAAATATGTACTCAAGATCATCCTTCCGTTCTCTGAAAACTGAAGGTAAAATGAATCCAAGCAGAGAGGCTAGTTCCTGGAGATTGTTTTGGAGCGGAGTGCCCGTGAGAAGTAGGCGGAATTGCGCTGGTATGCGAATAAGTTTCTCGTATAATTGAGACTTGCTACTTTTGAGCATGTGGCCTTCATCATAAACACAGACGTTGAAGTTCATGGATCGAAGAAAGGCTGCATCCACCTTCGCTTTCGCAATGGTATAAGTAGTAATGACAACATTGATATTCTCTCTGTTGTCTTCTATTTCAGTTCGAATTTCTGCTCGAGCCGCTTGCCCTGCATAATATGGCATTGTTTTCAGTTTTGGACAGAAGAGTGAAAACTCGCGAAGCCAGTTCTCAAGTGTTGAGGCCGGGACGACGACCAGATGGGGCCCAGTAACTCCAACTTCAAGGAGGTGAGAGAGGAAAGCAATGACCTGGCATGTCTTTCCCAGCCCCATGTCATCAGCAAGGATACAACTAAGGCCTTGGTCGTAGATTAATTTGAGCCAGTTGATTCCCACAACTTGGTAATCCTTCATCGTTATGGTGTCACTCATAATGGAAGGCTGGGATATAAATTTCCTACCCCGGGACTTATCTCTAACGTCATCCGCATCCTCACTTGCACAACAACGGCTAGATGGGCTTCCGATCCCAGAATCCTGGATCCCGTCCGAGGAAGGCTTGTCAAGAGACGTTATTTCCAGTTCGTTACCGTCCCGTTTTGATCCGAATATGTCGACTCCCCAGCGCTTTATCTCCGTTGCTATTGGCTTACCGAGGGCCTCGCATTCAGCGACTAGAGCATCAACTGCCTCATAGCCTGTCCACATATCTAAGCATTTGTCAACTATTTTGTCGCCTAAAGCTTTCTTGGAGGTTTTCTTCTTGTTTCCAGGAGCTTTTTCGGACGTATCAGATTGCTCGATGGAAACACATCGGGCAGAAGCCAGAGATGAGAATGGCCTTTGTGAAATAAATTCATTTGCAACGTCAAGAGTAATTTCCGCGATGTCAGATAAATCTTCGGGAGAGCAAATATTGAAAAACCCCAATACTTTTGCTTCCTGTGATCCATCATCGGGACTTAGACTTTCGGCCTCTGAATCCGAAGAGTAATCATCCTCAAGGGGTATTCTCGGTGAAGCTAGTCGTCCTTTTCCACGGGCAACAGTCTTTTTAGGGAGTTTACGGGATGTCGATTGGTCGGATACAGCGGTGTCCACAGGCGATTCCTGGCGTGATTTGGAGCCGCGTATTAGACGCCGGCGTGGAGCTTGTGGTTTATCTTCTGACTCTCGGCGCGAATTGATGAGTTGTTGGCTGGATGTCCATTTGTCCTGAATTCGACCTTTGGATTTGATTTGCTGTTTGACAGCGGAAACCCGTGGTATGCTACAATCTAAACTCAGTTCATCTTCAGACATTAGGTTCATCGAGCTCTTTTCTTCCAAGTTCGCAATGTACTCCAGGGCATGTTGGTAATTTCCCCGATGCTGCATGAGAGTATCCAAACAAAACCGAACGGATTTATTGGGGTATACCGAGCGTAACCTCTGTACCTTTGTTCTTAGAGTAAAGTCGTCTATTTGGTTCAGTGTAAAGCCATGATCGTCTGTAGCTGGAGGCGTCGTTCGATTTCGTTTATTCACCATTTCTGAAGCACCCGTTTTCGTTATGTTCGCAGTCTCTGCGGATCGCTTTTGGCCTTTAGTACCATCTGGGCTATAAAATGCAGCCGCAGTAATTTCACGAAATTTGGCCAAAGAGTTTCCCGATGTTGAAACGGGGGATGAGATATATCCATCTTTCTCTGGACTAGGGGCTGCTTTTGCAAATGTAGACGGCCTTATATCTGTAGTTCTCACGGCTGAGAAATCATCATCCGAAGAGCCGCCACGGTATGTAGGGCCATCGTCTTCGCTAAGATCTATGACTGGCGTCCGTCTAACTGGGCCCGTTGAAAAAGCGGGAGGTCGGAAATGGGTTCCTGGCGGTGCAATGGAAGCCGAAAAATTCCTGTTGGAACCCTGTAATGAAGGCCCAAGAGGAGATGAGCCGGCCACTTGAACTACGGCATCACGCTGAGGGGAGGACTTCGAATGTTTTGGAGGCTGAACTACTTGGGTAGGCTGGGTCAAGAGCTGGGTTGGTTGCGTAGGTGCAAGGATAGAGTGCTCGCCGTGGAGAGGAATTGTGGCGACTGTTTCCTGTTCTAGGGTCTCGCGGGTATCGGAGACAGGCTCATGATCAATATTCAAAGCCCTGCGGGCTGCGGCCATATTTCGTATAGGGGTGTCGGGAATGCGGTCCTCCATGCTCGCTAATTACCTCAGTGTCAAGAGGCTAGTGCAGCGTGCTGTAGACTACTGCCATAATGCTCTGAGCATTCTGTATTTGATCGTTGAGGGAAGGGCCAAAGAGGCAGACGGGCGCAAGTATGCTTCACACAGAGCAAGTATCGGAAATGAAAAAGGTAGCAACAGATTTATTTCGTTGCAAAGCATGGACTACATTACTAGGTACAATCTTGGAAGTTCATAAGAAAATGTCCATCGCCGAGAAAAAATCACGTGATGAACACGGTTCTCACGTGATATAATTTAGGGTTAAGGTTAGCGGCTTAAAATTTGAGTAAAAGTCAAAAAGTTTCGTATAAAGTAAAAGTAGGGAAAGTAAAGCGCGGCGTTGGGACAGATATTAAAAGGACAAAAGGGCGTCAAAAATTACCCTTCTGTCCACGACTCGCACTATCTCGGCTCATGTTCCTCTGGGAACACGGGGCAATAGGCCTTTTCGTCTCGTGGTCCTGTGGCCTAAGGTCTCGACATTTCTTCATTTGTGCTACTTACCAGACTTGTCAACGCAGGGCTTACCTGGCCGTTTAATGTTTAACACTTGACTGAGCGGGAAGCTCCTCACACACACCTCGTGCATAATTCTCCTATTCTTCAGTTTATCCAGGGCTTCGAAGCGAAATTCTAGCTGCCTACCCAGGTACCTAGGTAGATTCTAGATATGGGGTTGCGATGCCCAAACGTGTAACTTCATGCAAGCCAATCTCATTCCTGTGTGTGCCGCAACAGGCAAAAGGCCGCTAGGTAGCAAGTCACCTAAGAATCTTGTCATCGCTACGTATAAGAGCGCCTATATTATGGCTAGAGAAGCTAGAGAGGTGCTACTCATCTACATCTATATATAACTTCTAATTGTTGTGGGGTGTAATGGCTGGCATCTGAAGGAAATATCTTATCAGCGGTGCACAATTACTAGTCAATAATACGGAAGTAAAGTGACTGTATGTATAACATATCAGAATCATGGTAATAAATTATATTGAAACCATATGTTTGCAAGTAACTAAACTACTGGAAGTTGCTGCATAATCCCATTCTTCTTTGTGATATATAAATGAGTGTTACCAGGGGCTATTGCGAAGTAAAAGAGTTCCCCCATCCCGTTTCCTGAGAATTGGTTGATGCCTTAATCTGATAGAGCAACAACACCGTTCTCGAAAAACCAGTCAGACATAGGGTCACCGAGAAGCTGCAAAGCTGCACTTCAACGGTGATACTTTGTCTTGAAACTACTCCAGCTGCAGTATTTATCGAGATTTGTGGGCCATAACCTGCGTAGATACTCGGGATGCCCAGCGCGACTAAGTCTGTATCAAAGACTGTTAGCAAGCTACTGCCGGTGTCGTTGAGTACCAGGTTAGAATTTCCAGATAACATAATTACCCAGGTATCCATTTTAATTATCTCTGTTTTCTTAGATATTTGCTCATTAAGAGCAATTCGTGGTCTTTCATCAGCCCCTCCAGTGTTTCTCAATCTCACCATGCCGCTACACTGAAAGGAGTGAGCCCACATCAATAGTAGGCAGAGCTGAAGTTTTTGACAAGATCATATGTCACGCGACTCGCAAGCTGCCGGTCCATAGGCTAGGGGGGAGTCCAAAAAGGTCAGCCAGCTGCACTGTCTAGTAATGGACGAGGGCTGGTGACAAACTATCGAAGTCTGCCACTACACCAAAAGGAGTGATCCCACACTAATGGTAGGCAGAGCTGAAGTTTGACACAAATTTACAGTCTCAGACGCGGCAACAGGTAGTAATGATCATTTCCATACCCGATAAATTGAACCTTAAAAAAGTGAAGAAGATGAAGTTAGCTCAACGGCAGGGATGAGGGTCTGTGCTGGAAACTGTTGGCCGTACCCCTTAGATAGAAGGTGGGTAAGCAGGTTTCATAGAAGAGATAAGATATCTACAGGAAGGGAGCATTACCTCTACCCAAAAAGGGTATGCGGGATCAAAATCCTGAAGGGAGATAACTTTTCCCTTTTGAATGTGGACGGCGCTGCGAAGGAGCTTCTTTCCATGATATAGATTGATAGCAGCCTAAAGGCTTATTTTCTGGCCTTCCTTTGTTTCTGGGCTGTCAATCATTGCTTGGAGCTCTGCGATTCGTCCTTCTACATCCTATTTGATTGGGTTTAAACATGTAGGAAGAGGGTTAAATGGAGGCCGTGGACTCACGGTGTTAAATGACTGGACCGCCGAAGCATAGGCAGAAGTAGTTGACCCTGACCCTTTTGGGCAGAAGGCATCGGTGACAGTGGCATCTTCACTATGACGAACCAGTTAGTTCCTTAGCACAGAACCTGTCACTAACTGACTAGACATGTGGCAATGTTTGGGAATCATAGGTAGAAGTAGAGAGCAAGATATTGCCGTCAACTTCTTTTGGCTTGCCCACCGGGTATACCTGAGCCACAGAAACGCCACGATAGAGAAGATACTGAGAAGATCACAGCTATCTGGGCTTCTTTTGGCTCGCCCAATTTGCCTCGGTAGAAAGCAACCAGTGTTGATAACTCGATAAGAAGGCCGGAATTCGGAGAATACCAATTAACTAAGAGACAAACAGTAGTTAACGTATGTAACTAATGGCTATGCCGTGTTTGATGCTAGAGGTCGAAGAGATACTGACCTTACAGTCATTAAAACACTTCTACTCTTGCCCCAAAGTTGGTAACTAAGTAAGCATAGTTAGTTAACTATTGCGTCATCCAGATGATGTTAGCTTATGCTGCTCCTCGAGATAACTTTTGCTTTTCGAATAATACAATTGCAGCCAGGATGTTATTTTCTGGTCTTTGTTGTTGGATTCCAGGATTGTTAATCATGGCTTGGAGTCCAACAATACCTAAATACGGCCTCGTACGTCGCACTTGATCCTGTTGAGACATAGGACAGCGAGGGAACGGTCAAACGAGGCCATCTCTTCTGTAGAAGCCAAAGGTAAAGCAAGATTAGTTGTGCTAAATGCAGTCAGGACGAAGTTATTCTTTGACAGAAAATAATAAAGAAGATGGAGAGGTTGGAGAGGTCGAGGAAATTGAAGCGTTTATATACCCCGAAGACGTCGAGGTTGAGTGAAGTCGGATTCGAGTGACATCGCGAGCAGTGAAACATCTGCAGTGAAGCAGCCCTGGGGTAAAGCAGCTTTGCAGTGACAGAGCTACGGTCGCTGCCTCGAAAGATGATAATTCGGCGCTTTTGGCATAGGAGTAAAAGGGCAGGCAGCGAAATACAGAAAGATAAACAAAATACACCCCCCGGTACTCCCAAGGGAACGCTAGGGCGAAGCAGGATAATTCACCCACTCTACTAGGCCTTCCTTATTCACCGCCCATCCATGTGTTCCGAGATAAGCAACGTGATCGTTAACTATCAGCAGACATTCTGAACCTTCATCAACGATCTCAACAATGAAGTCCGTAGACAATCAGATGGACCTCATTGACCCCTAGAGCGAGATATCTCAAATCGTTAGGACCAAAAGAATATTCATGGCCCGGATGTCAACGCCAGAGACCAATGTGGCTGAAACAGTAGTTGACTAGTTAGTCATCGGGGATAACTAGTTTGACTAGGCCATGCATCCTCGACACCGGCTGTTATATTAGTGTATCGATGCAACGACTTCGAGGAGGTATATACTTATATGATATCAACCGGCTACCTCCCACAGATGTTTGTCGTATATTATGCCGAAGGCTTTCTCAGCTAGCTAGGCAACATTAAGGATAAAGTCGACGGGGAATTAGAGCTATTGGTGATCTGCTGCTTCGAGAATAGATCGAAGTCAATGCTTGCCGTCGACTAAGGCGAAGCGAAGGAACTGTCAGGCTGATCTCTAAAAGGAAACCTGACGTTGATGGTACTAGTGTGTTTGGCTGAACTCCCGTATCATGGTAGTGAAAGGGGACGCGAAGTTATAGGAAAAAGTCTACTTGTATAAGGGGCCAACATTGACGTTCAAGGCAGCATGGCCTGAGACGCCGGAAGGGATAACAGATGGTGAGCCGGCTATTTGGATACGGTGCTCGGATAGATAGAGCCGAGCGATATCGATAACCAAGAATACCCCGAATAAGATATTTGATTTGCCAAAGGCGCAGCACAATCGTTGCTTTACGAACTGGAGACTTAAAGGGGGATGTATTGGCTATTATGTCCCTTTCAGGATCCATTATCAGGGGTAATCCTGTTAAGGGACTCTACATTCCCTTCATCCTCGTCACCGCCAATGATACTTTAGAGGCCACTCTCCACAGTACAGCTCTTGGATATTAACAACGACCAACATATCGGACGGAAGAAGACCCATTTACTGGACGTCGCCGAATCCAGTCAAATTTATGGGGAAAACTAACTCAGATCACCATATGTTATTAACATCCGCTTCTCAAGAACGGTTACACAACCAGACCCCCGACTATGATTCTTACCGTCTAGATGCGATTCCGATAATTTCTATGGGAAATTCCGCGGCCTTCTCGGTTGGGCGGGCTGCTTTGGCCACCGCTAATGCATGTCATTGTTCCCCTGTCATCACTTCGAGAGGTTAGTTAACTACTTAACTAAGACTAGTTACGATCTCCAAAAGTCTTATTATGACCGATTTCCTGTATATTTGTGGCGAAAGACTGCTTCGAGAAAGACATCATCCTACAGTTTGGCTGCACGCTCGGCAGCAACAAGTATCTATTTGATACCCGTCTGGACGTTTACAGAATCAAAATAATACTTCAAACCCTGGAATTGGCGACCCAGAAGATGCAGACTGTATTAGAATTTTCTCCACACTGATGACCATTCAGTGTTCGAGAGAGCCGGGGGCAGTTTGGCTTGCAGCTGCTCCTGGTCTCATCATCACCCTCCTTGTTGCCGGTGCTCCGTTTGAATCTCAAATCGGCGGCCTGGACATATCCCTTCTCATCATAAAATTTGTTCTGCAATCATCTCAGCCACAAGGCAAGGCTCTTACTGATAGTCGATGGGCCAAAGACGGCTCCATTATTACCTCATGGATGACTTCAAACTGCAGATCTATCGGCCTGTCCATGTTATCGACGGTTGAGAATTGCCAACCACAATTATATATTTAAAGGAAAATAGCCTTTATGCTTGATTCAGATGATACCATCCTGAGCATTAGTACTTCATATACCGTCTATATTACATTCCCGAGATACGGAGAATCTCCAGCTCTGTACAAGACACCACCTATATCACTTTGCACATATAGAGCAGCCTTCCGTCTGAATTGTCTTGGCTGGCTCCTCATATATGCCGGATGGATCCAAACCCGTCTTGGTCGCTGGTTTCGAAGCATTACTATATGGCTGGGCGTCTGGGTCTCTAGCACGGCTACAGCCCACCTCGAACTATGGCGATGTCTACCGAATCCTTGCCTAAGACCCTGTCTTGTTGACTACGGAATAGCGAGATAGAAACAAAAAAGTCGTGGTAATTGCTATCCGGGCAAGAATATCTCGACTGAATGTATAAGAATGCCGATCACGCCTGATCGTCCAGGAACAAATTGATGCCCCATATGGCCCTCTCGTCCGTTCTCAAGATTTTCGCCTGCGGTTCCGTTAAACCTCATCAGGCCACGAGACTAGAGTTCTTAAAATCTTGGTAACTGACAGGGCCGGTGGGACCTTATTAGTGACGACGCGCTTCCCGATCGACCGTATGGATCTCCACCGTTAAAAGAGCCTCCCTGTTTTTGTTTTGCTCTCCTCGTTCATATACTTGACCGTGGCCAGGATGTGATCATGAACTGCTGTCGGCGTTCACTTCTTCACCTACCATACCGAACGATTATGTGGCCGTGGTACTGTCGTCCATGCCCAGCAGCCATCGGACACCATGCAGATCCCTCCAAAGAAAGTCATTATGTCCTGGCCCCGGCCGAACTATGAGCATCCAAAAGAACTTCGAGGGCCTGGGTTGATTATATTGACAGCCATATTCGCCCCGTTGACTGCCGCTGTCGTTGCCATCCGCTTGTTCACTCGTATTCGAATATCAAAGAGTTTTGGTACCGATGATATACTCATAGTTGCTGCAGCAATTCCGGCCATTGCCTGTGGTGTAATTACAGTCCTGGGCACGATCAAGTATGGATGGAGTCGACATGTCTACGATGTACCGTTCGACCAGCTTGTCCTGGGACTGAAGCTCACTATGGCGTTGGAGTGTCTCTTTGGCATCAGCTGCGCTCTCACGAAGCTATCCCTCCTCTTCTTTACGCGGAAAATGATTTCGGGAATAAATTCAAAGATCTTGAAGTGGCTCGTTTTCATTACCATTGCCATAGTTGCGGCTGAAATGGTCATCTTTTGCATTGTGGTCATTTTCACCTGCCGGTATAGTTTGCCCTGATCAACACTCTTTGATCTATACAATGGAAACAAAAAACAGCCAGCAGCTAACTTGAGTCGGATCTAGCCCAGTATCAGCCTACTGGACTCTAAGTCTCCACCCCCAGGAATGCATCAACGAAACGGCACATCTCCTGATCGGTACAATCATTAACATATTCACGGATCTCTTGGTTGTTATCTTGCCAATACCGACCGTCATGGGCCTCAAGTTGCCGTACAGACAGCGTATCGTCTTAGCCCTCCTTTTCGGCGCTGGTTTCGCAGTCTGTATTGCAGGCAGCGTCAAAACCTACTATGTCCATGCATATAATGTCTCGTATGACAAAACCTGGGATTCCTACCCCGTCTGGATCTCAGGCACCATCGAGCTGTACCTCGGCGTTGTATGTTGCAAATCCCCTCGGCTAGAATTGTGAGGACTGTATGGCTAACAATAACATCCAACTAGCTTGCTGCTTCGTTGGCCTCTCTCAAGCCGTTCTTCGCCCGCTACCTCCCCGCAGTCCTGGGCACATGGTCCTCCCAACGAGGCGGTCCTTCTGATTATTCCAACTCCCGGTCTCGCGGACGGCGAGGAGACAACGGGTATGTTAGTGATAGCAACGGCGGAATTCTCAACAGCTACCATACGACAACGACCGTCGCGTCTGCAACCCCAAATGGTATCGAGTTTGTAAACCTGGATAAGAAAGGGGTGATGGTGTCCAAATACATAACATATGAAGCCAACAATGTATCGAAACCTTCAAGCATTCGGTCCGCGGACGCAACATCAGAGTCGGAACTGAGGCTGACATGACCTAGATTTACTAACTCTTTCATCTTTTTTGTTTCAATGTGTGCATTGTTACGGCGGCAGGATGGTGGCAGGATTGGGTTTCGTCGGCATCTTCTAGGCTCTTTCGATATATCGAGTTTTAATGTGACGAAGAAGTGTTTTTTGAGGCACATAAGCTATGTAATTAGGTAACTAACTAACTTGTTAACTAACTAGGTAATTGGTTGACTGACTGGCAAAGCTTTGCTAAATCTCAGTAGACTCCCGCAGTTAACTAGTTAGATGGCCTAAAGGTAACCTATTCCAGGCTTAAACGCGGCTAGGGATGACATCTGGCATGGTCTGCCCCGTATGTGTTAAAGTGATGTTTGTTTTTGCCCAGCTAGTCTAACTCGGTAGTCATCGACAGGGGCTGCGGGATGCAAACATACCCCAGGGGGCAGCTCGGTGTAACAAGCTTCGGTTGGCGGATGCTTGTCTGCCGCTGGCGCGAAAGCCGACTGATATCAACCAGGCGTGGCTATTATTCCTCCGTACGAGGTCTCTGTCTGCCGAGCTAACTAGTTACTTGGTACATAGCAGACAAGAGGTCTAGATTTACCGTCGGAGAGCTGTATTAGAGGAGATGCATCCTTTGTGCATCTTTTGTCCTACACGGTCCCTAGGCATTGGTCTTGCAAGGTGGCAGATCAGGTCATCTAGACGTGATAGAACGTGGATTCTATTTGCATCGGGTCTATATGTGAACTAAAAAGCTGACCTCTATCCGACCCAGACCGTCTATAGACCAGGTGATAAGTAAGAAGCACCCCCAAAAGACAGAATCAAAATGCCCAGTGCGTGTGTATGTATGTCTCCCATGCTCCGTGGCTATGCATGCGTCGTATCATTTCAAGCCCACCACTTCTTTCTCTTCTCCTGGAGATCAACGAGCTGGTTCTGGAGCTTCTTCAGCTCATCGATGCGGGACGCCTCGGTGTTCAGAACCCGCAGATGTTCCTTTTTCAAGTCCTCGAAGGCCTCGTCGAGCTGTTTGTGCCACGGATATAGGACGAACACCTGGAAGCACAGGGCGGAGGAGGCGACGAAGAAGTTGGTCAAGCTGATGCCGCGGGCTGCCTCTTTTCTGGATCCAGCCATCTGGTTCGAAAGCCGGTAGGCCATAACCAATGGATAAGACAGTTTTAGAGTCATACTCCTGGAGCAGACTACTTACTTTTTTGATGCAGGGGCTCTCGCTACGATATCAGATGCTGTGTGAAGGCTGGAGGAGAACGAGACGATCGGGGCTCTATGGTCTATGGTGGAAAGCGCAGGTATCACTGTCCAGGAAACGGGCGCTGGTCATAATAGGCGAGTGTCTGAGGAGAGTCAGCTGTGTTATCTGCGAGTTGTTGCTCTTGAAACGAGTGTTTTTTTTTACAGCAGAGCAAGCAGCAGGCGAATACAACAACAAGAGAGCGAAAACTCTGCCTTGTCCTCCTCACTTTACTGACGGGCTCCTCTTAGGCCTAGGTACTTTAGTTGCTGTCGAAACCGCCGAAGGAGAACGTGAATGCCGACTTTTCGCCGAGAGGCGCCGCGGAGCCCAGCAAGCCCCACGGCCAGCGGTCGACCCTGGCGCCTCACGAGGACTGAGCAGCTGCAGCAGGGCGTTTAAGAAGCCGCTGGAAGCTGCTGGATCGCGGAAGACGCTGCTTTGGCCTGATCGCCGGCTCATCAACGGCCTGCTGGGGAACGGCCGATGCGATGGCTGTACGGAGTAGGGCGTGGCTAGCCAGCGTGCCGGTCGACTGCCTGGAGAAGCCGACTGGAGGGAGTTCCACAGACAGGCTCCGACCCGACAGGCACCATTATTGCAGCTCTGCACATCATCATCGCCGTCGTCTCCTCAATCTTCTCTTTTCTTCTCTATCTTGTCTTTCTTCTAGCCGTCTTCTTCTGCTTCTGCTTCTTTTTGATATAAAAAAAAAAGAGCCGAGAAAGTCATGGCTTCCACGTGACTCTCCGCCAAAAAAAAAAAAAAGAAAAAAAAAAAAGAAAAATGGAAGCAGACGAGAAGGAGAGAAGATGAAGAGAAGAAAAGGATGAAAGAAGGGAGGTTTATTCCATCGTCGCCGTCGCCGTCGCCGCCGCCGTCGCCGCCTGTCTGTCAGCGCTGATCTCCCCTCGTTTTGCTCGTTTTCTCCCGAGCCATCAGTGCAGGGGCCTTAGAAAGAGAGCGACACCAAGAAAAAGGGGCTCCCGCGCTTTTATCTGACTGGCGGGAGGTTTATTTATTTATTTACCCCTGAACGAGGCTATACTTCCCGTCGACCGCTTGGAATTGTATTCCGCGAGATTCATTTCTGCCCGTCGAAACAGGGTAAAACTCTTCATCCCCGTCCCTCGAGACCCGTCCGCTCGCTCTTTTTTTGCCGCCTTGCCTCGTCTCGTCCAGGCGTTGACATTCGTTTTTACACACTCCGTGCGCTGCATCCCTTACACCGAACGCCCGACAGACTTCCCCTACGCCCAAGGTGCATAGCCGCGACTGCGCGCCCCCTGTTACTCCGTACATCCAGCCGTGAACCAGGTGGGAATTCTCCGATCCAACGTCATCGGCGGCGGCTGTTATCCTGCCCCCCCCAAGAGGACCGCCGTGGGAAGCAATGATGACTTCTCCTACGTCGACTACGCTCTTCCACATTCCTACCAACCGGATATCTTCAGTGACGAACGGAAAGGGCATCACTCGCAGACGCCGGACGCTCACCAGCCCTTCTAGCAGCCATATACTACAGACCATCGAGGAGAGGAAGCTATGCAGGCTCAGGAGGACGCCTTCTTTGCTGCACCGCTGCAAGCACCTTGTGGTCCGGCATACATGGACCGTCCCGCTCGTTCCTCTGCTCGCCATTCTTTTCTTGTACGGCGTTAATCCCACGGAATCTAGTCTCTTTCATCGTTTTATATTCCTCTCATACAAACAGCCACGGTCTGACCCCATGAAACCTGTACAATATGCAAAGGGTCCATGGGACATCGCATTCGTTATCTTTTATACCATCGTCCTCTCTGTTGCTCGAGAGTTTGTCATGCAAGAGCTACTACGGCCCTTGGCTATCTTCTGCGGGCTGAAATCGCGGGGTAAAAGGCTCCGATTCATGGAACAGACCTATACTGCCCTCTATTTTGGCATAATGGGACCGGCAGGACTCTATGTGATGAGTACCTCTCCAGTCTGGTACTTCAATACCCGTGGAATGTATGAGGCTGCTCCTCATCTGACGCTCGACGCTGGCTTCAAGTTCTACTACTTGTTCCAGGCGGCCTACTGGGCGCAGCAGGCGGTAGTCATGCTGCTCGGGATGGAGAAGAGACGAAAGGACTTTAGGGAGCTCGTAACGCATCACATCGTTACTCTAGTCCTTATCTCTCTAAGCTACCGTTTTCATTTCACTTATGTCGGAATTGCGGTCTACATAACCCACGACATCAGTGATTTCTTCCTTGCTGTAAGTCCCAACTTATCCAATATCACTTCCTTTTTAATGAACAACACGGCCCCTTTTTAACACGGATACCCGTATAGTCATCCAAGTCACTCAACTACATCGACAGCCCTCTGGTAGGGCCTTTCGTCGGTGCCACTATCGCTACCTGGATCTACATGCGCAACTACCTAAATCTACGCATAATATTCTCCCTTTTCAACGAGTTTGATACCGTTGGCCCCACCGAGCTCGACTGGGAAGCAGGCCAGTTCAAATGTCTCTACACCAAGCTCTTCTTTCTGTTCCTGCTGGTTTCCCTCCAGGCCCTCAACCTCTTCTGGCTCTTTTTGCTTGTGCGCATTGCCTACCGCTTTGTCGTGCACAACATCGCAAAGGATGAGAGATCCGAAGCCGAAGAGTCCGAGATCGAAGAGATGAAGGCCAAGGAGGCTAAGGTAGCCGGATCATCTGCTATAATACAGTCTTCCAGCCTGAAGCCTGTTTCATGAATTCCTCTTCTCTTCTACTTCATCTTTGCCTTCTCCATGAGAAGCTGTAAAGACGGGTATTTACTTCTTGCCAAGTTTGATTTCGCTTCTTCAGTATTGATACCACCTTTGCTCGATTTTATAATGTTTAATATCATGGCAACTAGATAGATTCTACGAATAAATGCACATAACCATCTCTCTTGTTATCTTCTCCTCCGTTACCCCTGAACAGTAAACTAAGTACATATGCTCGCTCACTCGCTGCCTGCTGACCTAAGCCGCCTCGTCACATGAAGCAAGCCAACGTCGAAACTCCCAGGAAGAATAATAATTATTAGATATCGATTGTGATAACCAACTGCAACTCGACTACGTACATTCCTTCATCCATCCGACAATCCCCCGGGCTCGTCTTTCAGAAGCTGGCTCGCCTTATTTGTTACCTGCTTTGCCTCGCGCAGGTAATGCGCCACTGTCCCGTTCGCTTAACTACCCCGGTGAAGCTTCTCCAGCTTGGAGCTATGCTCGCGCTTCTCACGCGATAACAAGTTGACCTAAAACCCAAACGCTCAAACACCCTCCAAACAGCAATCCGTATCTGCTCTTGCGCACGGGTTCGCGAGGCCTGAATCTATCGGGATCAATACAAGGTCTAATACACGGTCAATAATTGAAATGCGTATCATAAAGCCTGTTTGGCTCACGCATGGAGGTCTGGACTCGTCTTCATCCTTATCAAAACTCGGCATTATCATAAATCGAACTTTTACTGACTGTTTCTCTCCGCGCTTGCTGGAGATACTCTTAAATAGGTGAACGGAAAGATTTCGAAGTATACAGCTGTGACGTTTCACCGGACGGGAAGAGACTGGTTACTGCCGCCGGAGGTGAGCTGCCACTACATCGTCCACGATTACCACCACTGCATGGGCCACTGGTCCCCTCCCACCTTGGACATTTGATATTTTTTGAAAATTCGTGGGGTTTTGCTCCCGTTTTTATGCAAGGCTTAGCTAACTGGGCGTGCGCGCGATGAATAGATGGATACGTTCGAATATGGTCTACAGAGGCAATATACAATGCGGGCGATCCGGCATATGATGACAAGCCCAAGCAGCTGGCTTCTATGAGCAATCATTCCGGAACAATTCATACGGTTCGCTTCTCGCCGAATGGGAAATACTTAGCCTCTGGGGCGGACGATAAGATTGTTTGCGTGTACACTCAAGAAGTGAATGCCACCGCCCATGCGACTTTCGGTACGGACAAACCCGTTTTTTTAAACCCCCATAATCCTAAGACTAATTTGTTTGCCCTGGTATAGGATCTAATGAACCCGCTCCTGTGGAAAACTGGCGTACTATTCGCCGCTTAATCGGCCATGATAATGATATTCAAGACTTAGGGTGGTCCTATGACTCTTCTATTCTAGTCTCAGTAGGACTGGATTCTAAAGTCGTAGTATGGTCAGGCCATACTTTTGAGAAACTAAAGACGCTCCTCAACCATCAGAGCCACGTCAAAGGAATCACCTTTGACCCCGCAAATAAATACTTTGCTACAGCCAGTGATGACCGTACCGTTCGGATATTCCGCTTCAATTCCCCCTTGCCCAACTCCACTGCCCACGACCAGACGCATAATTTTGTGCATGAAAGGACAGTTAAAAGTCCGTTTGTGAATTCCCCTCTCACCACATATTTCCGAAGATGCTCCTGGTCTCCCGATGGCAACCATATAGCTGCTGCAAACGCCGTCAATGGCCCAGTCAACGCTGTAGCAATCATAAACCGAGGTTCATGGGAAAGTGATATTAACTTGATCGGCCATGAAGCTCCAGTTGAAGTCTGCGCCTTCGCACCCCGGCTCTACTCACCCCAGCCGATTCAAAAACCTATGTTGGATAGCCACGGAAATCCAGTCCACAACGCGGTCACCGTTATTGCATGTGCTGGAGGAGATAAATCGTTAAGCATATGGATCACCAGCAACCCACGGCCCATCGTAGTAGCGCAGGATATATCAGTCAAGGCAATATCCGATTTGGCATGGAGTCCTGATGGAAATAATTTGTTTGCCACCGCCCTTGATGGAGCTATCATTGCTGTCCGATTTGAGACCGCAGATCTAGGCCACCCAATGCCCATTGAGGAAAATGAAAAGTCATTGTCAAAATTTGGAACGAATCGGAGAGGTGCGGGGATGGTCGAGTCCACTGACGGCTTACTCCTTGAAGAGAAAAGCAAAGCTGGGGAACTGCGTGGAGTAAAAGGCAGAATGGGCGCGTTAATGGGGGATGGCCAAGCTGATACTGACAGCACGGTTAGCGGAGATGCGGATGCTGCCGTAGCCGTAACCTCTGCGCCGAAAAATGCCCAGGCTGATAAGTCGAACAAAACTGGGACTACCAATGGAACGGAGCCAGCCCAAGCAAAGCAGGACCCATATGCTGTGAAGTTGGACAGGTTGAAACAAAGACCAACATATACTAAAGATGGGAAGAAGCGAATTGCACCACTATTGGTTTCTGGAGCAGTGGGGTCTCAATCTTCTCTTCCCCAGACAAAGCTAGTTGCCGCGTCAATGAACACCCAGGGGACATCAGAGGGACCACAGTCAGTACTTGACTTGTCCAAGCCGTTCGATGGTCTACCGAAGGGAGGGTTGGCAGCATTGCTATTTGGAAATAGGCGAAAGTTTTCTCAACTAGAAGATGACGAAGAAAACTCAGCCGAGAAAAGAGTAGCAACTGCAAGAGATAATGGCGTAATACCTATTCTCTCAAACACTCCGGATGGACTTGTCCCTGCAGTTCCAACTCCCAGTGGACCACAAGAAACACCCAGTTTCATCAGACCCGCGGTGGTCAACCCTTGCATGGCCATCAGTCAACTACGCCTCGCAGTTCCAAAGATACGAAGTCATATCCTGCAAGGTATAGACACCCTTGGGAACCCGAAGGATGTATCAGACAACGCAAAGGCCAGAGTGGATATTGTATTTGAAGCGCGAAATCCATCTCAGGCAAGTTTGACTGGGCGCGCGGTTGATAAGGAGCCGGTACGAATCAGTCTTAATCGCGGTGATCAGCCATTGTGGCAGGATTATCTTCCCAAGGCTGTGATACTTGTTACTGGAAACAAGAAGCTCTGGGCAGCAGCGTCTGAAGATGGTTCCATATATATATGGACGCCAGCCGGCAGGCGTCTCGTCAATGCCTTGGTGCTTGAATCACAGGCGGTGGTGCTAGAGTGTATGGAGTCATGGGTACTCTGCGTCACTGCTGTAGGGATGTGCTATGTATGGAATGTCGGCACTCTTTCATCACCCCATCCTCCCGTTTCACTCCAGCCAGTACTGGACGCAGCTCTACATACCATGACAAGTCATGCAACCGCCGTTCCATCCATAGTCGCATCAAGAATCAGTTCTGAAGGTCGAATAATCGTTGGTTTGTCGACAGGAGACGGATACAGCTACTCTCCATCACTGTATACCTGGCAACGACTATCCGAGCCATGGTGGGCTGTGGCAAGTCAGTACTGGAACTCCACTGAGGCACCGGTAGGCAACGTCCAGGTCCGCGGTCAGGCAGAAGGAGAGTCCGTAGCCCCAGTATCTGCTGGCATAGTCCCGTTCCTAGAACGAAACACCACCCAGGAAGTCCTCGCCCGAGGACGTGGACACTTCCTACAACGCCTCATCAAAGTGCTTTTATCTCGCGAAGGATTCGAGGGCTTCGAAGCATCTGCCTCTATAGCTCACCTGGAGAACCGAGTTGCCGCTACCCTGTCTCTTGCCGCTAAAGAGGAATTCCGCATGTACCTCTCTATGTACGCCAAACGACTGGGTGCAGAGGGAGCTAAACTCAAGGCTGAAGAGCTATTAGAAGATATCCTCGGTGGTGTTTTCGAAGACCAGGTAATTGAGGATGAGAAGGCGAAGCAGAGCCGTCAGCCAGGACAGCCAGAGCAACGGTCCTGGGTGAACGAGTCCGAAACATTGTGTGGATGGCCTCGTCGAACCCTCCTCAAGGACGTGATTCTAGCATTTGGTATGTTACTCAACGAATTTAGTACTCTTTTTACAGATACTAACATGTCATACAGGCAAACATCGCGATCTGCAGCGGGTGACTGTGCCGTATGCTCAGCTTCTGGGTATACTCGACGAGAGTCAGGATGACAACGATACCATGGATGTTTGAGTGTTTCTTTTATTTCATGTCTACCGCTTGGAGTTCAGGGTTGGGGCTACATTCAACTGGGACGGCGGATAGCTCTCTTATTTTAACAATCTGTACTCTATCGTCTTAGATTGGCACTTGTCCTCTTCTTGTTCTTTATCATTATTCTTTGCTCTTGTTTTTTTTATACCCGCATTAAAAGGTGCTTGTAATCTGGATATGGTTGTTATCTTAAGGTTCTTACTAAGCCGACCCGTGACCTCCGTCGGAATAACCATTTTCCTTCTCTAGGGCAAAACGTGAACTTTTTTTCCGGCCAAACAGAAAGAGAGAGCAAAACCAGCGGAAAAAGTGACAAATATAAAAACATCATCAAAATTTATGCAGCCTCTCTTCTCCCCCTCCCGCTCCCTGGTGCTCTTCTCTTCCTCCCCCACTCGCCCCTTGACACAACTCGCAGCTGGTCCTGCTTTTGGCCCCTTCACTCTTCTTCTCTTCAGAACTTCTCCCTCGCTAGTGAGCTCCCGAGGCTTCGCAAGCAGGAAGAAGAAAATGGCGCCCAAGAAGCCTGTCAAGCGGGAGAAGGTCCTCCTCGGACGGCCGGGCAACAGTCTGAAGAGCGGTATAGTATGTGCGAACCCTTCTTATGGTCTGTTCTGTCGTTCTCAATTTCGCTTCTCCTGTTCTGATTTGGCTGTTTCGGGTGGCTAACGAGTCTATTGACGCATAGGTTGGTCTGGCCAATGTTGGAAAATCTACTCTTTTCCAAGCCATCACCAAATCTACACTGGGAAACCCTGCCAATTTCCCCTATGCCACAATTGATCCTGAGCAGGCTCGAGTTATTGTACCGGATGAACGTTATGACTGGCTGTGCAAGCACTACAAGCCCAAGTCAGAGGTTCCGGCTAACTTGACAGTATATGATATTGCTGGTCTTACCAAAGGAGCATCCACAGGAGCTGGTCTTGGAAATGCGTTTTTGTCTCATATCCGTGCTGTAGATGCCATCTTCCAGGTTGTACGTTGCTTTGATGATGCTGAGATCGTGCACGTGGAGGGTGATGTCGACCCTGTTCGTGATCTAAACATCATCAGCGAGGAGCTTCGTATCAAAGATATTGAGTTCGTGGAGAAGGCGCTTGAAGGTTTGTCCAAGCAGACCAGACGAGGCGGTCAGTCCCTTGAGATGAAGAAACTCAAAGAAGAAGAAGAGATTGTCGCCAGAGTCCTTGCTTTCCTCAAGGAAGGTAATGATATTAGAAAAGGTGACTGGGGCCCCAAGGAGGTAAGAATTTTCTCCCCTTGTCCCTTGCCACCCACCTGCACATGAATATGGTATCATCCTCTGATGAATAAGAGCTATAACGCTCGACATTTAACCCAGCTCGTCGAAAGGCCAAAAGGCCCTCGTGAGATAAAATCCAAAGCTGATTGTTGATACCTATTCACTGAATTTGCTGCATTGCTATCCTATAATATGTTATTGCAAGGTCTAACTAGTTGACTTGTAGGTCGATGTGATTAATCCCCTCTTTTTGTTGACTGCCAAACCTGTGGTTTACCTAGTCAACCTTAGCGAAAAGGATTATATCCGCCAGAAGAATAAATATATCCCCAAGGTTGCCGAATGGATTAAAACTAACTCCCCTGGTGACCCCATTATTCCTCTCTCAGTCTCTTTCGAGGAGCGTCTAGCGCAGCTCGGAGATGATGCTGCAGCTGCTGAAGAATGTGAGAAGCTAGGCACCAAGTCTGCTTTGCCAAAAATTATTGTCACCATGCGCCAGAGTCTTAACCTGGGCAGCTTTTTCACTACTGGTGCGGATGAAGTTCGTCAGTGGACTATCCGTAAGGGCACCAAGGCTCCACAGGCCGCTGGTGTTATTCACACAGGTATGTTAATACGATACTTCTCTCCCTTGACTTGACCGATATCTAACAACTTTTCATCATAGATTTTGAAAAGACCTTTATCCAGTGTCTTGTTTTTAACTTTGATGTACTAAAAGAATGCGGTGATGAAGCTGCCGTAAGAGCAGCTGGTAAGGTCCTCACTAAGGGCAAAGATTATGTTATCGAGGATGGAGATATCGTCCTGATCAAAGCCGGTGCGGCCAAGGCATAGTTGTGCCATATGAATTGCGTACTTAGCGTTCCCCAGCCTTAAAAATCTAAGTGCTGCAGACTGTAATATTAATAAAAAATACTAGTCGAGGGAATCAATGTGCCAAAATAATAATATTGTGAGCCTCTTAGCTTGTTTAATATGTAAATTCTATCTTTTGCAGGATTCTATCGAGTAACAACGGCGTAAGCACTAACATCGCGAGGTTGCATCATGTGACCCAGTCTATCAGCAAGCATCTTCACAACAGCCAAAGCTTTCATTATAATTCTCACATATATTTGATACATATCAAATTCTCCTGCACACAATAACCATGTTTAAAAAAGAGTATGTAGCCTTATACAAATTCGGACTACTGATGAAGAAAGAGTGTCCTCCACCACCACCATCAACTATAGCTACCCCGCGGCGTTGAAGATGCGCGGGGTCAATTTTATATCCTATATCAATTTGAAGCTATTGAATAACTAACAAAACGACTGACTTAGTATAACTGCGGGAGCACGGTCAAAAGTCAAGTCTTCAGTGCAAAGGTCTTTACGGGCGAAATTCCTCGAGACTCATCCAGGTTTCGAGCCATATATCGATGAAGTTCTACCAAAGAAGGCTTCTTTAGAAGCCATGAAGCTGTACGCTATATATCTCCTACCACATCTATACACACACACAATGACTGATCGTCTTGGCTCCTACAGACCGGACCGAGTAACCCTATATATCGCAGACTCCAAACCCATTTTCTTCCAGTCCATGGACAGTCCTCTAATTCCCCATCTACGAGTTCTCCATGCTTTCCCCAACGCCATGCCTACGGTTGGAATTGACAGAGGGGCAATCAGATTCGTCCTATCAGGAGCTACATTGATGGCCCCTGGTCTCACATCTGCCGGCGGTAGTCTGCCTGACGCGGAGCATGCACTAGAAGCCGGCACAATAGTAGCAATCAGGGCGGAAGGAAAGGAAGAAATATGCATGGTTGGTGAGCTGAAGGTGGGAACCGAGGATATTAAGAAGAAGGGGAAAGGCGTTGTCATGGATGAAGGTCATTATTTGGGCGACGGGCTTTGGAAGCTAAACTTTGATTAATATTTGTGATTCTACAGCCGGAAGGTGGTTGGATATGTGACTCTTCTTCCCCTTTATTGTTAAATGTTTGGTTGCCGGTCTGGGTGCATTTTCGTTAGGCAGGTCTAGGTCCTACTCCGAGCTATGTAAGCTTCATCAATTTTATTATATACAAATCTATTAAATTCCATAAAAGGACCGGGTATCGCCCTCAATTCATCTCTGTAGAAACGAGGATGTTAATGGGAAAGCTGCCAGATGAAGGGCAATCCACAACATCAAAGCGGTCAGGATCTGTGCCGTAAAGTTGACACCCAGCTTTTACGCTCTGCAAGGAGCGACTCCATGTCAAAATCACGGGCTAATGTCTAACATTGCAAAACGGGGAATGGGGCAATCGTCAACATCAACCGGGCTACCAGGACCTTCTCTTCTCAGGCCTACTCTCACAACAGCGCGTTTCAACACCCTACCGGAACCATCTAATGCAATGAGGAATTGTGCGATCTCACCGCACAGCTCCCAGTCTCCCCGTTGTGATGCCAACCGCAAGAGACGAACGGCAGAGTCTTCAATCTTATCAAAACTATCTCCACTATCTCCGTCATCGGTGTCATCAAAAGCCTGCAAGACAAGTAGGTAGCCTCCAGCCGTTTTCAGCGAATTAAACTTGAGTGCTTGTTCAAATAACTCATTTGGGGGTGGAAGATAAGCGAAAAGAGTTCGCCAGGATCGTAGCTCCGTTTTTCGGATACACTGAACAAGAATATCAAGGTATAATTCAGGTGGGTTGGCAGCCTGGAGAAATGCTAACACACCGGGTAGTAATTGCTTCCCCTTCACAGGGGTCTCAATGCTGTTTCCTATGCTATGGTCATCTACGGCCTCGTCCAAGACGTGATGCAATAGAATTTCCAAGGCGTGAGGGAAGTATGACAGGTGTGAGAAATGGTGGCAAATCGAGAGAGCTGACGGTGTGTCAAAATAAGATAAGTTGTGCTGCAGGACGTATGGGAGAAAAAGTTGGGTCTATACACATCAGTATACGGTAGCTGGTAATAATGATTCGAGTAAGAACTTACTCTGATTGCAAATCTCTGTAATGTGAAAGTAACATCACGTCTTTGAGTGATCTCTGGCTCAATACCAAGAACTATGCCTTTGTTTAGCAGTATAGAAATAGGATAAAAGTCAGTGGGGATAGGCAAGTTCTTTGGTCCTTCAACTGATCGGCCAGTTGGGCGAAGTATATCTTGCATATCACTCCAGACGAACAGGTCCTTCCCACCAAAGACCCATAAAGAATCGCGGAGCGAGATATCGGAAGGGGAATTATTAACGGTGATCTCAGGGGTTTGTCCACCAGAAGAGGGCTCGTCGTTTGGAGGTGCAAAATTGAACGATAGTTGATCGCGCATAAGGATATAATATTCGACATCATGAGCAACAACACGCATATCATATTTCAATGCCCCGTTGGGGGAAACCGATGGTTGAAGCAAAACCAGTTTTCCATCAACAAGGAAGAGAACCGATGCTACAGCAACATCCTGAGATGGGTCTCCGTCACCTAAACAGATGTATTGTATTAGATAAAATTCTGTATAGAGAATATGAATAAGAGGATAGCATACGAAGTTGATCTTCAGGTAGGATCCAACTGATAGCGCGAACACGAGCTGGTGCTCTCACGATTCCATTGAAAGTTATCTGACCCACTTGAACGAGACTAATTCTTGTCCCAACAGCGTTTATAACATAGTGATATAATATGTTATCGTAAGTGTAAACCAAGAGAGAGTCCTCTCCCGAGGGCCCAATGAATACTGCTGGTGCTGGAAGGGGTTCTGAATAGAGGATTGAGGAATTATTCAGGGGCAACTCGCGAGAGTACATCCGCAACTATATCTAGTCAGCTTTACGATTGGAAAAGGAGATAAAGTGGTCTGTATACCTCGTATGAAGAATCGCCCTCAACAGCGACAATGAGGATGTGCCCATACCAGCACATCCCTCCTTGAATGGCGAAAGAATTTTCAACTTTTGGATCATCGAAAGTCTTCCACCTATTGCTGTGAACGCTATAATGAGCCAGGCCACGCCGGCCTGCCACGGCAACGTATCTACCATCTTGTGAGACACAGCATGTACGAATAGGCCATTGAGCGTGGAGATATCCAGGAGGGTATTGAGCATGGTGCCAAAGCGAGTCTTTGCCTGATATAGTTGTTAAGTCGGGAAGATCATGGCCACGATATAGAATGATTTCTGTTCCTGTTTGAAGAAGCGCTCGGGCAAGGTTTGCAGATGAAAAACAACCGGTTAGGGCACTGCGCGCAACTTCTAACAACCATATTCGCTTGTCTTTGGAGGATGCTAGCAGAATGTCGGAGCCACCACCAATCCATGCACCCATGGAAACTCCAGTTAGCCAGGTCTCCCCATTGCTTTCAGCAAGCGACTTCTCTGCTGTGAAGCTGGTGCCACCTGGCTTTCCAAATACGCTCCATGTTGTCCAACCGTTTTCATAACCTGCAAAAAGACAGTATCCATCATATGAGTAGCTCATAAAAGATATTTTTCCCATCGTAGCTGCAGATGCCGGCATCTGTAATTTGTGGGATAGCGGAATATTGCCGGAGTAATCCCTTGCTGCATAGACGCATATCTCACCGTTAACGCAACTAACTGCGAAAAGGGAGAATCTTGCATTTACAGCAACCTGGAGCGCCCGTTGCCCATCATTTTCTGGATTGTGAAATCTGTGTCCGGTGAAATTGACCTTGGATGAACCGGACTCGTCGGCCTCCCGGTAACTGTATTGTACTGCGTAAACCCGACCATCACTTGTTACCCATAACAGAAGATTCATAGCACGGTCATAGACCATTTCGACGACAAGCGACTTCTTTGAGAGCCACGAAATGCGGCTTAGAAGCTCTGTGCTGGTTTGATTACCGCTGCTATCCGGAGTCCACCGTATTAGTTGTATCGCAGCAGGTTTCGTTGTAGCAACCATTAGCTCGTTGTCTAACGCAACAGCTTTGCTAATCCCGGCATCAACTTTAATGGCTACCCTAAACCGTAGGCTTATTTCGCGGATTGCGTGGGAATCATTGGAGGGAAGGTTCCGTCTTGGATGTGACTGTAAGAATAACTGTTGATATACGTGGGAATGCGCATCAGTTGCAATCGAATACGTTATCAAGTAACCCTCTAGCGTCTGTACGACGATGATACCGGAGTCTGGTCGAAGCAGGAGAGCTACATTTGGGCCATAGTTCGTAATAGACACATGAGACCGCTTGATTGCCGCAACGACGGCTGTGGGCTATATCAGACGAGTTAGCATAAATGCCATAGATATCTCTCAGTGAGAAACATACCTTTGTCTGCCAAATGGCCAAAGATGACCTGGTCATCGTTGCAAATAAAGCTCCGCTCTTCGAGACACAGAGTCCAGCAATAGGCTCATCCGCCCAAGCATCGTCCGCGTCTCCCGCATGTTGGATAGCTATCTCCCGGTGCTTGTGCTGTAGCAATCCATTGCTCTGCTTCCTCTCGTCCGCAGACTCAGCAGTAGTTTCTGTCCTATTATCATCCTGCTCGGTCTCCTCTTCCTCTTGCTGCTGTCTCTTCTGCTGTTTCTGTATCTCCGGGCCGTTGACTGCATAGACTCGGGGCACTCCATTTGGCCAGTACATTGCTATGGCTGACTACCAGGAGCTCATATGAAGCATTGGCTCATTTTTGGCTCAGCGCCCCCCATACCGCATCTCAGCCGGGTCGTCTAAATATCGTAGATGTCGATAGGATTTCGTGGTCAGTTACTCTCGCCGTTGTTTCTCTCCCTTTGACGTTGGAGTCGCGGCCGAGGCTTCGGTCATGTGACCCTCTGACGGAGCTCTCGAGGGAAAAAGAACCGCCTGGAACCTGCAGGCCAACTAAGTAAAAAAACATCCCACCTCCAACAGGCAGAAGAGAAGAGCAGGACATTATCGCCTTTTCACGATGGTATTGTTGCTATCCTCCTAGTTAGACGTGGTCGCATAAAACTAACCTTCGGCTTTAGGCTCCTTCAGACTCGCAGAAACAGCTGGTGTTGGCCATAATAGACTTCCTCAACACCAGTCTCAAGGATGGAACGCTTACCGCAGAGCATTCAGAGTCGATAGAGATCGCTACCTCATGCCTTGGGGACACATTTGGTGTTGACCCATCCGATGAGGCTGCCGTGAAAGATGCCTTGGGCGGACAGTCTCTAGTGAACATCTTCAGTGTCTACCAAAAGGTGAAAGGCACCAGGAATACCGCTCCTGCAGCCGCCCCCAGTGAGGAACAAAAAGAGCCTAGCAAAACCGCTTCTCAGCCAGCTGGCGCTCCAACTCCTGAGTCCGATAAGCTGAAGTCCGAGGGAAACGCTGCTATGGTCCGCAAAGATTACCCCGCCGCGATTGACTGTTATACTCGCGCTCTAGACATTGCGCCTGCTAACCCCATCTACCTATCTAATCGTGCTGCTGCATACTCCGCCTCTGGGAACCATACAAAAGCTGCTGAGGATGCTGAGGTTGCCGTTGCTGCTGACCCCAAATACGTCAAGGCCTGGAGCCGACTTGGACTCGCTAGGTTCGCTCTGGGAGACGCCAAAGGCTCCGCAGAGGCTTACCAGAAGGGCATCGAGGCTGAAGGCAACGGTGGCAGTGATGCCATGAAGCGCGGCCTGGAGACAGCTAAGAAGCGCATTGCTGAAATGGAGAAGACTGAGAATGAACCCCCGGCCGAAGCTGTTGATGACGCTGCTGGAGCCACTCGTGGCGCTCCAGGCGGCATGCCAGATCTATCCTCTCTTGCAGGCATGCTTGGAGGTGGGGGTGGAGGCGGCATGCCTGACTTTAGTACCCTTATGAACAATCCTATGTTCGCTAACATGGCCCAGAATATAATGAGCAACCCTGACATGCTGAATAACTTGATGAGCAACCCGGCCCTGAGGCAGATGGCTGAGAACTTTGGAGGCGGCCGTGGCAGAGGATCAGGCTCAGGTGGTCTTCCTGACATGTCTGCGCTTATGAATGATCCCAGCATTGCCGAGATGTAAGTTGTTTTTATCTTCATCAATTCCCCGTTAAACTTTCAACTACTAATATACATTTTCAGGGCAAAGAATTTCATGGGAGGAAGAGGCGGTGGCCGCGGTACCGGCCCAAGCCCATAAAAGAAATATAATCAACTTGGAAATTATTATTTCTCTTTGGTTGCTCCTGGGACGTGGGAGATTTAGATGGTGCCGTTATGATTAATGTCAATCAATGTTTCTTTTCGTCATATGAAACTATCCCTTAAGGTCGTTCATATTATAAAGCTTTATTCGTAATTTGGTTCAAGAAATTGAAACATATATATACAGTATGTGAGAAGAGATAGGGCGATATGCGAGCCAATCAAGGTATTTAAACAAAACATGAAAAAGAACTTGCTCGCGGTCATCAGAAAATGGATTTCGTGCATATTTATACACGTTATTCCACCGTCAGCACATCTATTGGACTCCAAGTAGTATACAGCCAGATTTTTGAAACACCGGGAAGAAAAGAAAGGGGTAACAGTAGCAGCCAAATGGGACAGGTTAGAGAGAGGGGGAGGGTGTTGTGACAGAAATGCTATGCTTGAAGGGAAATATCGCACTCGTATAAAACAGTGATATCAGGCGTCTGTAGATTATAATGAAGTTGTTTTCCAGGCAGGGTTTGAGGAATGCCATGAGAGTAACCAAAGGGTAAGTAGGTATACATGTTTAAATGTAATCCCTGCCAGACTTTTGCAGCTCAATCAATCTCCAGCCACGAGTCTCGGGGTTATTGACCTCGTCTGGAATTCGAGTGACACCGATGGCATAGGTGACGAGTTGTACCCTGTCTTCCATGCCGGCGGCGAGTTCACCAGTTTTCTCCTTTCGATAGACATGGACCTCCTGACTCCTGCAGGTAATGATAAAAACTGGGATATCACCGGGTTCCAGCATACGGGCATGAGAGATATCGACATGTCGGATATCAAGAATTCGGCCATCAGACTTGAGGCCAGCGGTCTTGTATTGTTTCGTAAGGGCAGAGTAGACATGGAACTGGGCATCGGACAGCCATAGCTTAAGAGTTTCAACATCTCCCTTAACATAGGCATCCAGAACTTCTGGCAAGATATATTCTCGCATCTCGCGCAGGAATGGTTCGATCTGGAAATTTGGATCCATTTGCCGGAAGGCCTTGATTACCATTGCAGTCTCGTTCTCTGCGAAGAAACCAGCTACTCGGTCTGATATGCTTCGGGCAGTGCTTATAAGAGGGTTCTCGGATTCCTCATAGGTGTTCTTCAAGGAGAAAAGACGCTGCATCATGGGGCTGGTATCCCTGAATTCGCGCCACGATTCTTTCCAAGCTGCATCTTTATGAAGTGTGACATTGGTTCCAGCACTGATGGGCCACATAATTAGTTCAAAATATTCAACGATACGATGAGGAAGTGAGAGGTATAGAACTTACTTTGGGTCTTCTTCCATACGCTCCACCTTCTTACTGCCTTCCTTCAATTCCCGCTGCTCTCGTCGTTTCCGTCTCTCTTCCTTTTCGATCCATCCACCATATCGAGAACTGCTTCCATCATCTATGACCTCCTTCATGTTCCCCACAGCGGTTTTATACACTTTTGTCTCTCGGACAGGTCGTGTGGCCTGTTCAATTCCCCTTCCGGTTGCCGCAACACCACTCCTTATTCCCTTGACAGCAGTGGTATCCCATGTCCAGGCGGCACCTTTGCCAATTACGGTTCCAGTCTTTTTCAATGCTGAAGATGTTGTGGAAGACGCGGTGCTGGTAGCAGCTTCGTAAGCGGACCTAGCCTTCCTTACGGACTCACTCTCAGTGAACTGATGGGCAGAAGAAGCGAGTGCCTTGGTAGATTCATTCCACTCCTTTGAGGCTTTAAACTCGGATCGCAGAGTCTCCGTGAAGACTTGCCATGGGGTTTTGTCACCATGGGGTGGGGGTGGGGGTGCTTCCTCCTTTTTCTTTCCATCCTCCTTCTTGGAATCTGCAGATTCTTCTTCTCCCTCTTTCTTCGGTTCTTCCTTTGATTCTTCCTTCGAAGTTTGGCCTTTTGCAGGGCCCTCGGCAGAAGAATCTGTAGGGTTCTGCTGTTTATGTTGCTGTTGCTGGAGGAGGGTGCGTGCGGAGTGGAATGATCTCTTAGTAGCAAGAATTACCCACAAAGGGTCGCTGGCATGTCTCGATAAGTGAGAGAGCCTAGTGGTCGAAGGGATAATCGGGCTAGAGGTCGCAGGAATGGTATTTGGGGAGCTGAAATGTCGAAGAGTGGTCGGGGTAATTATCCGGCGGCCCGCAAGATGTCCTCGGGCGCCTGCTGTAGAGGTCAAAGGGGAGCATCCGCGCAGCACTAACCGCGCAGCGGCAGGCTGGGAGAGTGTTCCTGTTCCAATCATGCTCTGTACTTCCTCTAGATGGCGAGCGAAAGGGCGCTTTATTTGGTCACAAGGTCGTGAAAGTCCTTGGGGTGTTTTCAATTTTCCGTTGACTCCGAGGCGGGAAAAAAAAAAAGAGCGTCAAAACAATTAACCGTGCAAAGCCTTCCAGTACCCGAATGGAAAAATCCCCTCCGTGCAAATAGCCCAACGTCGTCGTAGAGACTCGGTGGTGTCTGCTCGCCTTCTGCTGCGTTGAGAAAAGCTGGATAAAAAAGAAAGTCGAGGAAGAAAATATTTTGGAGCTTCTTTTTCTTTTTTGCCTTTTTTGGGTTTTACAAGCGCCAAGCGCCGGCAAAAGGAAGCAGAAAAAAAAAAACTTCGAAGGAAACATCGAAAAAGCGCAGAAAAAGGACGAGAGGACGACGACGTTCGAACGTTTCACTACACGGTACTGAGTTGACAGGGCAATTGGGCGGCTTTTTTTGTTATGAGAAGTTACCTGAGACAGCTTTTTTAGGGCCATTGACCGCCGGGACGACCTTTTCCTACCTGGCTTCCTGGCCTTTCTTGCGACATCCGGACCTCGTCTTGATCACCCATGAGTGGAAGAATACCGCTGTCGACGGCCCTGCGGTCGTTGGCTCTCTCCGGAGAAGCCCAAAGCTGTTGCAGCCGTTCTTTACTGCGGCGGCCCTTCTCGTCGACGCCGCAATACAGAACAGTCTCCAAGGATACGCAGACACAGAGTAAAAACGACCGTGATCTCGAGAACCGGCTGCTGGGAGGCCAGAGCAAGAACGCTGGCCCTTCACGACTCGCAACCCTGTCCCAGGCCACACGATCGAAGGCAGCAGCCTCATCTAGCTCCAAGACGACGGAGGAGGTCATATCCAGAGTGTCCAGCCTTATCCAGAACCCACAACGAACAACCGAGCTTCCTCACCACCTACACATATACTCCCACAGACGAAACGTCCATGCTACCCTGACAAAACCGAACAACGAAGTGCTAATGTCCGTCAGCACGGGAAACATCGGTTTCCGCAAGGGCCACCGTGGAGACTACGATGCTGCGCACCAACTGGCCGTCTATACCATGGGCAAGATACAGGAGCGAGGGTTTCTGATGCAGATCAACGGGCTGGAAGTGATCCTCAGAGGCTTTGGGCCCGGTCGAGAAGCGTTCACGAAAGTCCTGCTAGGAAAGGAGGGCAAGGTCCTTCGCGAGAGAATCGTCCGGGTGTCTGATTCGACGAGGTTGAAGTTCGGCGGCACGCGAAGCCCAGCAGTAAGACGTCTCGGTTAGACGGTCTTTCAATTGTCTCTTCTGACTTCTTTTGTTTTACTCTCTTGACTCCCTGACTGCCTTGACACTTGCTTTTGATGATGCCTCTGGCTGTCCCGGCTGTCCGAGTCAACGTTCTATGTATACTACCATGTTCAATACTGTTATAGCTAGCATCTTATACATGTCCTACCTGGCCTCTCCTTTTTCTATTGCCAATCTACCACTGTCCATCTGTTACTGCAGCCTCTACAGCTGATTTGTTATTCACCAACTGTCCTGCTCCCAATATCCGATGAAAGCTGGATCACGTGAATCTCTTATCGCCAGGCTTCTTTATATCTTCACAAGCTCAAGATAAGCAGCAGAAAGAAAAGAAGAGAAGCTCAACTCCAAACAACTACAGGCAGACAGACAAGCAGACAGACAGTTAGACAGCCAGGAGACAACAGACCAGCTGAAGGCGATAGTGTCTACTCAATAACACGCGGCCCGGACCTGTGAGGCTCATCTCTCGCTGTTTAACGCCGCTACCTTTGCTCCCTAGCTTGCTCCCCATCGACCTCCGGGCCTCAAACCCCCCCGGGCCAGGATATCATCACCGCAGACCATTGCCATTGCGTGGGACTCTTGACGAGCGGCGGGACCCGTCCGCCAGGTCGTCCGATGTTGTGTGAATGCACCCTCTAAACCCGTTTCTCCGCTCTTTTTTCCGGAGCTCTCTGCCGTCGCAATGTATTCCCGTAGAAAGCCATGTATGCTTCCATTCCTCTTCCCCCACAAAGATCTACACACATCTATACGGTCCCCTATAGAATACACCTAGCTGACCGCATGACAGATTCTCCTGGTCCCTCTGACAGAGTCTCTTATTAATTCACGGGATCGAGAGTCCGGCGCGCAGTATGCCGACCTGGTCACGTCCGAGGACTTTCTTGCCAGTCACATCCTGCGAATTACGGGTTCACCGGGTTCGTCTGCGACTCAAGAGCTTTCGTCGCTAAGGGATCAAAAGGGCAAAGCATGGCAGATGGCAACGGCAAATGGACGGACGGTCGTCATCAAAGAGTCGGTAGTCTACAGCAACAAGGGGTTTAAGATGGTCAACCATGCCCAGTTGCTTAGTGACGTCCTCTATTCCTCGCCAAACGACAGCTCCCAGCAATGGCTCATTTACTACATCTCAAAGCCTCTAGTCGGCTCCTACGAACCCGGTCAGATTGTCCAGGCTATAGTTCCGGGTACTTTGGACAGTGTCTCACTCCGCCATGGCTCGGGCTTGGACGCCTCCTCTACTTTTCCAGCCAACTACCATCGCAATGAGATATCCTCGTTTGGTGACCTCCTGTCAAAATTTCCCTTGATTGCAAAGCAGATGAAACCCGGTCTGGACCGCCTCTTCCGCGAATTTGGCAAAGAACTTGGCAAACCACTTCCACCACCACCATCCGAATCCCCTGTGGCACCAGAACGTCCAACCGAGCGGAGTGAGGTTTACTCCTCGCAACAAAATTCCACCCACTCACTACCATTTGGTGTCTCAGAGCAGTATGAAGACGAAGAAGATGTAATGAGAAATGCTCTGGACACCGCAGTTACCGCAGCCATTGACATCTTTCGTCTCGTGGACAAACAACAACTCTCACTTCTTGGTGCTACCACTGATCTGACTGGCCCCATGGTTGAACGTCTGATTGAACGCTATGTCCTGGAGCAAGTTCACGATAATCTACTTTTCCCTCGCCTTTGTGAGTGTCGGCAATCTGATGATCTAGACCTCGACCTGCGTGTTCGCCAGATGGAGAATATCGATGTATCCCAGGTAGGGATACCGGTAGAAGGTGGCCATGAGGGCAGAGAAGATCTTAGACGCCGCATCGCAACAGCTGTCGAGGAGTTCAGAAAGATCTCAGATGCAAAGTGCCCACAGGACATGCTTGCCATACTCCTGAAGACCGTGAAGATTGTTACCATAGACCAGGCATCGGCTGCACCAGACAGCCAGAGCGAAAAGCCTTCTGTTCTCACTATCAACGCTGATGTGCTAGTATCCCTGCTACTGCTAGTTGTTATACGCTCACATGTACGACACCTCTATGCCAGGCTCTTATACATGCAACGCTTCATCTTTGTAGATGATGTCGAATCTGGAGAATCTGGATATGCACTTAGTACTTTTGAAGGAGTCTTGATATACCTTCAAAATGACTCCGCAGGTCTAAGAAAAGCGAGCTCGAGAAATAAACGTCTCTGGTCGGCAACCAAGCATGGGAAAATTCCGGAAATGACCGCCATTCTACAACCGGAGCTTCGGGCATCAAGCCCAGTCATCGATGAAAACGACTGTGAAAATGAGCAACAAGATGAGTCGAGGAGTCAAGAAGATGAGCGCCAGCAGCCGGTATCGAATGGGGTGTCAAGCAACAGACATAAGCTGTTCTTTTCAGAACCGAGCTGTGCCATTCAAGATGATATGCCAGAAACACCTAGACTAGCTCATGTCTTCCCCTTCCAAACATGGGATCAACCTACAACAGCCATGGAGCGGCCAAAGCCCCGGAAGAAGGTATCAATGGATACGAGGAGCATGTCGGAATCATCAACCACGTCTTTCCTTTCACGCTCTACTACATTCGGATCCATAGCAGGTGGAATAGAAGGCGATACATCAGTTCAGAGTTTAACTACAACCAAAGATCCGTCTGGACATTCGGTCCCAATGATGGCTGTCGAATCTTGCCAGCCAGAAGCTCTGATCTATCTACTGAGTTTGAGCGAGTACTACCCTCGAGAAAGCATTCTTCAGGATACAAACAGCGAGGGAACCACACTACTGAGTGCCGCCGTTCAGCTTGCACATACCGAAATCATTAACATCCTCATTGAATACATTCTCCAGGGAAACGAATCTGAAGTGGCCTTGTATCTTGCGAAGGCCGATAATAGGGGTCGCACCGTTGCACACTACCTCTTCAACTCCCCCGCGCTACTTTCACGCCTAGGAAAATCTCTCCCTTGGACGCTGCGAGACCGAAACGGGCAAACGCCTTTATTCGCCCTGTGCAGGTCTTACGATCATCCTGATTACAACCCCATGGTGAATGAAGCATTGACATTAGCGACCCTGGCCCAAGGCGATGGGAAACCGCTACGGTTGGATGATCATGTTGATGCAAAGGGGAATACCCTCCTTCATATTGTCAGCGACCCGCAAATACTACTTAGAATACTCAGGCAGTGTGACGGAGATCCCAATTATACAAACGACAGAAGATTTACCCCGTTGATGGTGGCTAGCAAATACGGTCGAATCGACCTTGTTAGAACCCTCTTTGCCGACCCTCGCGTTGATGTCCATCTCCGAGAATCCCGTGGGCTCACGGCAATAGAACTTGCCAAAGACGATGAAATCCGGAACCGAATAGACGATCTGGTTCTCTGCTCTAGCCCGCTCCCATCCTCGCCCGATGCGAGTAACCGTACAACAAGTGTTGTTAGATCTCTGTTTGTTGAAGACTTTGGAATACGGTTCATTATTAAATCTGGTGCTCCTTCTCCCAGTCCGCCTTCTCCCGATTCAAAAGCACCTCGCACGACCACATACACAGTCACAACTTGCCGGCGCAGCCTCAACGACTTTGAAAATCTCCTTCGATTTCTCCGGGTAGAACACCCTGCATCATATCTTCCTGAGATGCCTCATTTCCGATCCCCCTTTCAAATACCTTCAAAGCCCTCGAGGGCTGTTTTGCATGATATCCAGGAACGTTTGGATAGACTGCTGAAAGTTCTATTGGCTCACCCAACTTTCTCGACCCACGAATTACTTTGGGAATTCTTCCTTGTCCCTGAGATCCAGACGGAAATGATTGACCAGCGTTCCGCACGCAAGGCTACAGTCCTTGCTGAATCGATAATGGATGATTACGAGCCTGCGTCTGCTGAAGTTATACGAAGCACCCAACAGATTCTAAGCCACGCCGAAGACGCAGTCCAATCCGTCAATGAAGGAACCCGAAACTTGATCTGCTGCGGATACCTATTGCAAAATGCATCTACAGACTTTGCAGATGCTCTTTTCCTCTGCAGCTCTATGTTTTCGTCACTGCAGCCGCCTGCAAATATTCTTCCACATCAATACGTCCGAGCCTTCCACCGCTTCGTATCCTCTTTCAACCTCTCATCAACGGACTCCTCTCCCCTGCTACAGTTTTTAGCCGCACTCACCTCATCCCAAAATACCACAAAAGCAATGCTCACTTCCCTCTCCCGGCCCAACAATCTCATTCTGACACTCAATTCCGCCCAGCGGTCACTCTCCCGCGCTCGTTCCGCAGTTGCTTCCTCATCACTACCGCGAAAGTTTAACTTCTCTGTGCTTGAAGAATCTCGCCAACGCTCTATCCGTGAACAAGAGAGCAAGATTGCCACTCTGACGACTGAGATTGAGGAAGTCAGAAAAGAATTTTTGTGGAACAAGGAAGTTGTCGTTGGCGAACTTGCTGGATGGAGTTCTTGGAGAGAGCAAACTGGAAGAAAGGCCATTCGAGACTTTGTCAAGACAACACTCATACGAGAGAAAGAACGCGGTAAACGCATGGAACGGTGTTTACGGATGATCAAAGGCTAGATACTGGATTGCGCTTCTATGGATCCCTCATATCTCATCTTCTGTTTTTTCCTGGAAATATATCCCCCTTGCTTCCCCCTTTTTACGCACCATTCAAATCTTCTTTGCTGTTCTTGAGTAAATAAAAGGTGACATTACCTGCAACTTAGCTGGTTAAGCCGCAATATTTCTTTTTTCTTTTTAACGGCGGCTAATTCTACAGCGTTCGTCTTTTGTCTTATCTCCTGTATGACTATACCTCGTTTTCGTTCTCAGATACTTCTCCTAATAAGAGATTTCTAACACTGCGCCATGGTTGTGGGCCAGGTGCGGGAAGATGATTCACTTCGGTATATCAGTGGAGCTCAGTGTCTCAAATCTACCTGGTGTATCCTAGTTGTTTAATTTATTTCATGGTATACTGGGCTTGTAGAAAAGGCGAAACATATATTCAAACAGAAAACCGTAGAATTAACCCTTTATTTATCATTCATCTACAACCAGTCCTCATCTGGGTATAGGGATCCAACTATCATCAGTATCTAATTGATAAGAAAAGTGACTACGAAAAAAGAAAAAGAAAAAAAAGAAATCCCATAAGAGCTTTGCCAAAATAGTAGCACCAACCCCCCAAAGTGTGCGTACAAGCTCAAATAACGGAGTAGTTGAAGGCTGGTGAACGAATCGAGTCTAGAAACAGAAAATCCAGCTGATCGGAAAGGGGGAAAGCAAAAGAAAGGAGAAGAGAACGTAGAATGGAAGCAATAACACCCAAACAAGGGAGTAGGTATCCTATTCCTGAGATGGAATAAGGATTTGGGATCTGAAGCATAGAAAAATTTCATAATACAAAAAGATCAAAAAGAGGGATCGGATATATAAGGAAATTACTGCGCGAGCAGATGTAAAATAGAATGGCAGAGTGAAAAGAATGGCCCTAGGAATGAAACGTTGGATGACTTATATGCGAACAAGGACTCTTAGGTATACGGTTGTTGCGAGTTTGCTGGGTATACAGCACTGTTGTGACTCGTAAGTTGCATGAGGCTGTTTCGTCCTGCTTGGTGTGAGTTCACGGCACTATATCTTTTTGGTATAGGCCGCCTGTATTCTTCTGATGAATTGTGTAGATGTAGATTCTCCTGAGACGACTCGGGTAGTGGAGCAAGACCGGGTGCCCCAACTGCGTGGAAGCCGGTCTTTTCATCTTCCATCAAATCTGGCGAGTATGCCATGTACTGATGTTGATGCTCATTGGAGGCAATGAGCGAGTTGGATTGGCTTGTATTACCCATGTTACCTTGAGGTAGATGTAACTCGTTTTGCGCAGATTGGCTCAACGATGGCTGGTAGGCGGCATCCTGGTGGGAGGGGTATGTAGAATGGGCAATGCCTTTTTCCTCCATGCTATGAGGATATGAGTCCCCTTGAGAAGGGCTTGATAGGACGCCAAAGGAGCTCATATTGTGATCATATGCCATTGACTCATTGTGGTCGACAATTCCAGTTTGAGTCTGCTGGACATTGCCCATGGGAGGAGTCGGGGGGAATGGAGAGAGTCGCCTGCTGGAACCCTCATCCGTCTGGTTCTCCCTGGTATGTTTCCATCGTTTGTAGTAGACAAATGTGAGGAATATCAGGGAGATAACGACGAATCCACCGAATACCGCACCAGCAGCAACACCGCCCTTGCTTAGACTACTGCCTTTCGATTTGGGAGGGCCCGGGGGAGTGGTAGAAGAGGTCACGGGAGTAGACGAAGATGAAGATGTTGGAGCTGGTGGGCCATTGGAGGACTCAGCTGTATCACTGGTTGGTGATGTTGTTTGCTCTGGGGACTTGGATGACCCCAATGTCTCTGATGATGAGCTTGCAGGCACTGGGTCTGTAGAATTTGGTTTTGGATCTTTGGTACTAGTTGGAGTTTTGGTTGGTTCCGCGCTGGGCTTAGATTCTGGGGGCGGAGGCTGTGAAGAAGGGTCTTCATGTGTAGGCTGTGGTCCGTTTGTCCGAGTCCCAGGATCCTTTTCAGTCGTGGGGTCCCGGGTAGGTGAAGGCGCTGGATCTGGCTGCTGGGTCATTGGGTCTGGAGGAGGTCTGTTTGGGACAGAATCCCTGGGCGGGTCTGGTTGTTGTGTTGGAACGGACGGAGGAGGCTCAGTCTTCGGCGGATCGCTCTTGGGCGGTTCACTCTTGGGCGGTTCGCTCTTGGGCGGTTCGCTCTTGGGCGGTTCGCTCTTGGGCGGTTCGCTCTTGGGCGGTTCGCTCTTGGGCGGATCATTCTTGGGCGGATCATTCTTGGGCGGATCATTCTTGGGCGGATCATTCTTGGGCGGATCATTCTTGGGCGGATCATTCTTGGGCGGATCATTCTTGGGCGGATCATTCTTGGGGGGATCATTTTCTTCTCCATTTCCACCTTTTTTGGGATTATCTCCATGTTGACCTCCTTCGCCTTTACCACTGCCTGTTTCCGGGCCTCCTGATTTTCCTTTATCATTCTTATCCTTATTATCATCGCGGTTGTTGTCAGGGCCATTACCCTTAGGTCCAGGCGGTGGTTTATTCTCTCGACCAGGTGGAGGTCCGCGTTCTCCTTGATTTTCTCCCTGGTCTCCTTCTTTTCCACGCCCACCTTCTTTTCGTCCTTCTCCTTTCCCTTTATCGTCATCAGCTCTCTTGGCCTTGGATATTTCGTCCCATATCCAGAGATGGTCAAATGGCCGTGGTAGTTTTGAGTTGTCTTGATTTAGACAGCCAAGCTGGTCAGAACATGAGTCTGGACGAGCGGAAGAACGTATTGACGGAGTGGTTGCTAATGCAGCAGCGCATGATTGTAGCAGTAATAGTTGAATGAATGTCGGCGGTAACATGATTGGACGTGCTGGGTCAAAGGATGGAGCCCTCCGGCAACACGGTTAAGACAATGCGCCAGTCGATGGCGATGCGCATGAAGGAGTGAAGTAGATGGGTTCTGAACGAGAGACGGCAGTGGGAGAAGGGCTTTCCCTTCTGTTGAAAATTCAACAGCAGTTGGATGTGATTGCGAACTGGTCGAGGAATGGTTCTATTTTTACCTGGTCACAAGCAAGGACAGTCTTGAGAGGAGATTGATCTGCACGGCCGAACGAGCGATGGACAACGGGCAAGCATGGTCAAGCCAGTGAAATACCCGTCAAATTTTTCCTTTTCTTTTTTGGGTCTTTGGCTTTGCTAGTTGACCCAGGAATTGGAGAGCAGTGCGTAAGCCTAGCCAGCAGCCGCTTCTCTTTGATATATGTAAGTCCGAGGGAGGTTGTCAAACGGTTTCCCTCTCATCCCGGCGATTGGCGTCCGCCAGGAGAAGCAAAAACGAACGAAAAGGCTTAAAGTTCTTTCGCAGTTTTCCTTTACGAAGCGCCCACCTGCAGGTGGATGGAGAATTTATTGTTTTATAAATTGCACACTTTTTTAGGCGGGCGAAGGCTGCGAAAGGCTGGTCCCTATTGGCTTGTAACGAGTGGTACCGTTCATCGTCGGCCCTCATACACCCTCTTTTGGTCCGTGGATTTTGGATGGCCTGTCTGCCGGTGGCTGCGAGGACAACATCCTCCATAGAAGGAAAAACGACAGCTGAAACAGCACATTATTATTATAAAGGGCCATGCATAAGGACCTGACAAACGCGAGCAGGACTCCACGGCCTGCCCATTATTATTATCGTTCCCCCACCGATGACAAGCAGATCCAAGGGAGCCCCGGACGAGTCGTATGCTGGTGGCTGTCAAGGTACCGTCTTGGGTAATCCGTAACAGGGGGCATACCCCTTATCCGCTACTAGTGCGCTGTAGCGTCTTATGGTATGCACGCCTTTTCGAAGCCAGATGTGCGCTGCGTCTGTTAGTAAGATGGCTCGTCTCGTACGAACAAGATGGCTTGGAGACTTAGCTAACCGTGTATGTCATAGCCTGGTCGGCGATGTATATACTTGCTACTTATCTCAAAGTAGAGCGGTCGGTTGTCAATCTTCTCACTTAAGCCATGTCTTGCAAGGTTCGAGTCGAGTTCTTGTTCTTTTTTCCATTTTTGTACTCCGTAGTTGGTGAAGGAAAATGACGTCGAGAAGTAAGAAAATGCTGATGCCTGCTGAGGTCGCATCCAACTCGCCACAGAGCATCTTGTTACTTCGTCCTCCGTATATAAATATCCCCGCGGGGTAGCTGTTCTTCTTCTTCTTCTCCTCTCCCTCTTTTCCTGTTCTTCATCTTCCATCTCCATCCATATCAAACTTCAACAAGACGATAGTAAAGACGGCGCATCATCTCAAGAAACTGCTGGCCCCTGGACGGTTCACATCTACATCCACATCATCAACCATGCCTCTAGTTGTGCCGAATCTGTCAGAAGATGACAAGGCTGCCTGGGCGGCCAAGCTGATGGGCAAGAAGATTACAGAGTCCGAGTCGAACGAGACTGTAAGCTTGAGCCCGCCGATGCATGCTGGTTACTCTGGCACTGACATTGCTTTTTTCCCTGTTTCCTAGTGTTTTGCAAAGAAGGACCTTCCAGAGGGACACCGAGTTCTCAAGCCGGGCGACATGTCTACAATGGACTTCAAACCAGAAAGGTGTGTTAATATAATTGTCGATATTAAAGGCTGAGTTGGTCGTCTAGTATATGCCTGCTAACCCCGCGGGCTGTGCAGAATGAACGTCTACGTCGACGAGAACGGAACTGTCATGGACGTCAAGCATGGCTGAGCTTCCTGCATGTAGATAGATAGATTATCTCGGATGCAGTGAGGGCGATAATGATGACGGATAACGACCTCAGTGGTGAGGTTCCAGGGTTCCAGGTGATGGCTAATACCTGTAATTAATTCGCCATCCATGGGTTGATCAATATAAGAGGGTTTCATCGGGCTTTTTAAGTCTCCCTCCTACTAGAGCTGTAGCTTGTAATAGTAGCTAGACATGCCCCGATAGGTAGATAGACGTAATGATAAAAAGGCAGCCGGAGGCTCAGCCTGTAGATGTTAGGTAGATGATGTCCGACCCGATGAATAAGTGCTGGCATCTCACTTTAGGAGCCATGCTGATTCACCTCCTTGCCTGCGGAAGAACCATGCATGGAACACAACTGTGCATGCTGCACGCCCCTTATGGGAGATTCGCGCATTCGTGCATCCTTCCTGCCACACATCAGTCGTCTTCGTCAGAGCTGTACGCACCCAGCCCCAGGGTTGACGCCTTTGTTTCTGTCTGGCTGCTCGACTCTGGCTTCTTGATAGGAGGAGGTTGAGTGGCTTCAGATCCTTCCACTGCTTTATCCTTGCCATCTTTGCTGTGGGTGCTGCTATTATTGTTCTCTGCAGCGGTAGCGGACCTTCGTCGTTTAAGACCTAACAGACCACCTTCTTTCTCTTTGGGCCGCCGACGTTTCCGTCCTGAGATAGCCCAGCTGTCGCCTTCGTCTGCAGGCCCAACGAGCTCAGCAGCGTTCCCAGTCTCCGCATCCAGAAGAGCCTTCTCAGCCTCCTCACGCTGCCGGTGAAACAGTTCCAGCTTCTCACTCGTCTCCTTCTGCAATGCCTCCTCCTTGGCACGTGTAGACTCGAGTATCGAATCGAGAAATTCAACCTCGTCTTCATCCAGGGTTCGAAACTGGTTCTTCAGCCGTATTGATTCCTCGAACGCCTCTTGTTTGGCAGCTGGTGTAATCCATATCCGTCAGCACCAGTAGAAAATACAGTAGAGTAGCAGACTGAAGCTGAATTGGAACATTAACACCAGCGTTCTTTATTCGTGCCATACCCTTATTCTGCTGCAACACCTCATAGAGACTCTTCCCTCCTTCTTGCTGCCCTTCAGCAGCTCTCCTTTGGCGACTTTCCTCGAGCTCCTGTTTTACCTTCAGCCACTCGTCATTGGGCTTGCTGCCTTCATAGTCCTCCCCCTCAACGCCCGCAGATACAAACCCGGACGACATCCTGTCCGTTACAACGCAACCCGCTGGCGGCTGTCTTTTCTTGCTTTATCGTCTGCTCGACTAGCTACTTCGTCGTCGTCGTCTTCCTTTTTGCCCTCACTAAGAAACTTTAGGTTTGATATCATTGCTTAGTCATCTAAACGGATTATGATTCTTCCGATATCTCCGCTTTTCGCCGAGGTCCGGAAAAACTTCAGCCTATGACGAAAGCAGAAGTTCTTCTTTCTTCCGATCTTCTTCTTCTCTTCGTCAACTCAACCTCGACTTGCACAGTTGTTGTTGATGTCGTTTTGATATCGTCTCTTCACGATGCCGCCATCGAGTGGGCATCAGCTCATTCCGAAGGTCTGGCGAGTAGCCAGGTAAGTGGCCCTTTTCGGTCGTCAAGAGGAGAAAGGACGCCACGCCGACAGCATTATATAGGTTTGCCTTCGAGAAGACTGCGCGAGCAATCAGGAACAGACTTCCCGATGCCCCTGAACCCCGAGCCCTCCAGCTCCAGCCAGCATATATTCGTCCGTCTGCCAGGACTCCTGCAAACCGGATTGCGGCTCTCAGGCCACAGACTCGTCCCTTTACAACTGGCCGTGTGTCCAGTCGTGTCGCCGGTATCAGAACCGCCCAGCCGCTGAAGATCGCCACCCAGGTCAGTCGGTTGACAACGAGGACTCCCTTTGCGTCGGCCCTCCGCCCAAACCTCACAGGAGGTGCCTTTTGTCGAACAGCAGGAGGATATGCGATCGGTGCAGGGAAAATAGGTGGAGCACGATACTTCTCCAGCTCTCCAACATGCCCCGCTCAGGTTATCCAGAATGTCTCTGTAGCAATGCGTTCGTTCTGGCTGTCTGGCCAGAGAGTCCGCTTTGACGGTATTGACAAGCGAACTGGTGCTAAAAAGTACAAAGTTGTAACTCCTTTGCAGCAAGAGGCCGGCCGCAAGATGGATGCTATCTCCCCAGCCGCCTCCGGATCCTACGTTGACTTCAAGGTCTCTCCAACCATCACTGCTCTTGGATGCTTCAAGTCCATGCAGAAGGGATCGTCTTTCGCCGCCGATGAGCAGCCAACTCTCAACTCTGCTGGTCTGCTTGACCTTCTTTCCGGAGATTTTGCTCGCGTGCTCAAGGAACTCGCCGCCGTCCTCAACGATTTGAAGAAACTCGCCACACTCGGTGATCTTCCCATCTCGTTACAAGATCAGTCTACCATTCGCGTTCGATTCCCGGGATGCGATGCGGATACTGTGGAAAGGCTGTGTATCGAGGCTGGTGTTCAGAGAGGCGTTGTCGGCCAGGACGAAGACTTCGAGAGCAAAAACGGAGCTGACATGGCACTCCTCTTTCCCTTTGCTCTCAGTCACCAGCATTCCGAGTCAGGATCTTGTCCGCGTGAAAGTCCGTTTATGCGAACACCGGAGTATGTCAATTGGCAGGAGATGATGCTCTCGAACAACTCCGTTTCTCCCTTTGGTACCCCAGAGGGTGACTTTTCCCTCTTGAACCTGTCTGAGGAGAATCCATGGGCTCGTCAACCATCTGATTTTTCCAGTGTTGGCATCAGCGAGCTTGGTGATCGAGCATTCTTCCCTGACATCCGCTACCCAACCCCTACAGCGTCCGACTACGGAGGCATTGAGGGAGTCTGCAGGTTTATCGAGGAATGCAACCGAGCCAGCCGTTAAGCCGTCTCTCATAGATCATATCTTCTGCGTTGTTTTCTTCTGCTACGAATTTCCTTGTCTCATTTGATTATATCCAACTGTATATAGTTCGTTGCCGCTGTCTGTTTGTGGCTCCATTCGTTTCACTGGTGTATTTACAATTCTCTTTTGTTGGACAGATACCATCTCCGCTATGCCACTAGCTCCGTCTCTTTTTATTGAATATATCTTTGCACAATAAAACAATAAGTATCTATTCTATCGCTATATCTGTAGACGCAAGTACTGCGATGGGCCACTGGTTTAAGCAGCATCACGTGGAAGGTCCGCCACCAAAGCTGTTTTTGTTGGAAAAGAAAAAAAAAACACATCGAAAGCCACCAAGTTTGTAGATGCAAGATAATTGACCACGAACAACCTGCATTTCCCTGCCTTCACAGCTTCTGACACGCCTGTCGTACCTGTTCACACGAAGCGTATCCTTTCTCTGGTATCAATAGCTGATACGACAAACCTCACCGTCAGCGCAAAGCGGGGTGGGAGCTCGCTACAAAAAATACCCCCCAAACCACCAACTCGACCAGGTTATTCAAAGCTGCAGAACGACCTATAGGCCATGGACGAGTTCAACAACACAGACACAGACAGCGACTACACGTCCTTCTGGAGAGATTGGGTGAGTGGCCCGTTCGAGGTGTAACGCGGATATTTCTCGACTTGAGAGCGCGAGACTAATAACGCATTGCGAGCACAGTTCATATCCTCCCGAGGCAACGAATACTTCTGCGAAATAGACGAAGAGTACCTAACCGACCGCTTCAACCTAACGGGCCTCAACACCGAGGTCCAATACTACCAGTATGCGCTGGACATGGTGACGGACCTGTTCGACCTAGACGCCGACGAGGATCTACGAGAACAAATTGAGAAATCCGCCCGACATCTCTACGGCCTGGTTCATGCCCGGTACATCGTTACCACGCGCGGCCTCGCAAAAATGGTACCCAGCACCCTCAACGCCCTCTTCAAGTACGCACGCTAACTAACGAGCGCAGGTCGAGAAATACAAAAACGCAGATTTCGGCAAATGCCCGCGCGTGATGTGCGAGCAACACCCGCTCCTACCCATGGGCCAATCCGACATCCCCGGCCAAAAACCCGTCAAGCTATACTGCGCCAAATGCGAAGACATATATAACCCAAAATCATCCCGGCACGCAGCCGTCGACGGCGCCTACTTCGGGTCTTCCTTCCACAACGTGCTGTTCCAGGTATACCCGGACCTAATACCGGACAAGTCGCGACAGAGGTATGAGCCGCGGGTGTTTGGGTTCAGGGTGCATGCGTGCGCTGCGCTGGCGAGATGGCAGGATCGAAAACAAGAGGAGCTGCTGGGCCGGTTGCGGGAGCTGGATATGGAGAGTCCGTTTATCGAGGATCGGGAAGGGGATGAAGATGAGGATGAGCTTGAGGAGGATGAGGATGAGGGCGGGGATTCGATTATGAAGGATGAGAGTATGCCTGTTGCATGAGCAAGAGAGAAATACCGTCTTCTCCTTTTTTACATTGATAATGGAATGGGCGTATGGGGTGTTGATTGGCGTATTGTATGCCTTTTCTTCTTTTTTGCCTTAGCGCAGGTCATGATATGAATGATTGACTGGACTTGTTATTTATATGTGTTTGGTGTTTTTTATGAAGTGAGATTAAAGTATGCATGATGACGGCTTTGTTCTGTGCACAATGCATAACTGCGTCATTTGCAAGGGACAACGTAGATCTTCGATATCATTCTCACCAACTACATAGAGCTCTACCACAATCCTAGATCAATAACCATCTCGAACATATCAAGGCCGAGTAAAGTCAAGATCAAACAGCCAGAGAGCGTCTAGTCCAGAACATGCTCAAGGCAGCCAGAATGACCGGCAAAACACTCACAATCTCGCCCAGACCAGCATACGCCGGTGGGATACGCACATACACAAAGGCGCCCGCAGCCAACAAGATGGCAAACACATTATACAGCGCAGACCAGACGAAATTGAACACAATACGCCTGAACGACGCCCGCGACACATCCAGCAGCACCACTACGCCTTCCAGCCCGCCTAGCAGCACAACGTCGGCCGTAGCTCTACTAACGTCCGACGAAGAGCCGATTTGAACGCCCACGTCCGCCTGCGTGATGGCCACAGCATCATTAGTCCCGTCTCCGCAGAACAGCACCGTTTTGCCCTGTTCCATCAGCCGCGTGACGTACGCCTGTTTGTCGGAGGGAGTCTGACGAGCTGCGATGTGAGCGGTGGTGGAAATTCCCACGGCCAAAGCGATTTCTTCAACGGCCTTGGTCTCGTCTCCGCTGACGATGTGCACTGATAGACCCCTTGATTGGAGCTTTTGGATGACGCGCGCGGATTCAGGGCGGGGATTGTTCTTGAGCCCGAATACGGCGATCAGGGTGCTGTTGCGTGTGATGCAGAGGGTGCTCATGCCGTTGGCGATGAGGCGGGAGACGTTAGGGTGGGATTGGACGTGCAGCCATCGTGCGCTGCCGGCGCGGAGAGTAGAGGTGTCGGTGACGCACTCCACGCCTGCACCGGGGATGATGCGGATGTTCTCGAGGCGTTGAGATGGTTGGTCCTGGTCCTGGTTCTGGCTGGCGAGGTGTTTGGATACCGCGATGGAGACGGGATGTTTGTTATCGCGGACCAAGGCGGAGACAAGGGAGAGGGTATCCTGGTGAGACTCTGGCTGCTGGAGCAAGACTGTTTCTACCACTTCAAGGTCGGCGGTGGTGATGGTGCCGGTCTTGTCTAGCACGACGTCGGTGACTCTATGTGCTCGCTCGGTGGACTCGGCGGACTTGATAATGACGCCTGCCCTGGCCGCAATACCGCCCGCGACAACGAGGACCATGGGAACAGCCAGACCAACGGCACAGGGACAGGACACCGCGAAGACGGCAATGGTGTACGTTATGGCGGTACCGATGGCGCCGCCCGCAGCCTGGTGCCGCACCAGCAGACAGACAAGCAACCAGACCACCAACACGATGGACGCGGCGGCAGTGACGACGGGGACAAACCATCCCGCTACCTTGTCCGCTAGATCCTGGACCCTGGGCTTATGACTTGAGGCTTCTTCGACGAGATTGGATATCTCTGCCACGGTATTCTTGCCTGGCAGCCGAGTGAGGAGAGCCGTGAGACTGCCTGATCCGTTGATGGTGCCGGCAATGAGCTGGGCGCCCCTTTTCTTGAGGACAGGCAGACTCTCGCCCGTAAGCATGGACTCGTCAACCTCGCTTGTCCCCTCGAGCACCCTCCCGTCCGTGGGGATGGTACAATGCGGCGAGACCAGAAACTTATCCCCGAACTGAAGCAGTCTAGCATCAATTTCTCGTGTCTCGCCAGCGACGGTATCTTCGAGCAAGAGTGCAGTAGCAGGCTGCAAGGAGCGGGTAGACACCGCTTCCACGGCCCGAATGCGAGCGTAGGCAGCGACCAGCCTGCCGAACAGCACGAGGGTGATGAGCAGGGTACTTGTTTCGAAGAACTCGGGCGTGGCGAGCGGTTTGTCTGCGAGGCTGAACCCGACTGCCACGAGCGAGTAGAGGTATGCAGCCGTGATGCTGATGACGACCAGCATGTCCATCTCGACGACGCGGCTGTAGATGAGCGAGGTGATGGCCGGTTTGTAGAATTCCGGTACAGCCAGGGCCTGAACACCGGTGGCCAGAACCAGGGAGACGATGGCCTTGGTGCGCCGGCCGGTCAGCGAGTGGCCCCATGCCAGCACCAGGACAGGAATGGTAAGCAAGGCCGCATAAGTCGTCTTGTAGAGCATGGCATAGAGTCTCTTCCGGCCGGCAGAGGCAGCGGGATCCCCGTGGTTGTTGACTGGGGAAAGGCCCGAGGTGCGATCTCCCATGGCCTGGAGGAGATCTCGGGCTCCGATGGCCAGGGGGTCGAATGCAATGCGGACTGTCCTGGCGTCGAGGATGTCTACCTGGGTGACTCCTGCAGGCAGACTTTCAACCGTGACAGTGGGAGCAGTCCCGGGGGAGACAATCAGATCTAAATGCTGGTCGTCTGCAGAAGACGAAGCCTTGACGCAGCGGAAGCCCGTGAGCCTGTCGAGACGGTCGATGAGGGACTCGATGCTGGTGCGGGCAGTATCGAGGTCGAACTCTGCGTTTCCGAGGACGAAGTTGACCTTGACGTTGTAGACTGCGGGTGAGTCCTGGAGGGCCCTGGAGAGCTTGTTCCCGCATCCAGAGCAGGTCATGCCGGAGACTGCGAGGAGGATGTGTTCGTGGCCAGCAGATTTCTCCAGGTCGACGGCCGTTCCTTTGATGATGCCAGTAGAACTGTCATTTTCATGACTATGACTGTGATCATCGTGGTCATGGTCATGGTCATGGTCATGTCCGTCGGAGCAGCAGCTCGAGGTATCATCCAGGTCAATATCTTTATCTTCATGGATATGTCTTGGGACAATAGGCTGAGACTGAGAAGAGGCAGCCTGGCCGGCACAGCAAGGGGTGAGGCTGTGGCTGGCGATGACGCTGCGACAGATGCACTGGGCGGTCTCGAGATAGGAGCTGAAGCGCTCAAAGGCGAGCCTGAGATGGCTGCTGCAGGCGACCGCTCCATGCTTCCCGTCGTCTCCATGCTCATGAACATGTTCGTCTATAGCCGTTAGTACCAAATATCAAAATATAAGTAGAAAGAATAGTAAGATAGGAGTGGTTACCAGCAGCTCCGTCATCGCAGGCCTTTTGGCACTCGTAGGCAGCCAGCGACTCGATGCAGGTTTCTACTCAGTATTAATCTCTATACCAGCAGCCAAAAGCAGTATAGACAGACCATCGCAGCGCTCGTCGGCTTCAGGATCGCAGCAGGCAGCATCCCGGCCAGACAGACGAGCCATGACTCTGCCGTCGCCGTCCTCAGCAGGGGAGCAGGAGGAAGAGAATCCTGCCGGGGGCTTCTTCTCGCCCGCACAGCATCCAGACTTGTTTCCGCAGGCCATTTCCGTGATCAATCAAAGCAGTTAGAGAGAGTCCTCTAGAGAGTCTTTATAAAAGAGATAGAAAGAGATGAACGAAAGAGAGATGACTCTTCGGTCCTTTTCCTTTACTTGAGTCCAGGCAAATCACTTCTTCGGCGAGATGGAAGAAGAAGAAGCGAGCTTTTTGCCTTTTGATGCCGACGGGAAGATCCGGCGAGCTGAAGAAAAGACTTAAAAGCGACTTAAGAAGAGACTTAAGAAGAGACTCAAAAGCCTTCATCGTCGTCTCCGGCTTCTCCCTAATTGGCAGCGCAGTCCGGACGGAGCAAGCCTCGCCGGAGAGCCATCATTATTGACCAGCAGCTGAAGTGAAGCTGAGCTGAAGATGAAGTTCGTCTTCGTCTTTGCCCAGTCGTCTAGTTAGTTGCATCTCCGGCGATGTGCGTTCGTGCATGAACTAGTCGAGTCAATCAGCAGGAGGAAGATCAACGCTGACCGCTCAATCAACTAGCAGCTACCAAGTAGTTGTAGCTGAGAAGAAGAGAAGAAGAGAAGAGCAGCTTCATCGTCTTTATATCATCGTCGACGAGGACCTTGCGAGAGAGAGACAAGCGACTGATTAGCAGAAGAGACTCCGTGGTAGCGAGCAATCTAGACATCCAGACTGGCTGCGGGAAGAAGAAAATACTAAGAGATACGAGATGCACAGCCACTCAACAGTCACCAACAATCACCAACAGTCACCAACAGTCAAATATCAAATATCAAATATCAACCACCTCCATTGACTCCCTGTCAATCACATCTTCCACCATGCAATGCCACACCTGTCGCAAGAGAAGAGTGCGCTGCGACGGCGCTGTCCCCGCGTGCCAAAAGTGCTGCGACCGCCAGCTCGACTGTCTGGGCTACGGCAAGCAGAAGCCTCTCGTCTGGCTGGCGGGCGGCGGACACCAGAACGCCTTTCTCTGCGACCGCCAGAAGGCCAGGAAGAAGGGCAGGCCGCGTCTCGTAGTCGACGGTCCTAGTCCTTCTCAAGATACCAAAGATGAAGATCAAGATGTCAAAGATGTCGCTGTCGTGGTGGCGCCAAAGGCCGTCCCAGAGTCGATGATGTTCTCCTACCCGGCGGAGATCCAGAAGGTCGTCCGCACCATCTGGTACTGTAAGACTCACTACAACATATTATGCATAGATATTGTGTTGACGAGGTAGACGAGCATGAGCTGGTGCCTGATCTCGATCCGATCAACCACGTCGACGTCAAGGCCGCCGAGGATCCAACGGCCTGGCAGGACGAGCTCGCCTCCATCCTCTGGCACGTCCTCATCTGCGCCGTCGACACCCACAAGGCCATCCGCTCGCAGTCAGACGTCGACGCGGGAGTAGAGCTCCAGGTCGGCCGCGAGGTCTACCGCTCCAAGTCCCAGACCCTCAGGCGCATCGGCAGGAACATCGCGGACCCGGCAACTCGCATCTCAGACGTCACTCTCGTCGGCGTCCTGACCCTCTTCATGGCCGAGGTAGATCCATGCCCTCCGTGATTGATCACTGCTAATACCGGGTAGACGCAGCTGTCGGCGGTTGGGCCATGGCAGACGCATTTCGAGGGAGCATGCCATATCATCCGCATGCGTGGAGGAGTCAGTGCCATCGCCAGACACAGCGCCGGCTTGAACTCCCTGCTCACCTTCTTCATGATGTAAGTACCTCATCTACATGTATAGATCCAAGTTAACCAGGTAGTGCCGACGTGATGAGCTATACCACTATATCCTCGTCTCTCCCCATGCTCGACGCAAGGCGGCAGCTCGAGTACACTGATGTCATACAGGAGGTCTACCAGGACGGCTCGGGGACATGCATCCCTTGTCCCAACCAGCTCTTCGACGCCATCATCCGCATCAACCACCTCAGAGCCCTGGCTGAGTCGTGCTCTAGTCCAGCCATCATAGAACTACAAGACCTGGACCGGGAAGACGGATCTCCATCAAGTTCTACCAGCTCAACTACCTCTCTCAAAGCATCTGTTCATGCATTACTACAAGATATCTTATCCTTCCCCATTGCTTCATGGGCAGATAGCATGCATCAACAAACGGTCACTCGACAGCAAGCTGCATACAGCAGGTCAGATCCCAAAAAGGCCTTCCTGCGTCCAGACAGGGCAGACTGGGTGCGCATAGCCAGTATATACCATGCTGCCACCGCCATCTACTGCGTCAGAAGCCTCGGCCAGCTCCTCGACCCAGACCAACTACTCCACGTCTCATTCCCTTCAACTACTTCCACAGCTTCATACGTGTCCATGTCCGACATCCTCCTCGTGGCCAGGAAGATTCTGCGGGAGAAACTGCGAGAAGTCCTGCTTACGGTCTCCGATCCCCGCAAGTCCTTTGTCAAAGTCATGCTCTGGCCCATGTTTGTGGCCGGCGTCGAGGCTGCGGTGGACTGCCAGCCGGAGACTGTGCAGTTTAGATCACTGCTGGAATCAGTCCTGCGGCGGCTGTGTCGCTCCCTCGGCACTTTGAGCATCTGTGGCCTGCGCAGTTTCTTGCTTTCTCTCTGGGAACATGCTCGACTTCACCCGCATCTCTGGTCGTGGAGCGAGCTCATGGCCCTCTCGCCTGGTCGAAGCGTCTTCTTCATGTAGCCATCTTGCATATACCCTCATTTCATTCTTGCATAACTGTGTATACTCACGTCATCCCTACATAGACTGTACTCACTTCATTCTGCATAGATTGTACTCACTTGATTCCTGCAGACTACTAAACCTGCATATCCTCCAACTCCCTAATACCAATAGCAATGACTTCCGCAACCTCCCTTCCATTAATCCACATCCCATCATGCGTCTCAGCCATATCCTCCACAATCCTCACCCGTCTCTCCGCACCCCCATCACCAGCAGCAACCCACGCATCCACCGTCCCCTTCATAAACCCCAACTGACTCCCCGGCAACGCTTCATCATTCACCGAAAACCCCATCACCACCACCCGTCCGTTATTCCAACTATCAACCACGCCCCCTACCCCTTCCCCGTCCACCGCAGGAGACACAACCTCCCACGTCCGCTCCGCCTCATCCCCAAACGCCCCCGTCACAAACTCCCGGTACGCACTTATATGCGCCTTCTCCTCCACCAGACCAAGCAGGTTCGTCACGCCAGCCACGCTCACCACCGCCACGGGACGAACAACTTCATACCCACTCAGCACGCGGTTCATAACCACCTGGAACGCCATCGTGCCGCCGCAGCTGTGGCCCGCAAGCACGTACCGCTCGCCGAACCCGTACATGGACTGCAGCAGGGCCAGCCCGTCCCGCACGTCGTGGATGTGCTCCGGGTGTTTGGCGTTGCGGTACTCGCTTGCATCCAGGCTGGTAGGGTCCTGTGGGTGGTTGGGGTGTGCGGACAGTCGGTAGTCGATGGATGCTATTCCTGCTATGCTGGATGAGACGGAGTGGTCGGAGAGCAGGTGGTCCTGCGCCGCCTTGAAGGAGGGCGCCAGGATGTCTGGATCCCGCCATGCCCCGCCATGAATGTACCTATTCTTATCAGCAAGACCCCCTAATTTAATAAATTATATATATAGATGTTTATAAGACGTACACTATCCAGTAGCCGGTGTTGGCTGGGGCGGGCGAGGGGGGTATATGCACGTAGACGTTCTGCAGGTAGTGCTCGCCATAGCTGTACTTCTCGTATCCATTCTCCGCCATTGTCTTGTATTCTCTGCTTCTCTGACTGATGTCTTATCTGATATTGCTTCTGGATATCGATATCAATATCAGATAGTTGTAATAAAGAGGATGGTGTAATAAAGAATAATCAGTGGTCGAGTCTATATATCGTGTTGCACGCAGGGTCCTGGATGCCCCTCAGTCGACTTTGCAACCACCCTTGCTGCCCGTGAAGAATCCGCGCATCGGGCTCGAACCACGTCTCTGCGCATGCACGGCAAGCCAGACCATCCTTGCACTCAGCCTGCCACAGTCACAAACCCGCATCTTCTTCTCTTCTCCATCTCTTTCATGCGCTTTTTCTACCTCCTCCTCGTCGTCTTTGTTTCTTCGGCGTTTTCGGCGTTTTTTATGATTATGTAATTAACTACATACTTAGGTAATAAACTATTCACGCTAGTCTGTTTCCGGCTTAGCGACTTATCTTCTTGTCGCTTTTTTTATCTTTTTTTTTTTTATTTCACACAAAACGACGACGACGAGGACGACGAGACGAAGACGAAGCTGAGATTCAACAACTTGCGAGGCAGCTGCTCGACCCGTGAACTGGATACTGCATAGAGGAAGACGCTGTAATCGCTGAACCAGTCAAGATGGCAGAGTATGTTTCTACTAAGACTGCGAGTTTGGCAGGGGACTCGAAGCTGACCTTGTTCTAGGAGAGACGGCCCATTGAAGGCGGTCCAGGTGGACGCGCTGGTACGATACACACACTATACACTTATATTCGACGCCGAAGAAGAATACTGATGGCTATGCAGGTCGTGATGAAGATAATCAAGCACTGCACCCAGACATTCCCCACGACAGCCACCGGATCCCTGGTCGGAATGGACGTCAAGGGCACCCTCGAAATCACCAACTGCTTCCCCTTCCCCGTCGTCGACCTGCCGCCGGACTCACACCTCGACATATCGCCCTCCAGCGGCGCTGCGTCGGCGCCCCGAGCCAAGTCCAACGTCGCTTACCAGGCTGAGATGATACGTATGCTGCGCGAGGTCAACATCGATGCCAACAATGTGGGGTACTACACCAGTGCCAACATGGGCAACTTCCTCAATCTCAATGTCATTGAGAACCAGTACTTTTACCAAAAGGACATGAACGAGACTGCCGTCACCCTCGTGCACGATGTCAGCCGCAGCTCCCAGGGCCCGCTCAGTCTGCGCGCCTTCAGACTCTCCCCGCAGTTCATGACTGCTTTTAAGGAGAACAAATTCACCGCCGAGAAGTACGTACCCTCCTTCTTTTCTCTCCACGAGTATATGTATACTGACGGACGTAGCTTGCAAAAATCCAACCTCAGACACAGTGACATCTTCGTCGAGTTGCCAGTGACCATCCACAACTCGCATCTCCTCACCACCTACCTGCACCAGATCCCCACCACCGCACCCAAGGAGGAACTCGACCTGCCCCCATCCCTCGCCGCTTTGCTCGCCAGCCCCCTCTCCAACCCGCCCATGAACACGCCCAACTTCGACAACCTCTCTCTCAACATCGACCCGTTCCTCGAGAAGAACTGCGACCTGCTGCTGGAGAGCATAGAGACCCACCACACCGAAAACAACAACTTCCAGTACTACCAGCGTGCCCTAGCCCGAGAACAGACCAAGATCGCCGCCTGGCAGGCCAAACGCAAGGCCGAAAACGTCAGCCGCGCACAGCTCAAGCAGCCTCTGCTCGCCGAGGACGAGTGGCAGCGTCTCTTCAAACTGCCCCAGGAACCAAGCAGGCTGGAAAGCATGCTCAACACCTGCCAGGCAGAGCAGTACTCGAGACAGATCGATGGCTTCGTGGCAGCCACCACAGGCAAAATGTTCGGCATCAAGGGCAACCTCGTCCCGGACAGCCAGTCTTAAAACCTCTCCTTTTTCTTCCGTTTCTTCTTACTCTTCATGTTTGTTCCTGATATGATTCGTATTATCATGACGGCGTCCGGTGGTTGGATCTGGTTTATCCTCTTTATAAAGAGTCAATTCATCGTCCCCCTTTTTCTCCCTCACCTCCTGCTTCCCGTCTCCTTCTGCTCTCTCCCTATGTAATGCCAATCAACAAGAATCGACGCATCAACTACCGACCGTACCCTTCCATCCCCGTCCTTGTATATTTCTCGTAGCCTCCGCGATACGAAGTGCATCCGGTCAAAGTTTTCCGCGCCGTCTCCATATCATGTGCTGGCCGCTGGTGACCGGGCGATCTGGCGACGCTCTCCCCCGGCCGCGGGCCGTTTCAGGGATGTACGCATGCCCAACCTGTTCTCCATCCTCCATCATGGCCTCCCCGATACTTACTTATATCCATCCCATCCACACGCACATCCATACATGCATTGCATCCTCGCCGTCGTCTTTCTTCGTCCTCCTGCAGCTCTTTTGCTTACGGCCAAATAGGCGGTGAGTCACGTGAGAGCTTGAGGTTCTTTTTTTCTTTTTTTCTTTTTTTTCTTTTTCTTTTTTTCGTTTTTGTTCTTTTTTTTTTATTTACTTCAAACAACAAACAACAAACGTCAAGATGAAGCAGAAACAAGACAATAATTAACAATAACTAGCAGAGCCGATAGTAAAGCAAGGCAGACAGGAAGACAGCAAGTAAAGACCTGCGACTCGAGGATCGTGGTGTCTCGCGCCCTGCTGCTGTTGTCTCGCGCGCCGAGTCGACACTCGCTGCAGGTAAACCCCCCGCCATGTCGATGATTCGCCCTTGCTGATGCCAATCGCAGGCTTGCGCTCTGGTGCCTCGCATCTCTCTCGTCTCACTGCCGGGGGCTCTCTGTTTCGCATATTCCCCCCGTCCCATCGACCTCGCTGTCCTGTCTTGTCTTGCGCTGGCGGGTTGGTAACTAGTGCACCAAGACTGGCCGGACAAGTTACAACTGTTCCCACAACGCCTCCATAGTTAACGACGTTATATTTTTTCGCCATCCATCGGCCTTGCAACGCCTGGTGGACGGACCCTGCAGCCCTAACTGAAAGCTGCGTCGGCCGACTGTGATTCGATGCTATAGAGCCGGCTGAGTCCCGCGGTCTATTTGCTCGTTATTCCATCGACCAAATATCTTGACCCTTTCTTTTCTCTGTTTATTTTTTGTTTTAGGTTCCATTTTTGGGTTCAACCTTTTGCCTGGACCAGTATTTATATTTACTCGACGTTTTCCCCGGACATATTTATCGAGGATCGAGGAGAGAGGACTGGATATCTCTCTCTCTTCCTCTTCTCCCCTTTCTTCCCCCCTTTTCCTCTGTGCTGTGCTCTGCCCGGACCTCCTGCGCTGGAGTGCCTGGTTCAGCTCAGTGTGTTTCTAACCCAGTCGTCTCTTTTCCTAGTTTTTCTGTCCCTTCTGTACCACCAGCGGCGTCAGGACGAGAGGCTCCAGTTTTTGTCTTTTTCTTTCGGGTAAGATAAACGCAAAAAAAAGTTGAACTTTGACCTTTTAGACATCCGGGTGCCCGTTTTCGATCTGCCGTGCGTTTTTTTCTCTTTATTTTTCTGCTGTTGACTCTACCTCTCGATACCGTCCGGGCGTCTTTCTGTGCGATAGGCTAGGGCTTTTTTTGTTTTCCGTTTATGTCTATCGATAAGCTTGTCGACGAGCCTCCTTGACCTTGAACGACGTCACCGGCAGCCAACCCCAGCATCGGAATCCATCGCCAGTCCGATACGCGCCTGATCTGTGCGACTAATGACCGTCTCTCCATCTCCCCAGTACTCGGTTTCGTCTAGGAAGGATTCGATTCGGCACCATGGCCTGCGCGGACGTGGAGATGCTCGACACCCGGAGCCCGTTGTGCCGTGTGGGAGATACTCCTTTGGTTGATGGGGGGTTGATGGCATCAGAAAGGAGGCTGCGGCATCGTTCGACCGTGGGACGATTGCCAACCTGGTCGTCTCCAACTTCCGGGAACATCACATGGTGCATCTCGCCAAAAGTACGCACCATCCTTTTTGACTCCTTTATCGCTTTTCCCTCTTATATTGATACTCTTCTCTCTCCGCCCCTTTTAACTGTTACCCGATACGCAGCTTGCATGTTCCATCATCTATGGCTTAATGATTTTACTGCGCGTACTGCAAATGAACCGTTTCCTTCTTCTCTTCTTTTCGTCTCCATTCCAGGTCAATTGATGCTCATATCTATCTAATAGGTGGAGGTATATTCAACACGTAATCGTAATTCTACGGGAGCGCCTAGTCGCATAGATGACCTCAAAGCCATACTGGAGGCAGCCTTCTCGACTCCAGAAGCATCTCCGCTACCGTCTTACGATGATGCGATTCTCGATTTGCCGCCAGACTACGCTTGCGACGAATATGCTCGCGCACATGTTGATACACAGGCCGGTCCTGCTCCAGCCAGGCACCGCTCAACCAAAAAGCCATCTTCGTTATTTCAGGATCCGCTTATGAACATACCAGTTGATTTCAAAGATACATCTAGGTTCAGGGAGGCAAAGAAGAAAAAGCCTACTAAGAAACCTGCGCCCGTAGCAGACCCGTGGGCAGATACTACACCCGAGAAAGATTCCGGCGCAGGCCAGGAGGAAAAAGATGCTTCGGGAGGCGGCGCCGACGGAGGTGATGGCGGAGGTGATAATGGTGGTGGTGGAGGAGACGACGCCGGCGGAGGAGGAGGTGGTGGTGGCGGCGGTGATGACCCCGGAGGTAATGATGATAAAGGTGGAGGTGACGAAGAGGCTGACCAAGGCTCAAGCAAGAAAAAGAAGAAGAAGAAGAAGAAGCAGGAGGAAGAAGAAGAGAAGAAGAGACTGGAAGAGGAGGAAGAGAAGAAACGACTTGAGGAAGAAGAGGAGAAGAAACGCCTGGAGGAAGAAGCCAAGGCAAAGGAGAACGCTGGCGGCGATCTATCCTGGGCCGATGATACCAATGCAGACACCAGCTGGGGCGACCATGGAATTGCTACCACATCCAAAAAGAAGAAGAAAAAGGGCAAGGTCAGTGGAATCACTGCGTGGATCGAACCAATTGTTCCCGATACTAACATATCTACTTTGTAGAATGCTGCTACCGAGCTTCCCCCTCCTGATCCAGCACCAAATGCGTTCCAGGATGTCAGCTTGGATGATGGCGCTGCAGCGCCTCAGATTGGCATGTCCTTTGGCGGAGAAGATACCAAGGGTTCTACGGGATTCAGTTTTGGCGGCTGGGGAAAGGACTGGAATACAGGCGGCGAGCTTGATCTTGGTGCAAACGGTGATACCAAAGATGACGGCCTGAATCCCTGGGGTGGTACCAGCAAGAAGAATAAGAAGAAATCTACGGGATCCGACGCATTTGACTTTGGTTTTGAATCTAATGGTCTCGACGGTAACAATGCCGATCATGCTGGGGATGTAGGCGCAGACAGGAACCTGACAATTCCTGGGGATTACCCGCTCCCACGACTGCGAAGGATAAAAAGAAGAAGAAAAAGGGCGCTGCTGAACCCGCTGCTGCCGAAGAAAAAGATTCTGGTGGCCTCGGTGATTGGGCTGACCTCGCCATGCCGAAGAAGAGCAAGAAGAATTCCGCGTCTCCTTGGGGTTTTGGTGATGACAAGGCGAATGATGGAGATGATTTCTTCGCTGACCTAGGCAAAAAGGACAATCAAGCCGATCCTGAGCCAGAACCCGAACCCGAACCAGCTCCTGAGCCCGTTGCCGAGGAAAAGCCTCCAGAAGAGGATCCCGGGGGTGCTACGCCTGCGCCGTTGTCCAAGAAGGACAAAAAGAAGAAAAAGAAGAAGGGCGCAGCAGACCCTGAACCCGAACCCGAACCTGTCCCTGAACCTGCTCCTGAGCCCGTAAAGGAAGAGGAGCCGGTTAAGGAAGACCCGCCGCCTCCTGAGGAGGAAGATTGGGGTGGTTTTGGAACCACCGCTTCAGCTAAGAAGGATAAGAAAAAGAAGAAAGGAGCGTCCTTACTTGATCCAGTCCCGGAGCCTGAGCCTGAACCCCCCAAGGAGGAAGAAAAGCCTGCTGAGGAGTCGTTCAATTCCTGGGACGCTGTTCCAGCCCCAACCAGCAAAAAGGATAAGAAAAAAAAAAGGGGGGCCGCGGCCGCGGAGCCCGTTATCGCGGAACCTGAACCCGTGCCCGATCCGGAACCAGTCGTTGAGGCCCCGCTGGCGGAAGAAAAGCAAGAAGACAGCTTCTGGAGTTCACTGGCCACCCCATCTTCAGGCAAAAAGGACAAGAAAAAGAAGAAAGGCGCCGCCGCGGCAGCGCCGGTAATACCGGAAACCGTACCCGAACCAGATCCTGTGCCTGAACCCGAACCGGTCGTTGAGCCAGCTCCGGCCGAGGAAAAAAAGCCTGCTGAATCTGCTGGATGGGGTTTCGGTCTTCCTTCCACCACTTCCCAGAAGAAAAAGAAGAAGGGCGGTGCTGCTGATCCACCGCCTCCGCCACCACCCCCTCCTGAGCCTGAGCCAGTGGTTGAGGAAACTAAGGAAGAGGAGCCGGAGAGTTTCTGGGGATTTTCCAGTTCAAAGAGCAAGAAGAAGAAAAAGAAGGATGAGCTCGAGCCTGCACCCGCGGAGCCTGAGAAGTCGAAGGACCTGTTTGATAATGATACATGGGGGAATGAATTTGATCAGGACAAGTCGAAGGGTACTGGTATGTTTTGTTTCTTCTATTCAACTACAGATTTATTAGTATTTACCTGGACCTTTGCTAATATTTATGCAATAATGCAGACCTGCTAGATGATCCTCCCAAGACGGAAACTACGTCATGGTTCGGATCGCTCACGTCTTCGAAAAAGGATAAGAAGAAAAGGGCAAAACAGCAGACCCTGTAACGCCGGGGGCCTTTGATTTCGGTGATGACCCTGCACTGGAAGCTACGGGAGCCGGGGACGAAGTGGACTGGTTTAACTTAGGCAATGGCAAGAAGTCTACTAAAAATGAGGACCCTCTTGACATACCGGAGTTCATAGATGAGGCTGCCGAGGATACTATGAAAAAAGAAGAGGAAGAGAAGAAGCCTGCCGTGAAAGAGACCAAGCTGTCCAAGAAAGATAAGAAAAAGAAAGCTGCTGCTGCCGCCGCTGCCGCTACTACTGATCCGGTGCCAGAGGAGCCACCAGCAGAAGAACTGCCCAAAGTTGACTTCTTCGAGGATACCAAAGCGGAGCCTGACCTGCTGGCTCCTCCACCTGTTGATGACTTTGACAGTTGGGATACTGGAGCTGGGGCAACAACCAGTAAGAAGGACAAGAAGAAGAAGAAGGGTGCAGTGACAGCTCTCCCCGACCCGGAACCAGAGCCCGCACCAATAGCAGAGCAGACAGAGTCTAATGACGTGGGTTTTGGATGGAGCTTTGGTGGTACGACAAGCAAATCGAAGAAAGGAAAGAAAGGAACCACTGTCGAAGCAGACACGGCCAGTAAGGCGCCAGAGAAAGATCCGTTTGTTTTGGACGATCTGCTCGACCAACCAGCTGCGGACACAAAGAAGAAAAAGAAGAAGGGTACAAAGTCAATTATTGATGAACCAGTGGTTGCTGCCCCGGACCCTGAACCAGAACCGGTAGTCGAACCCGAGCCCGAGCCCCAGCCGGAACCCGAACCCGAACCCGAACCCGTTCAATCTTCATCCTGGAGTCTCTGGGGTTCTTCGAAGCCTACAAAGGAGAAGAAGTCTAAATCAAAAGCTACTGTACCTGAGGTCAAAGAGGAACCGGAAAAAGCAGCCAAAGGCAAGAAGGGTAAAAAGGCTACAGAAGAGGTTGTTGACGTGACCCCGCAGGATGATGGTGTTGGTTCAGGAGAGTTGGTGCCCGTTCCCAAAGCCCAGGACGAAAGTACCTGGGACATCTGGGGTACGATCACCAACAGCAAGAAGAAAGGCAAAAAGGGCGCCAGCGAACTGCCGCCGCCTGCGCCTACACCTCCAGAATTTCCACCTGAACATGGAGGGGATGGCATGGGCGATACGTGGGATGATATTACTGCTCCCTGGCCGACCTCTATCAAGAAAGGCTCCCTCTCACGAACAACTACATCAACATCAAAGGCGTCACACATTGAAGAGAGCAAACTCAGTAAGACCAGAGGCAAAGGACTTGAGGTCGTCGATGTATCCGAGACCCCCAACCTCGATACTCCGGCTGAGGACGTGTCGGCCGCAAAAGCTGCCAAAGGATACTGGAGTAGCTTTGGGCTGGCATCAGGTGGCAAGACCAGCAGCAGCAAAGCTGCCAAGGGAGATGTAGATGCACCAGCAGACGACCTGCTCGACCTTGTTGAAGAAGAAGAGCCCAAGCCCGCCGCTAGTAAGACAACTAGTAAGGCCGAAAAGGCCAGTGCCAAAGCCTTGAAGAAAGAGAAAAAGGAGAAAGATGCCAAAAAGGAGAAGAAGCTGGACGTTGGTGATCAAGAAGTGAAAGGAGACGAAGGTTCGCTTGAAGCGGCTAGCGCGCCTGCGGCTGACAAAGCGACCAAGCAACCAACTTCTTCTGCGACTGCGACCACCTCAGCGCCCAAAGCACCAGGCAAGTCGTCCGTTGCCGAGCGCATCAAGCAGTTGGAGCAGAAGAAGGCCGATAAGGAGGCCGCGAAGGCGCCCAAGACCAAGGAGAAGGCCAAACCCGACCCGCCCCCGCCCGTCGAGCCTGTTCCTGAACCAGAGATCTTAGAGCCGGCGGAGGAGCCCGCAACCAAGGCCGCAAAGCCCTCAAAGAAAGACGCCGCGGCTTTGAAAACCAAGACGTCCTCCATGTCCAAGACGAAGACAAAGTCCAAGTCAAAGAAAGCAGCGGAAGAAGACCCAGCGCCGGAACCCGTTGCTGAGCCTGAACCTGCGGTGGTAGCTAAGGAGCCGACCCCACGTGATTCTGTGCCTGGAAGCTTCCCAGGCGCAATTGACGAGCTGGCTGATATCGAAGAGCACGAAGAGCCTAGCAAGGCGGAAGAAGCAGCACCGCCTCCGCCACCAGAGCAAGAGGCAGCTGAGTTGAAGGAGCTTCTATCAGACCCGGACGCAGGATCATCGCAACGTCCATCAACAGCAAAAGCCGACGGAGATGTAGCCGATGAAATGTTTGGCTCGACACCAAAGAAGTCGGCTAAGAAAGAACGTGCTAGGATCGATCGGAGCTCCGGAGCTGCATCTTGGGCTCTCTGGGGCGCTGCCGGGGCATCGGGACCCGCTCCAAAGAAATCATCATCAAAAAAGGAACCCAAATCTAAGGATCCCGCTGAGCCTGTTGTGAAGAAGGAGAAAGAAAGGGAAAAGGATAAGGACAAGGAGAAGCCTTCTGGTCTGAGCAGGTCGAAATCTTCAGCTACCAAGAAAGAGAAGGTTTCCAGCTTAGGGGCTGAAGTGGAGAAATCCTCTGGCTCAGACAAGGATAAACGTGCTTCGCGGCCCTCTAAACACAGCCGTGGGATGAGTTTTCCCTTTATGCTATCGGGACCGCCACCGCCGCCTGTCCGGTCGAAAAGCACTAAGCGAGCGTCTGCATCGAAGCCAACTTCCAGAAGACACTCTGTTGAGCTTGACGATTCAGGCCTTTTGACCCCTCGCGAGAGTCCCGATATTCCAGACAAGGCTGCAAGGATGATGGGTGTGGAGTCATCCAAGCGCGTCAAACGCAGCTCCAGCCATAAGAAGAAATCAGGTAAGGCATTCATCTATGTCGTACGGAGTACTCCATAGAGCGCAAGCATGAAATTACTAACATTCTTCTCTCAGTCCCACGCGACCCATATGCACTTGACGATGACGTAGAAATGTTGAGTCCTGATGATGGCTTAATCTCCCCTCCAGGCAAATCTTCAAAGGACCCAGAGCGACGCAGATCAAGGAAAGAGGTCAGTCACATAATAAAGCATCTCTCTTAATTCTACCCAAACTAACCAGTTTGATCTACCAGTCTAAGAAACACAGCAGTGACCCAGCTTTAACGCCGTCAGGTGAAATGCCAATGGGCAGAGATGACTTTGGAGTCATGAATCACTCCTCGAGAGAGCCTGCGCCCCTTCGTCGCTCTAACACATCTCCCAAGCGTCCCGAAGGACTGTTTGGCTTCTTGTCTCTAAGGAAGCCTGGAGCCCGGGCTCCAGAGGTCCGCGAGCGCCCCAAATCTCGCTCTCGTCATGAGTCCTCAAGAAGAGAAACAGACAGAGAAAAGGATGAATCCAGACGCCGAAGGAGATCCGTGAGGCCGGACACTGATGGCGAAGGCTTCACCACCGATGCAATGAGAACCGGCAATAACAGCCCTACCGAGGAAGCTGAGGCTCGGAGGGCAAAACGCAAGGCAGAGCGGGCACGGCTGCGTGAAGAAAGGGATGAAAGAGCTCGTGAGGCTGAGCGTGAAGGCCGCCGACAAAAACGGCATGCCAGAGAAATGGAGGACCTCCCCCATGAATCTAAACGAGACAAGAAATCAGACCGCCGCTCTCGTTCGGAGAGACCACCAAAAGACCCTCTCTCCCCTCATGAAAGCCGTCGCCATCGCTCTCATCGTACTGAGGATGAAGGTGGGAAGCCTAGGAGGCGTCGATCCTCACCGGATCATCACCGGTCTCGACGTGAGAAGTCATCTCGTCATGAACAAGCTGTTCCCTACCCCGCCATGGTAAATGGAGGCAAAGATAAAACCTCGTCTTGGGTGAAATCTCAGATCTCAGACCCTCCTGAGGCTCCTCCTATCGTGGCTACGGTTATCGATGTGCCCGACCCTGCAAGGGAGCCTCATGCTTCCTTATCATCCGACGAAGAGGCACGAAGAGCCATCCATCGTCGTTCCCGAAGGAAGTCCCGTCCTGTTGACCCAATGGACATGGATTTTGACAGACGACCTCGCAGACGTGAGTCTCGCCGCGAAGGCCGTGACCCAGTGCGAAGCAATGAAAGCAGCGGCGATATGGACCATCGTTACGGTGGTATGAACACCAAGCGGACGAGCTGGTTTAAGAAACTCACCAGTGGCTTTTGAACGCTTTCTCTTTCCCACCTTGAGCGAACAATGATTCTATTTTGTGTTATTTCCCTGTGTTTACCTATGTGTCTTTTTTTACTCGTCGTGCGTTTTATCGAATCTCCTCGGGGCGGTTTCGGATGATTGACATACTTGGCTGGAACTTCAAGGAACTGGCGGTCTTCTTCTTTTGGTAATTTGGTTTCGACTATTTAATGACTTTGGTGACGTCTATTTATGACTTTTTGACATCATTGCGTTTTCTTTTAATATACCCCAGCGCAATGAATTTTTTATCCTGTTATGACCCCCTTTCCCTTGATCCTTCTTCGATGATATTACGCTTCGCTTTGATTAATGATGATGACCTTGTAATCTAGCTACTCGTGTAATCATTGACCAATCTGTATGATGGTCGTTGATTGGTATGTTAGGACAATCTTGATCAAATCATCAAGTAGTTACATTTTGCAATGAATACTATATTCTGTCAATATTAAACATGGCCGTGCAATAGAGCGTATGTTAACTCCTCAACTAGCTAGCCCCGGGTACCCAGTGGAGCTCGGACTTCTAGCCCAAGGTCCCCAGATATTGGGGTTTAAAGATGATAAGCAATGTTCGGGGAAATTTTAAGGGAGCAAAGAGCGATGGAGCAACGCGCCAGCAAACCTCCATATACCATTGCCGAGTCTGGGTAGAATACATTAAATGAGAAATAACCACAACCAACCGTAACAGTGAAGATACAGGACGATAGGAAAAAGGACAGTGACGACTAATAAGCTGGCGAAAACCAAAACACTGGTACAGGGAATAAGAGGAGAGGTATGTAGAACAAGTCATGGAACGATAATAGAAGGGAAAGAAAACGACGATTAAAGATCTTCAGCATCACTTGATTCCACCAGCTTGGGTTCTTCCCCATAGGTCGACTTGTACTCGTTGATGTACCTCTTTCGATCCTCCTCCTGGAGAGACTTATATTTCTATACCTGTTGTTAGTCATTTTCAAAATGTCACATTGAAGGGAGAAATATTTACCTCTTTCTCACTCTCGCTTGCATTCTTCCAGCTGCGAGCAGTTTCAGCTACCCGCTCCTTAGCAGATAGATGTCTGAGCTCTCCGCTATTATGCATATCGAGAGAATAGAGCAGGTAAGCGTTACGTGGCCCCTTTACCTGCCTGTCGTCTTTGATTGGGCTATAAAGTCTAGATTTCTTCGGTAGGATGCGGCGAAGCTTGCGGCGAGCAGCATTGGCATTCTTTATCTCGAGAGGAGTGTGGGATTCAATCCACTGTTCAAGATTGTGTCGGTTGGTTTCTGCATTCTTTTCAGCAGTTTGTGCAAGCTCCTACACATAGCATTAGTTTATTGAATCACTTTGGAAACGGCCAGCGCATTATATAAATCCGGATACGTACGTCAACATGGAATTGAGATATCTCTTTGAATGCCTTCACCGACTCCGCAAGAGGGCCCTTTCCAGTGGAAAAGATCGCGATTTTGGAGGTTGGTAGAGGTTTAGGGGGTGTCAGCGCAGCCTGCTTGAGGTTCTCCAGGTCCTCCCTTGCTTGAATCCTTGCTTCTTTCTTTTTCTCTTCAGCCCTCTTCTCCTTGTCACTCTTCCCAGGGCGGCCGCGCTTTGGAGGAGGAGTAGGTTTCTTAGAAGCCTTCTTCTTCTGTACAGTCTTGTTTGCCTTGGTTTTTGGCTTGGCGGCAGTGGTGACATACGAATTGCTCAGGGATAACGACCGAAAGAGGCCTTCGATACTGGGCCTTGCCGCGAAGGAGCTGGCAATGACTTCAGTCCGCAGTCCCGAACTGGGTACGTAAAGCACGCGACTATTGAAGCGTCGAAACGCAAATTGTCCGCGTTGAGCAAGCTTGAACACCATGGTGGCAGCTCAAGAGGCGCTTGCGATCAAAGTCCAGGGAATTAATAAACTGTCGGTAGCCTTGTTCTCCTTCGTCTTGCTTCCTGTCTTTTGACCCGTCCTTTGAGCTTCGCTATTTTGATATCCAGGTGTTTGTTTTGGGTTAGAAGGCGCTAAACCTCTTTTGGTTTCTTACATAAGCAGACTAAGCTTATCAAACTTTTTGCTTCTTTTTTATCGATTCCTCAACTTTGCAACTTCAAGCTCAACATCCACTTTACAGCCAAAAGTGGAATTCGCAACATCGAGGTCGTCTAGACGGCCATGATATCGCCTTGTCTTGACAGTTGGTATTTGTTTTAAGTGCTGTCCCTTCTGAGCCGTCAGTTTGTGGTTCATTCGACTACGGCAAACCAGAGAAAAGGAATATAAAAAGTTAGATTTCGGCCAGTTGACCATGGCCAGGGATACTCGCTCACCATCACCTGTAGGCAGCACGTATTCTTCATCGAAACGAAGCCGGAGAGGCGATGATAATTACGATAAGAGCAGACGCCATGATGTGAAGGGGTATCGGAGGTCCCGCAGCCCCGAGGTAAGCTTGTCCTGTCTCCTTTATGACATAGCTTTACTAACTATTGCTATTTCCCTGTTCTAGAGACGCCATCGTGACAGAGGCCGGGACCGGGATAGAGACCTCTACCGACATAGAGATCGCTCTGTTGATACTCGAGACTCTCGTGACAATACATCCTATCGCCCCAGAAGAAGCCGTTCACGTCCTAGGTACCGTTCTCGTTCGCGAGAAGATAGTCGTGGCTACAGATATCGAAGCAGGAGCAGGGATAGAGCCTACCGTAGCAGACGAGATGATTCTCGTGATCGGGGTGGTAGACGAAGGGATGGCTCCGCTGACTCCAGACGTGCTTCTCGACGGGATAGTAGGGATCGAGGCACGAGGGAGTCTAGCGGAAAGTCTCGTGAGGTATGTCATATACCATACAGGCTGTGTTGTTTATCTAGGGCTACGCTAACTTAGTTCAGGTTTCCAAGCAGGCATCTACTGTAACCCCTGCCCAAACTGATGAACAAAAGAAGGCTGAAAGACTAGCAAAGTTGGAGGCATGGAAGCAGAAGCAGGCAGCAGAACGTGAACGAAAACAAAATGAGCTTGCCGCAAGTGGACCAAGAGGCATTCTTGATGAAATTGACAAGAAAGTTGCTTTATCGCGCAGTGTAACCACGACTACCACTTCGACACACCCGACCGCCGGCTCACATCCTGCTGGAACAGCAAGAGTTACGGATAGAACACCGTCTCCAACTCCCAAGCAACTTAAGAAAACAACTGTGGCTTCTGGTAGTACTAAAGTGTCTGAAGCCTCCACTCTTTCATCTGCAAGTGCTGTGGCTAACAAATCTTCAGTTGGTGCCGGCTTTTCACCCGGTAAGCACAATCTCTACCTTTCGCACCATTGATGAAACTGAATCCCATTACTGATATTTTATTTAGCTGCTGTACCGCTTAAAACATCAGGCAATGTCAGCGGATTTGGCCTAGGGACCAAAAATCTTAGCGATTCAAACAAATTAAGCGTGAAGAGGACGCTCAATTTTGGAGAGGAGGAATCCAAGGGCACAAAACTTTTAAAACTCCCTGACTCGTCCCTAGAGGATATTTCAACCAATACCACCCAGCAGGATGGTGATTACGATGACGACGATGACACTGTTATGCAAGATGGCGGTACCGAAGAGGAGAATGCCGCTGCCGCAAGGGCCGCCGCAGAACGGCGTGAACAGAATCGCGTACAGCCTGAAGTATCATCAGACGAAAACAAACCTGAGGAGCCCGAACCCAAGGAACTTTCCAATGATATCGCCATGGTCGATAACGCGGCTGAACCAGAGGCAGAGGAAGAAGTTGATCCGCTTGATGCTTTCATGTCCGACTTAAAACAAAGCACATCTACACCGAAGCAGAGCGTCAAACCCTCTAGCTCAAAGCTCCAACAACCTGAAGCAATATTTGGAGACGAAAATGACATTAACATGGACCCAGTTGAGCCAGAAGCAGACGACTTTTTCGCGTTAGCTAACAAATCAAAACGTAAAAAAGATATACCCACTGTTAACCATTCAAAAATAAACTACGAGCCGTTTCGAAAGAACTTCTACACCGAGCCTGTTGATCTTGCTGGTCTGACCGAAGCAGAGGTTGCAAATATACGCCTAGAGCTGGATGGGATAAAAGTCCGAGGCGTTGACGTCCCGACGCCCGTTCAGAAATGGTCTCAATGTGGCCTAGGTGTACAAACCCTGGATGTTATACGCAAGCTCGGCTATGAAAGACCAACTTCAATTCAGTCTCAGGCAGTTCCAGCAATTATGTCCGGCCGGGATGTAATCGGAGTAGCCAAAACAGGCTCCGGAAAGACTATTGCTTTTCTTCTCCCTATGTTCCGGCATATCAGAGACCAGCGGCCATTAGAGAACATGGAAGGCCCAATAAGTGTTATCATGACGCCGACTCGAGAGCTTGCCACCCAAATTCACAGGGAATGCAGACCTTTTTTGAAAGCCTTGAACCTTCGGGCTGTCTGTGCATACGGAGGAGCGCCGATAAAAGACCAAATTGCGGAATTAAAACGGGGCGCGGAAATTATAGTCTGCACTCCGGGCAGAATGATTGATTTGCTTACTGCTAACTCGGGGAGAGTTACAAACCTTCGAAGAGTGACGTATGTGGTCCTTGACGAAGCTGATCGTATGTTTGACATGGGATTTGAGCCTCAAGTGATGAAAATCCTTGGTAACATTCGGCCCAATCGTCAAACTGTTTTGTTCTCCGCCACCTTCCCTCGAAACATGGAAGCGTTGGCCCGGAAGACCCTGTCAAAGCCTATTGAGATTATAGTTGGCGGAAGAAGCGTTGTCGCCCCGGAGATCACCCAAATTGTTGAAGTGCGGAACGATGACGCCAAATTCGTTCGTCTCCTAGAATTACTGGGAAATCTTTACTCTGACGATGAGAATGAAGACGCCCGAACGCTGGTGTTTGTTGATAGGCAAGAAGCAGCGGATCGCTTGCTACGTGATCTAATGCGCAAGGGCTATCCCTGCATGTCGATCCACGGTGGAAAGGATCAAATTGACCGCGATTCAACTATCGATGACTTTAAGGCGGGCATATTCCCAATTCTGATTGCCACGTCAGTAGCGGCACGAGGACTTGATGTAAAGCAGCTCAAGCTTGTCGTGAATTATGATGCTCCAAACCATCTTGAGGACTATGTTCACCGGGCGGGTCGCACTGGACGAGCTGGAAATACTGGTACCGCAGTTACATTCCTAACTGAAGACCAGGAGCGGTATTCAGTCGATATTTCAAAAGCCCTCAAGCAAAGTGGTCAACCAGTTCCTGAGCCGATCCAGAAAATGGTTAATGCATTCCTGGATAAAGTAAAGGAAGGCAAAGAGAAAGCAAGTGGATCCGGATTTGGAGGTAAAGGACTGGAGCGACTCGACCAAGAACGTGACGCTACTCGTAACCGAGAGCGAAAGACGTATAAAACTGGAGAAGAGGGCGAAGATGAAGATAAAGAGGAAGACAAGAAAGAGAAGGAGGCTGACCTGTTCAGCAGAGCTGCCTCGGCCGTACAGTCATCCACCGCAACTCCAGCTTTGGGTACACCTGGAGGTGTGGACCTCGACGGGAAAATCACTGTCCACAGGACACAAAAAGATACAAGCTCGTCTGCCGGCAAAAACACACTTGATAAAGTAGGCTCTGCTGTTGCAGACATCCATGCTCGTCTCAACAAGGCCGGTGTCATGAGATCCGGTGTGCCGATTGATAATAAAGGCCCTGATGCTGGAGCTTTCCATGCCACCCTCGAAATTAATGACTTCCCACGTAAGTTTTTTCACTTCCCCATTAATTTAACTGTATAGATAAGTATATGATAACTAACTATATTATAGAAAAAGCCCGATGGGCTGTTACCAACCGGACCAACGTTGCCAAAATACTGGAAGCAACTGGGACTTCAATCACGACCAAGGGCAGCTTCTACCCAGCAGGAAAGGAACCCCAACCGGGCGAGAATCCGAAACTTTACATTCTTGTCGAGGGTGATACAGAGCTGGTAGTTACCAACGCAATGCGTGAGCTAATGCGGCTATTAAAGGAGGGCACTATTGCCGCAGCTGATAGCGATGCCAGGGCGCCGTCTGGCCGCTACAATGTGGTGTAAACTAGCGATTGCTTTCGTGTCTCAACAGCAGAGCACCATATTCCGTATCATCTAAAACAGCATAGTTGATTGTGCTATCTAACTATAGGCTAACCATAGTGAATAATATCATTATATAATACACATCGCGGATGAACAAACGGCTATTGGAAGTAGATACTAGGTATCGTTGCTTACTGCCCATAGATTTTCAAGTTCAGTAAGGGAATCGTTAAGAACATTAATATATAGACACGGAGATTGAATCATACGATCATTGAATCATAAGCGAAACAGCCGCCAAAAAAAAAAAAAGAAGAAGAAGAAGAAGAAGAAGAAGAAAGAATGTTCAATCATACAACAGCAGCTGTAAATCTAGGGGAATCCTTCTCTTCGTCCGGAGTAAAGCGGGACAGAGTTCAGTCCCACCTTCGAGATTCCTCAGCACTCTGGGCATCTCTTGCTGCCCTTTCAGCCCGACTTATATCATCTAGCGTATCATTTCTGGATCTTGATTTTTGTGCTGCGAGCTGGGAGCTTAGTTTCCCCTTCCCGGCTGCCGAGTGCTTCGCGGCACGTTCCTATTGATCAAAGTACAGAGGTCAGCTCGTCTGCGGTCGCTTATTGGCATGGAGTATGTATAAGGGTATTAGCCCGAACCTCAGCAGCCCTAGCAGCAGCGCTGCGGGCGTCACCGTCTCCATCTGCATTATTACCGCCACCTCCCAAAACCCTCCCACCTGACGGCTGCCGCTGGGAGGAATTGTTATTCCGTATCAGAGGTGTGCTCGAATTGGCTGGCGTAGGTTTTGTTGACGCTGCCTGTGACCCAAGGACGCGCCCAGGCTGCGCAAACGGGTCCGGTCGATTTGACGATTTAGAGCAAATATTCCCCATTGTGGTAATATAACCGAGAAGCGTGCGGTATGATATATCTGTCAATCGGCGGGGCTTGGTGTATCGGCTGGCCCTTGGTTCAGACACTCCTAAACAGGTTTTGCAGATGCATCCCCGGGGAATTCCCAGCGTTCGTGCTATTCCCCTTTATAGTTAGATAGATGGGCGCGCGGTCTGCTGGTTGTCGCTCGCCCTCCTTAAATCCGTCTGGCCCTCCCTTCTTCCGTGTTTCCGCTGAGTTTCCTCTCCCTTGTTTTTTCGTGGTTTTAATTGTCGGCTTCGTGTTGCTTGTTCGCTCGTCGTCTCGTCCGCCTTTTCTTAGTTTCATTTCTGCTGAGTCACGACTGACTAAGCCGCGGGGTCATATGACGAAAGCGCGCGGCTCCCAAGGTCCCCAAATGCGGTAGTCGCTTTTTTTCTCTCGTGCGGCCGCGGCTAAAAAAATAATAACACTCGCAGAGAAGAAGCGCCCTTTTTCCCGTCGCTCCTTAACGTCCAAATTGCTTCTTCTCGCTGCATATCCGATATATTTGCGAGACACTGGACGATCAGACGTTCCAGTCCTGGATGGAACTCCAATCATTCCCACACAGTCAGCCACAGTCTTGCATGCTCTTAGCTCGCTAGCCCGGCCAAGTTCTACCAGTCCCTCCGGGCTATGCGCACATTTCCCGAACTACAACCGCCATTCATATAACTAAGTAAGGACGGACTCAAGATGGCCGACCAGTTCGACGAGCGCTCATTCTGCTGGGAGTGCTATTGGCCGAACCTAGACGCCGACAACAACACTGCGCTGTCGTCCGGATGCGTCGACGCGAGCTGCTGGAACCAAGCCGACTTTTCACACCAGTCTTTTGATCTATGTGGTATTGGCACAGAGTGCTGCGACAACGATCAGTGCTCTCCCGGCTGTGCCACCATATGCGACGGGTTTGTGGACTGTGACAAGTCAACAGCCTGCTCCGAGCTTCAGTGCAACGACATGAACTGCAACAACCAGGCAACGGCCTGTTTTGATATGAACTGCGTCACAGAGGGTGAACAATCCCTAAGGTCCCTCGATCAGGGCCCCTTCTTCAACCAGGGCATACCACTTAATTGGGGGTGTCTGGATCTACAAAGCACTGCTGCTGCTACACCTGCCGCCACAACCTCCGCTGTCAACGATGTCTCCTCCCTACAACATTGCAACCTCGACAACGATAAGCTTCGATCGCACTTTCATTTTCATCATGTTGGATCTATAAACTCGTTGGATATAAATTCAGCTTCAAAGGGACTCGGCAACGGAATCATCGACCCTAAACACTCCCGACCCGTTATTGGCACGCCATGCTCAAACCATGCAGGGAACGTATGGCCCATGACCAGCGCCGCAGGCGAGTGCAACAACAACCTAAACAATCACAATAATACCCATCACCCCTACCTTAATCACCTTCACCAAAGGGGGAATCTCGACAAAGCTTTTGACATTGTTCAGTGGTCCTCTCAAATGCAGCGGCACCGACACGATCCATCCTTTCATTCGCAAACAAGCAGTGCAGGTTTCATACATGATGTCATGACCAATAATTCTACTGTTTCCACCCGTTCCACTCCTGGCCTAAGCCTAGAGTCAAGCCCAATGACTGCCCTAACAAGTCGAGAAGTTAGCATACAGTCGATGGATTATAGCGGTGATGAGCTGCACATTTGCAAATGGGTTGCAAACGGCGACTCAGGGCTTGTATGCGGTATCACCTTTCCGGACGCGAAATCTCTTCAGGAACACCTTGTCCAGGAACACGCCAACCAGACTGAAGGCGCTAAGGGAACCGGGTATTATTGCTGCTGGGAAGGCTGCCATCGTCCGCATGAACCTTTTTCACAAAAATCAAAACTCCAAGGCCACTATCTCACACATAGTAATTGTATGCAACTATCCCATACCCTCTCGAACCCAGACCACCCATGTATGATGGTACCATGTCTAACTATTTTTACAGATAAAAACTTCCAATGCTCTATATGTGGGAAATCATTTGCACGACAAGCGACCTTGGAGAGACATGAACGTAGCCATCGGGGAGATAAACCGTATAAGTGCAAGATATGTGGAAAAGCTTTTACGGATAGCAGTGAACTTAGTAAGTTATCCCTGTTCCCTGAGCATGAGAAATGTCCCGGGGAACACGAAGATACTAACAGGGATTAGAAACCCACAGGAGAATACACACGGGAGAGAAACCGTTCAAGTGTAAACATCCTGGCTGCACTTTTGAAACTGGCGATGTAAGCTACATATTTCCCCTTACTCTCTTTCGCTGCTCGTCACTAACTTTGTTCGATGATAGTCATCTAATATGTCAAGCCATAAATTAAGTAAGTAATCATACGATGAACCATAGTGAATCAACTCCTAACAATGATTTTTCTTCTAGCACATGGAGAACGGCGACACAAATGCCCATTCCCTGGTTGCTCCAAAAGTTTTACTAGACCAGGTACACTCCCTATACCTTACATTCATATTTTTCATTTACTAACCTGGCATCTAGACCAATTAAAAAGACATGCAAAGACCGCTCACAAAGACGACCTTTTTTCACTGCAGCGAATGGCTAGTCCGGTCACTCCTAGCCTACCCGTAATATAGAACACTGTTTATAGAATTTTTTTGGGATAATTTGCCTTTTGCTTATGCGTTTTCACCCTCTCCGCACTGTTGCGGACTTGAATCAAATCCCATAATGAACAAACCAGCATCTCACGATGGGTCAGGCCGCTGGTCGATCTCGGACGGTCCACAGGACGATCCGACAGCATCATGCTACACACCAAGCCAGATTGGGGAACCATGACGGGGATTTCTCGGCGGAACTGACATCTACGATATAATGGCTGCGTTTTACGATTTTGTTGGAATCTGGAGGCTTGCTTGCTGTTTGGAGAAATCATAATACCTCGGTGACTTGATTTCCAGGCTAAATAGTTGTTGCTCATCCGCGCAGTTGACTTACTGAGCGGTGCAGATGGTCCTTCGACCGGGCTAATAGTACATTAGCTTTGAATACTTCAAACGAGGAACTTTCGCCATATATCACCTACTATGATTCAGCCTTGATTTGCATCATACACAGACCTCCAAAGGGTAATATCACTATCTGACCCATATCTTAGCTTACAAACGAGTTATCTACTCTGCGCCCCATAATCGACCGAGGTATGTATAGCAAAGTTACTCGTGCTGAGCACTCTCTTCTAGATTTTTAACCGCATTCTCTATCTCTCTTATCCTATGACCAACTCTTCTTTTGATTTCCGCCCGGACATCCGCGGGAATATTGGTCGGGTCGTAGGATGTGGAACGCACGTCTGCAACACCAGTACGGTTCTCCCCATCTTTTGACCCGATATCTTCTGGCGGTGGGTTGTTCTCGGCATAAGCGCCGTATGCATGGTTAAGGTCATCAAAAGCTTCGCGCATGGATATACGGTCCGATGCAGCATATATCGTGGCCGCGGCAGTAGACTCAGACGCTATTTCTAACTAATTTCAATACTACTGTTAGATTCATCAGATAGCTCATACCGAGGGAATAAAACAGCGTGACTGTATGTACAGCTGTGTTCTCCGCTGTATCCAGAAAACAGGGACTCCAGGAAGTTCTAGTTCATACCTCATCCTTGGCGATTGCGTATCTGTATAATAGTATCAATTAAAATGCCCCAGTTTAGATGGTGATTCGGATAGTCCACTTACAAGTCCTCTATTTCTTGAATATAATCATCCACCGTCACTTTTTTTGATGACTGGCTCGTTGAATAACTCCGGTCATATGACACTGGAGACGAATGTCTGTGGACACTGGCAGTCATCGGACCTGAATTCAGGAGCCTGTGGCGAGGACTGTTTGTTGATCCAGGCCAGCGTATCGGGGCGTATGCCAAAGGCCTGCCAGTGACATCACCGCGGGGTGAATATAACTGCCGCTTTTGTGGTATATTTGTAGTGCATGCCCCATCTGTATCCAGTCGACGGACGGACGGAATTCTCGATAGTCTGGTAGTGGTTCTCAACCTGCAGCCTTGTCGTGGAATAGGCAGCATTATGGCGGTCAGGACGTTCTGCACAAGACAGATGTTTGCTGCAAATTGACCGTCACCAATAAGGGTTGCCTTGAGAAATGTGGCTATCAAAACATAGTAAGCATCCCGTCTAGCTAACGAATACGAGTGGAGTTTCACCTGTGCCAGAAAATATAATCTCCGGCTTAATGATATAGAGGGGAGATAGTTCGCCGATAGTGCTGTCTGGCTCTATTACTAGATGAAAAGTTGTTTTGAGATGAAGTGACGTCGCAAGTGAGTTGTTTCTAAAGCAAAATAAACTTTCTTGAATCAAGTTCAATAAGCGCCGATTGCTTGCTTAATGCGGCTGATAATAATGACCGCCTGGTTCAAGGCCATGATTCTGCGACTAAAAAAATAATCACAAAGATTTAGTTATAGCGAGTTAGTTACCCTTAGGCTGGAAAGTAGTTATGTTCAGGCTTGTGGATTTCGCATAACCACGTTGAAAGCAATACGCAGAGGGCCGCGAGAGAAATAAGTCGTGCCACTGGATCCAGTCAGGACCGTTCTATATACGATTATTGTATACATTAGGTGTCACAAGGCGAGGAATATGATACGTTTATCTAACATGGATGTAAGTGCTGTGGCGTCAGATGTATTGTTTTCACTCGGGTTTACAGTGATCCGAAGCCCTAAAGGGCTATTGAGATTATCAATGATATGTTGACTCGGAGCCAGACCGCACGCTCGTAAAGGTTATCAGTTCCCTTTGGGCAGTCATTTACTTCATTGCTTAATTGTAATTGCGTGGCTGAGACCGTTTTAGAAATTCGTATGGACATTCAGGATCTAGAGGTAATCGTATTAGATCGTATCTAGCTACTCGCTCTCTGGGTTCATATCAGCTGCAGAGTGTATAAGATTCAGAGCCTGGGATATCATGTTTATCATAAGTTTGGAAATCATAATGGTTCATTCAACATATCCGAAAACAATTTTGACTGGGACAAAAAGAAATCGCAAAAAAAAAAAAGTTACCAAACAATCATCATAAGCATATACTCGTAAATATGTCGTAACCAAAACAATGTGCAAAACAGTTCAACTATATCATTAGAGCTAGTACCGGTCATGATGGCGCTTTGTGTGGCGAGGTCTGTCGGAGTAATCATACTCGTACTCAGACGGAGGGCTGCTATACCGACTTCGGTGTCGCCGATGGCTGTTGCCATGGCCACTGTCACGGCCTCGCTCGTCTAGTCCCAAAGTAGCCATTCCTTTGGCGACATAGTCTGTCAAACTCTTGCTTCGCTTCCTGTTCGATCGCCCAGACCTGCCTTGCCGGCCATCATCACTGTAATAATCGTACTTTCCAGACTCACGAGATCTAGATTGATAGTGTTCGAAAGCCTTCTTGCCAGCAGCAGCAAGCAGTGCTGCAGTGGCGCCGGTGTTAGTTCTTCCATGACTTTCTGAGTGTGAACGGTGTCGTCTCGACTCTCCCCCAACTAGGTGGCTTGACGCAAGGCCAGCTAGTGTCGACTCTATAATATGTCTCTTGGTAGATTTGCTAGCGCCCCCACGGTCGAGAACTTTTTCGGTGCCGCCAGCGCTGGCAACGGCAGCTAGGACACGCTTCCCCTTCTCACCAGTCCAATCTCCCGGGTCGTTGCGGGCACGATACGCTTCTAGTACTCCTGCAGTCAAGGCAGCGGTAATAGTGTTCTGCAGGGCCTTGTTTGGATCATCTCTATAGCCGTGGGCCCGAGGGTCTGATGAGGTACTTGTATTGTGATAATTTCTGCCACGGCTTGAGTCCTGACGGCGGTCATCATAATCGTAACGATGATTGTCATAACCCCGATGCTGATCATGACCCCTATGGTCTCTATGGTCGTCGTCGTATTCGTAGTGGCGGCGTTGCCCGCGGTCGCCCTGTCTGCGAGATCCATCCATGGCTCCCATGAAGCCAAGTGCCTCTAAGGCGTGATCACCAAGCGACTTCCGTGGGCGTAAGGGGCTGGGTGACCGTGATGGAGGCGACACTGAATGTGTGTAGCGCGATGAAGTTTTATCTATCTTTAATGTTAGCTTTTGGGTCATAGGAAGAACAACCATGATAACTACTAGGTTGGAACTCCTCGTAGAGATGAAAGACAGGGCAGCGTACGGCGATGATTGCCACGGCGAGGCGCCTCATCGTATTCGTCATATCTGCTTCTTCCGCGGTGCCTGGCTTCTCCTCCAGTCGAGTAAGACCGCCTATGTCGTCCGCTTTCTTTTGGTCTGGGTTCAAGGTAGGGTGCACCTTTAGCCTGACCGGGCGGATAATAGCCAGGACCATAGCCTTGACCGGGCACGGACTGCCCCGCGGGCGGGGGTCCATGGTGTCTTGACGAAGCCCTGCTATAGGGGTGGTTGTTGTAGTAGTCGGCTGCCATGGGATAAGTGTCGTCGTGAGCTTGCTGGTATCGGTTATGTGCTAGAACTGATGGGTTCGGCGTGCGAGAGTCCATCAACAACGGCTTTATATCACCGCTGGGCGCCAGTGACGTATGAAGTGGGTGATTGTGGCTTGGTTTTAATCTTGGAGAGACGGAAGCAATAATAATACAACGCAGGCTCAGTGCATGTCACGTTTTGCTTGGCAGATGACATCATCAGCAGGGGTGGCCCGTGTAACCCGAACCCTAACTCAGTTCCGGCGGGCCGGGTCCATGGTTCAGCAATAGTTTATTGTCAGGGGCAGGATATTTGGATAGAGAGCGAACGATCTACGGATCGTGAGAGTGAAAGATGCTGTTTTGACTCCTGTCTATAGCCTAGTGTTTATATTCCTGGTACTTCCATGAACAGGGGTTGAAAACTGTGAAAAGGGGGAAAGAGGCAAAGTTAAATACATCGTTGAAAAAGAACGGTGGAAGAAATGAAACGTAAGATAATAGAAGGTAAGCGTCATCTCCTCGGTATGTGTTTGCTGCTATAGCTTGACTTGGTCGATGCAATTGCCAGTGAGTCTAGTCCCGAGGAAATGCTGTCAGATCGGTACGCCGGGGAACGCGGCCGTCTTTCATCCTCTGCATCTTGCGGATCTGGGAGCTCTCGGGGTAGGTATCGAGGAGAAGCCTCATAGCTGGTATTGGAGCGGCTTGAGTGTCGGCGAGATTGGGAACGTCGTGGGTCAGTCGGCACTTCTGTATCGTAGGCAGGGAAGTAGGCGGTAGTTGAGCCGGGAGACTGGGAGTATGCGGTGTCAGAAATATTCTGATCATGCCCGTCAATATCAACATCAATGCCTGATTCGCGATGAGTCCTTTGGTGCTGCTTCATGTTATCTTTCCTGGTAAATGCCTTATTGCACACTGGGCAGTGGACTCGCTTTTCACCAGTGTGCTTTTTGCCGTGCCTTGCGGCATGTCCCGAGGTCGTAAACGTAGCCGAGCATCCATGGGAGGCAGCGTAAGGACAGGCATGCTTATTCTTTTTGGTAGCGGGTGGCGCTGCATACTCTGTAAAGTTGCTGTAACTTGATTGTGGCGATACTCTTTCTCGTTCTCCTGTCTGATGCTCACGCTGAATAGGCCCCCTTTCTTCGAGGTCATATCCATATGGTAGGTTATGCGGCATGACAAACTGAGGAGGCGAGGAGCAGTGAGGCGGTGGTCCGTAAGAGTAATAATGTGACTCGGAAGACGATGCCATGTCCTTCCATTGTGACCGGCTATCTCCATGACGAAGGGTGGCTGACTCCGGGTTTCCCTTTACTGATGCCGGCCACCCGTGAAGTTGTGAAGAGTGGCCTGTTGGCTCTTGCCTGGATTTGGATGATCTTGAAGGCCGAACCGCAAAAGAGGGGTTGTCATCATTGTTCAATATTGAAACCATCCTTTGTTTCTCGGGAACTCTAGACATAATGCCCGCCGTCGACAGGATGATTGGATATTGGAGCTCGCTAACAGAGAGAAAGAATGAAGTCTCAGAATGACAAGCAAGTATTTTATCTCCTTTAGCGTCTATCTTCACCACGATATAGTTTGGAAAAAACAAAGGGGTGAAAAGGCGTTTGGCAGAAGCTGTGATATATAAATGGTCCGTAAGAGCTCCGACAGGGGGTTCCGCAGGGTCAAATATCGGCGTAGTCGACTATACGAACGTCAGCCTTGTATAGGTATTACAAGGCGGCTACTTCCGGTAGAGGAAGCCAAAATATCGATATGACCGAAGGATGGTGGATGTGGGGTGTGGCCCGACAAGTCACAAGCTTCGCGTAAGTGTAGGAATTGAGGCTTATACGTAAGCTCCTAACCGACGGTGGGGGTTATGCCTGTTAGCTTTATTAAGAGACGCCTTTCTCTTCTTTCCCCAGCTTCTTTCGGTGCAGGTTGGGGGAGTAATGAGAATATGAAAAGGTGTTATAGCGTTTGCTTTTGTATAAACGAGAAAAGGGGGCAGGATGCACATATGTATGTATAGCCCAAGCCAGCGGGTAAAGCTTTTTGTAACTATATACTGCACGGAGGAACGAGAAGCCTGGGGAGAAAGAAATAAGTATCAGCCTTTTTGTTAAAGGCGGCTTGACGACCAGAGATTCCAGTATGATAAGCCTGGGGTCAAGTTTCAAGCCAACGGGGTAGAGGTTATGTTCTCTTTTTCTTATAAGCAGTTGCCAATAGCACATGGAAACTGCAAGTAAAAGAAATCAAAATAACATAAACGATATGCAAATAATATTACACCTTTGCATATATTTTGCAAAGACGGTTTAGACTTAAGGGTACTTAAGCTCCTGGCCCCCCCACCTCGCGGACTTCCCTACTTGCTGAACCCGAACCGAAATAGTGACGTTACATGCACGCTTCCGGTGATTCAGGTTCATGATAACCCCAATCTCGAGGCCCGGGCCGCATTATGAGAGCGGATGGGAAGAAGCCTCCCACGCTCTATTCCCAAAACCGGAGCCAGCAGGAGGGAGAAACGGGCCCTAGTACAAAATCTTTGACCGGTATTCCATATTTGGAAGAGGTTGGAGATTTCCAGGGTCCGGCCGTAACTCTTTTGGACTTGGTATACATGATCCCTGGAGCGAGGGCCATGGGTAGTGATCCCACAGACCAGCAGAATCAGTAATAATGGGGGCGCCTGAGAGCCCAAGAGGAGCTTGTGCACCCACCAGGTGCATCACAGACAACTTGATCCGAGCCAGCTTGCTGCATTGACCGTATACAGAGCAGTCTTTGGGAAGAAGGCGGTCCGGGTTAATGTAAATCGCTACCAGATATAAATATTTTCTGGCCCCCTTTGCTAAGGGAAAAAGCAAATACAGACAGGAAATGCAAGACGAGTCAAGGATGTTTTGTACTTCCTTTGTCATGGTGGACCCAGCACTCGAGGCTGGATATGTTCTCTTTTTGCTCACCTTTTCTTTTTTCGGCTTCTCATTCTGCTTCTTCGTCTTGCTTTTTCCAAAATCCCTTGCCTGGGCTTTCGGGGGTTCCTGTTGGTAGGGTTGGTCGAGCTGAACGAGCTTGGTCCATTCCCTGATACCCCGGTCCATAGTTGTGGGATGGGATGTTCTGGTTAGCGGTAGACGCTTGTAGCCGTCCAGGGTCCTGGACATCTGATTGCATAACGGCGCAGCTACGCCGTCTCGAGAACTGCATCTGCGCATGGCTCGAGGGAGTACTCCGTAGAGTTAATGTGGATAAAATGGCAAGAGTGAAAATATAATCCCCCCTTAAAAAAAAAAAAAAAAGCGCTGATTGACTGACTGCATTAGATAGCGAGCTTCCCATGTGTGATTCGTCTTCTCGCCTGCGCCATCCACGTTTCAGACACATGGTCAGTCTGAGCCAACAGGTCCGGGTTGCACCATGGCAAATAAGTAAATATGGCGGTTTTCAGGTGGCGTAGAGCGCGCCTTCGAGGTACTATTGGGCGCGGTCGAGAATCTCTGGGCAATCAAGCGTGGTGCTAAGGGGGAGTGACCGCTTCTCCGTAACAGATGATGAGGAGGGTTCAAAGGGATCACCGAAGACAAGGCAGTGGGATCTCTAGTTAGGCACTCGGCCCCCAAACTCGAGCAAGGGCCATCTTGGTGCTGGTGGCCTAGCTGACGTTGAAGCTGAACATCAGCCCTGCCCGCTCACTAACTAGCAGCCCATGCCTCGCGCCGTCATGTATGCATATATACTCCGTACACGTCAATGTATATATGTAGGGAGCGGAATTGTCGACGGTACCTCTGCTCATCGTTCCTGTAGCATCCAGGTCGCTCTCGCGGATCGAACGGTTGAAAGACTGGTCGAACAGGCAGGGAGCATGGAAGTGCCTACAAGAGACTGTGCAACGGGGGCGTTTTTGGCGAAGACTCATCAGTACTCCGTACAGAACACCCTTTTGCTTTCGTCCAATATCTCGGCAACAGAAATCAGACGGATATTCAACTTTAGCGAGTCTCGGATTGAGGCGTCCTTTAAAGACACGATGGATGACCCGTCTTTGTTTTTTTCGAGGCTGTTTCTTTTCTCTCTTGCCCATCTCTTAGTCTCTCCCCTTCATCCGTGCCCAATAGACGATATCAGATACACCCCCTGATTTTAATCGCGGCCAAAGATATTAAGCAAGGACGAGAGAGCCGACTCGAGCTGTCTAAGCCCAGTTTCGTCACGAGGAGAATGTCTCGTAGCAAAAATTCTCTCGGCCCTCGGCTTCATGGCTGCCGGCTGCCTGTTTGCCTGTCTGGCCGGCTGTGGGCGAGGGCATTGCCATCCTGTCTGGAAAGACATCATGCTTGCATGGATGAGATCCCGCCACTCGACATTCAGCACTGCCCGGACCGCGAGGACGATCCTGTCGCCCAAGACAGCTCATTAGTTAACTGCTCGTCTCCCTACGCTTTATCATGCAAGCAGCTCGGGGAGACTCCTGCTTTCCGGCAGGATTTCACCCGTCCATTCGAGCCTCGTCCATGTCTTCAAAGTGGAAGTTAATGCGATGTCGTTGGTCCCCTGTGGCTTAACTTCCTGGCTCACGCGTAAACGCATGATCATTTGAGCCCTTCTCCATCTCAGGCGGTTGGACAGAATGCTGGCAAATTTTTTCATGCAAAGCTAGTTGGAATATTCTCCACAGAAAAACGCAGGAACCACGTAGTTAACAAGCTTGTCAGCTAACCACTAACTAGTTAAGGGTCTCCGCCGTCTTATACGCGGAGGATGGGGATGCTCAGGGAGGCTCATTTGACGGGGTGTCTCGGTCAGATTAGCGTATCTGTTGGAGAGATGCAATGGCACCCTAGGACGTTTCTTGGATCGGGCGCTGGCGTAAAAGATCAAAGCAATCCCTGGCGAAATGTGGGATCGTTACGCTGTACAGATGTACTTATATGCATAACTCAGACGGAAGATTTCCAGAACTGATCGTGCAGATGTGGACCGCGAAAAGCTCCAATCCGAGGGCGTCCACAACTATATATACACGCGTATGTAAGTATGTTGAATTATGCTATGCCAATGTCTGGTCAGCTATGGGAGACCGTCTTGGGCGTATATACCCTGGCAATCAATATTAAATTGGCATGCTTGCAGTCCGGCGTAATCTACAACCCTTGAACGGCAAGGGTTAGGCATCCATTCCGAGTGACTGTCTCTCCATATTAAACGTATGAGCTGGCATGGACAGGACGGAGTGACGCGGGAGCCGCATAACTAACTGGGTAGACAAGTCAGTATCCTCTCTTTCTCTAACTATCCTGTGTCCCTTTGAGTGTCAGCTTACTTCCTGGCGGGTAGGGAACAGCGCCCAGATCAAACCGGGTTCAGTATATTAACTGCATCAGCGACAGCCGGCAACCTTGTCTGGTCACTAGCTAGTCAATAAAGAGCGTGTGGTATCAGACTCAAACACCTTATGCCACTATGTTAGGAGGCTCGCTGTGTGGATGTTCCAGGAACGCTCCACAAGCCAACAGAGCGGCGCCCATGAACCCTCGATAGAGCGGGATGATAGCGCGCTTCTAGTGCCAATAATAAATAAAACAGAGCCTAGAGATTGGTCCAGAGAGAAGTAGTTACGGGGTGAGATGGAACAGCCAACAGTTTTATCCCTGTACAGCGTTGATTGACACAATGCAAGCACTGCTAGCAGGCAAGGCAGGGTCTTCAGGGGCTTCTTTCCCCCTTTTTTGTCGGCGCAGTTAGTCTATTGACTGCTAGGATAGTTATACTCCGTACAGCACAAACCGAGAGTAACGAGTCATACCTCAACAGGAACAGGAGTCGAGTCGCCAGAAACCCTCACTTTGGCCTAATAAAATGCCTGCTTGCTCATCTTCGTGGGGCTCCCTGGAAGCCGTGTGTACATTCATGCAATTATATTTAGCACTCCATTTAGCCCCCAACCACGGTCAGAAGTGCAAAAAAAGCGGCGACAAATGAGGCGTCTTATTTGTCAATCGAACAAGAAATGAAATTCCCGGGAGAGATATCTTCTCTTTTCCTTCCTTCTTCCGTACAAATCGAATGCCTCAGCTACTGTGGTGTGGCTGGGCTATCAATAAGGGTATCAACATGCATGTCTATGTGGTGGTTTTTATCCATAAAGAGCAATGATGATTTCCCTTTTCTTACTGCCGTGCATTTATCCTACCTATATACGCATATGTGTATGTATGCGTCGGCGTCTCCTTGTGTTTTGCATGAAAAATAGTTAGGCGAACGCCAACAGTTGAGAGCCCCTGAACCGTTGGCATCCGGCATGACTCTCACTATCCTCTTCCCATAGACAATTCAGGAACCCATTTCTTGGATGCTCCAGGTCACTTCGTGACTCAAATGTTTATTAAAAAAGTAAAAACTCCAAAAGGGTTGGTGTCGGCTCGGCCTCCGTAAGGCTGTACGATAGTGTTCAAAATACGGCACTTGGGGTAGGCAGATAGTAATGTCCAACGCACCACAGCCAAAATTATAACATGATAGGGTTGGTTGGCCATGGGATGATGAATGCTGAGGAACATTGAGTATATTACTGCAGGGCGGTCCGTAAATACATACAATGAGGGGAATGAAAGTTAGCGAAGGGACGGATGTTGCTGATATGCCAGGCAAGCAAACAGGGTATGGTATAAATAACAGACAACAAGTGAAAAGAAGAACGAGAGGAATAATAATAAGAGGAATAAGAAATGAAGACATGAGATTGAAATGGACCATATCCAACGCATTAATCCAGCCAACAAAAACTGTTCAACAGCCATCAATCATGAGTGGAATCCTGCCCTTGGAAATGGCTCAGATCGGGTATTATTACATGCATGCATGTTGTTAGAGCCAAAGTAAAGGGGAAACAGAAAGAAATCAAAGAAAAGGGGACCAAACGATTGGTGCCGCGCGCGACGGTAAAAGGATATACATGAAAATAAATATTGACGGCCAAGAGGCAGTGGGACCTGAGAGTGAGAATCGGTCCATATAAACCGGATCGCAGAGCCATGGTTTTTTTATTCAGGTCGCAAGCCAAGAGAAGAAAAGAAAACAAAATATCGAACGGGAAAAGGGCATGTACAATGGAAGTTGAAAAAAAGGCGATAGCCAATAGGGTCCCCTACCTCAATGGTCGACGGGGTGATCAGAGTCCGAAATTGGACGGCTTTCGCCCCCATAGATGCAGGTTATACGAAAAAGAATGTCGAAACGACCGTTATCCGGCCCCATTTCAGGGTATACCAGAACTGGATCGATACTTTTTGCCTGACCAACTGTCCCAATCGAGAACGTTGAGCAGGCAAAAGCAGAGAACCTGCAGGCGAAAACCCGACCCCAGTTGTTGGCCCCAATCCCAATCTAGTAATTGCAGAGTTCTTCGGCATTGACGCGTCAGAGGGTGTGTATGTGCGTCCAAAAGAGACACAAACGGTCGGGGGGCCTTTATCTGTTGCTTCCAATGTTGAGCCAGCTGAGATCTGAGCTAAGTATTCCCCTGCTCGCTGAACGGGTATTACGCCCGTAATATGAGGAGGGAGCACGACTTTCAGGATGCATTGGATTCAGATATCGGTCCGGACCCCCAGTATGTGGAGGGCCCGGGTTATCGTAGTATACACTGTTCGAGTAGTTACTACTGGGCACCCGAGGCTCTCTCGAAACCCTGCCCCAGCGGTCCACGTCATGGGTGCTGCTAGGCGCACCTGTTGAAAAGGCATCACTCTTTGTGTCTCTTAGAGTGTCCCTCCCCGTGTCTCTTCGGTCATCATAGAAGTCGTCTGAGTTGATGCTAATCGAGTCTGCACTGGATATCTTGGCAGCCATACCTTGAAGCTGCGTGAATGGCCACTTGGGAGGGGTTTCAGTGCTAGGACTACCGCTTGCGACCATTCCAAGGGGGTGTGGTCCATCAAATCTTAGGGGTGGCACTTCAGCGGATACGTGAGGCCATCCGCTGCCCCTGTAGTCTGATTGGTAGTCTGACTTGTAATCTGACTTGGAGTATTTGGAGTCAACAGAGGAGGCACGGGACTTTATCGATCCATTGTCCTTGTCACGCTGGAAGTACTTGCTCCAACCTTCATCCGTCAGCCTATCGTCAGCCTCACTTTGCCTATGATCAACAACTGCCCCAAATACAGGTCTATTATTTGAAACTGGAGGATAAACATCACTATCAGGCCGTTCCTCTTGAGCCGCTTCCATAGCCCGAAGCGGGCTTGGGCTTTTCTCGGATATAGGCATACCCCTGGTTGGCGGCGGCGCCGGCGGTTGTGGGTTTAAGGATGGCCGGGAATAATCGTCGACTTGACCGGCGACATATGCCCAGGAATCGGTTGAAGGAACGGGACCTCTTGCAATCGGTTGTATTGATCGTGTAAGAGGTTCCACACCAGCGTCCTGGAAGCTGAACCTATCCTTATCGTCTGAATTCATGTGCTTTTCCTTAGCGTGTTGGCAGTATAAGCTGGTCCGCCGCCTCCATGCAAGGACAAGTAGGATGATTATGATTATGGCCCCGATACCTAAGAGAGTACCTAGGGTGGCACCAATTATGGTTAAGGTACGACCATCTGGAGGAACAACGTCGTCAACTCGGTCACTGGAGGTAGAGGAAGTTTCTGTTTCGGTTGGATATGGTGTGAATGTGGGCGCAGACGTAATCGTGGGTGTTGATGTGCTGCTAATGACGGTCATGGAAGAGGAAGTCATCGTTGAGGAAGAGGCTGAAGAGGTGGTAGAGACAGAAAAGAAATCCTTGATATCCAACCAAGCATTATCATCCTGATTAAAGATGACAATGGGTTCTTCACTGTTTCCACCCGAGATTACTACTCTATTATTATATCCTGGGTCAGCTGCAACGGAGGCTCCAGTACGGGATCCGGTAGGAGCTAAAGTAGAATTATAAGCAGGATATGGGCCTCGTTTCTCCATAGTCGA